AGTGCGAGTAATTGCTTCTTTTGTTAAGCTATGGATGGTGTTTTCAATAGAAATGTAAACAATAACAATCTCGAGCTCGGCACCTACTCTAGTTCCGGTTAAAAAGTTTGCAGCTGCTTACTACTTGTTATTCTGATAGTCGATGTTTTCAAACGGATAATTTTGTTTTCAATAAAAGAAATAAATTAGATAATTTCTGAGCTCAAATCTGCCGTATTTCATAAGATATTATTGTTATTATGTAATTCTGGGGAGTTTGGAGTGAAAATTTGTTTTAGTTATTTTGTTATTTATTATTAAAAAAGGTGACATGGTTGCTAGATTTTGAATAACTCGCTTTTTTGGCAGTCTTGATTTGGCCTCTTTCCATAAGTTTATTACTGTTTGTTCTTGTTGCAAGCTGTGCACCATCTTACGTTAGTGTTAACACTTTTAGCATTGTAAACACAAGTAATAAGTAATCAAATACATTGTTTGCAGGAATCTCAAAACACAACGATGCCAAATGGCTTTGAAATACAACGGAAACAGTAACCCCGAAATTTAGGCGGTACCGAGCTTGCAGCGTTCCCTAGTGTAGAAAACACCGTCCATAAAAGAAAGCTTCAAATACATAATTCTCTTCTGCAATTTTAATAGATTCAATTAAATTACCTTGAAACGACACTTATCACAAATTCCACAGTTTTAAAAAAAAAAAATTGTAGAAACTCATAGTGTCGCGTAGAAGGAAACGGAATCCAGATGACTGATGACACTGATTTATTGAACACGTCCAGCGTAGATGGAAAAGGGTATTCGCCAAATCGATTTCTTCCTGTAAGACTTGGCGTATCATTGACAATAAATCAAAATTATCTTCAATGACGTAACTGGTACGGCATTTGGTAGGCTTTCAAACTTCCGTTAATTAATTATTCGCTGCTACCAGGATCCCGCAGTGAACTGATCGTTAAGACACGGTCCCCGGCAGATCACCGAAGTCAAGTATCACTGGCTGCGGTCAGTGTGCGGGTGGGTGACCACTTGGACTAGTCTGCATAGGCACCGAGGGTGTGTGGTATTGGTCCTCGTTAAACTGTTCTACCGCAAAGTGCTCGACTTCGCTTACAGGTCGTCGGGCTACCGAAGCGGGGGTGTCATCCCCTCCGCAGAGGATCAAAATTGTGATGGCATGTCTTTGGATCCTCCTCAGGGATATTTCCCAGACCGTCGCCAATAGCCCATTGTGCAACTCGAGTGCGACGTAAATGAACTACTACTACTCGCTGCTGCCAGGCGCCGACATGTTGACAGGATGAAAGCGGCAGTTGTTGTTACCTCTTTGGTAAGTAAAACTTACCAAAGAAATGTTTTCTGCGATGCCCTTCATAAGATGAGAAACCTTGTCTGCTTCACTCACGCTTGGGTTGACGCGATGACATAATCCCAGTACTGCTTAAATGAATCAAAGGTTCGTCTCTCAATGTTGTTGAGCTCGGGGCTTTCAGTACTTCTTCGGCACGATACACTGATTGAAAAATATCAGAAAATGCTTCTTTTAATTTAGTTCTGAATGCTGTCCAAGATGTCGATAGACTTGTATTATTTTCAAACCACAACTTGGCAGTACCGCTTAGAAAAAAGTAGGCATTTGCAAAACATGTTCCTTCGTCCTAATCGTTATGTTTGATGACAAGATCATATTCTTTTAATCATGCTTCAAGAGCAGCGATGGCTCAGGGGATAGAACGCTCGCCTTCCAAAAAGGCGAACCTGGTTCGAATCCCAGCAATGGCTGGTCGATACGAATTCCGCATCCGGCTTGCACCGATCACAGTGCTGACGTGAAATATCAGTGGTAAACGGATCATGTATTAGAGTCCCCTTGCGGTCAGGCTGACCGTGGGAGGTTCTCGTATTCTCCCTCTCTATGTAACGCAAATGCGGGCTAGTTCCATCAAAAAGCCCTCCACGAAGGCAAAATTCTCCCAATACTTGTCGAAGTCAAGCATCACTGGCTGCGGTCAGTGTGCGGGTGGGTGACCACTTGGATCAGTCTGCGTAGGGACCGAGGGTGTGCGGTATTGGTCCTCGTTAAACTGTGCTACCGTAAAGTGCTCGACTTCGCGCGCAGGTCGTCGGGCTACTGAAACGGGGGTGCCATCCCCTCCGCAGAGGATCAAAATTGTGATGGCATGTCTTCGGATCATCCTCCGGGATGTTTCCCAGACCGTCGCCAATAGCTTATTGTGCAGCTCTAGTGCGACGCAAATTAACAACAACCCAATACTTGTTCCCTTGTCTTCTGGATTGGGTTCAAAATTGCGAGGCTACGGGTTTGAACATTAGTAGGCGTAATTGGTTAGTAGGCAAATTGGTTGTCTGTTCAACGACGGTTATACAATAAAATAAATGCATGCTTCAGGATTTTGGTTGGCTTCTCCAGAAAAAGAAGATGGATAACGGATGTGTTGGACAATCGGAGTAGTGACAGGTGTTTTGGTCATTTTTGAATATTCTGGCTCCAAACCTTTTTTAAACGGCGACTTCTTAAATCACCGACCAGATCTGCTTCAGTTACGCGGCGCTCCCACCAAATGTCGCGTAGAAAGAAACAGAATCTAGCTGACTCACGACAATGATTTATTGAACACGTCCAACATACATGAAACAGGATAACTGCGTTTCTACTTGAAACACATGACCTTATATACAATTAAATATGGAACAGGAAATGATGTTATAGAAGCTTCTAGAAGACATTCAGATAATAAATAAAATTGTAGATGTTAATGTAGTCGTAGTGTATCTACCACCACAAATATACAATTCAAATTCACTAGTATATAAGAAATGTTAACTCGATTCTATGTTGGGATACCTTTTCATAGAGGACGGTTGACATTATCGATGTGACATAGAACACACAGACAGAGAAAGTTGCATTCATGCCTGCGGTGGGAATTGAACCCACTACCACTGGCCCCATAAGTAACCACTAGACCAGTGATCGGTTTGACGTTAAAAGTAAACTTCTAAAATTAAAACTTCAGTTTGCGATATGAAATGATCAATTCTGCTATATAGGTATTGCTAATTTTTTATAAGCATCCATTGCGATAGTTTTTTTATTTTTCCATTAAGGTTTTTTTTCACCAGAAAATATAGTGATATTAAAAGGACAGATTTTTGTTTTGTAGCTCAAGTATGTGGAATTTGTAGATGTAGTGTATCTGCCACTACAAAAATACTATTCCAATTTATAATTATAGTATATAAGACATGTTAATTCGATTTTTTGTTGAGGAACCTTTTCATGGATGAAGGCTGGTGTTGTCAATGTTACTCTCCCCACATTGATGACCCGGACGTGATGTGAACACTACTACCTAGACAGAAACTTCCACTTTGATTTAAACACGACTACTAAGATGGATGGTCCATATTGAAGTCTTCAACGTGGACCGATACGAAGAGGGCTTCAATTTGAAGAGTTAGCTTGCGACTGCGATATTATTCACCTCCTCCCGCTGTTGCTACTCAGTCTCGATCACATACAACGTCGGCTTGTATGCACTCGACTGCTAATGGCAACACAGGAGCGATCACGACAGTGGACTTAATACAACTTTCACGATCAGCATTCAAAAGTACGGTGATCTTAATACAGCTCTCCAGCCTTCTCTAAACAGCAATGAATCAACTATTTGAATCCCGTTCATCGAATTATATCACAGATAAAATTCTGGTGGTGAGAGTACTGTAGTGTATCAACCACTACAAATATACAATTCCAATTCACTAGTATATAAGACGTGTTAACTCGATTTTACGTTGGGGTACCTTTTCATAGTTGACGGTTGAATTTGCCGATAATTACTATCCTCTCAGTTTGTAATGAAATATTTTTTTTATTAAAGGAAGTGTCTTATATTTTTGATTCAATCAAATTAAAACATTTATTAAGCAAAATGGGAATCCCCCTTTTTAAAAAAATAAGTTCACAACGCCTCTGTTATTGCTGTAGTTCATTTACGTCGCTCTAGAGATGCACAATTTCGCTATTGGCGACGGTCTGGGAAACATCCCTGAGGATAATCTGAAGACATGCCTTCACAATTTTGATTCTCTGCAGAGGGGATTGCACCCTCGCTTCGGTAGCCCAACATCAAGAGAGCGAAGCGAGGGTGCCATCATCGAAGCGAGGATGGCACCCTGTCTTCATACCTACAAGCGAAGTCGAGCACTTTAAGGTGGAATAGTTTAACGAGGATCCATACCGTACACCTTCGGTCCCTACGCAGACTGATCCAAGTTGTCACCACACGAAGTTATTGTTGGAATAATGAAGTAATTAAATTAAACTTCAAAAACTTTTGCAAAAGGATAGTGGACAAAGAAACGAAAAATTTCTAACATAATTCCCCCATCACTGTTCACCCCCCAGAGTGTCAAATTCACAAATGATAAAAGAAACAAATTTGGGTATTTTTCTTGTTGTAAGGGATATGCGATGACAGTAACAGCTATAATAGGTGTATTTAATTAAAAAGGTTAGAAACCAAGCAACAGCTCTCAGGAAAACAAAAGGACCTTATGCTACCAATATGTTATCTAAGCAAATTCTATTAGAAAGAAGTATTTTTTTCATATAACTAAAACAAGAACTCCTCTAGACGTTCGTCTGGAACTGTGGCGGTGACTATGGTAACGAGGTATGACTATTTGAAGTAGGGGTGCGGGATCCCTGTTTAGAAGTGGTTTCGGATCGGGTCGGCTAGAGAAAGGGAATCTCTTCGGTCTATTGTGTTACTTCTAGAGTGGAGCTACCCTCCCTAAAATGCGCTATTCTTGTTTCCATAGCACCAGACGGCCTCAGACTTTGTGGCGGGAGGAGTTCTTAGACAAACTATAGTTAGATGGTGATGGTGCCACAAGCAACAAATAAAAAAGATTGAACGTCCTTCTACTTGCTTGATCAGTTGTTATGGTAACCATGCAGTCGCAGTTATAAATTTTAAACGCTTTATTTTTACTTTTTTTTTCTCTCCATTGAAAAGTTTGAGAAGAAATTTTTAAACTATAAGTTCGTATGCGAAAATAATTAAATATTATAATCATTGAAATGAAGATGAAATTTGAAGATAGGATGCATTTATGAATACTTCTCAACTCAAATTTAAAGGAAGCAGACGCTGCAATGCGATACACAAACTGTGAAACGCCTACCGTTTTTGTTTTGAATTATTCCAAGTCTTTCATTTTGTATTGGTGTTCACGTACAGAACAAAAGCATCTACTAATGCTAAATGTCATTTCAAAGCTGTAATATTTTTTTGTTTAATTTATTCTATGCATTTATTCTGTGTTTTTATGCATCTAATTATTTCTTATATAAATATTGTTTATATTTATCTTATAAACTTCAATGTTAACTATAAACTGCTAAAATAAATCGCTTAAAACTTATTTAAAATTACGTGTGCATTTTCATGATTTATTTTTAATTCTAATAGGAAAATTTGATTACAAATTATTTTGTAATCTTTGCCTGTAGTTACACTTTAGATTCAGTGTTATTGTATTTTTAAAAAAAAAAAATTCAATGTTATTGTATTTTCATTTATCAAGGTAATGAAAAATGTTGCTTTCAAAGTTTTTCAACATTTTTACTGATTCTAACAACTTCTGATGATAAAATACGAACACATTTGGCATAGCTTGACTCTAATTGATGTCTCAATTGAAAAGAAAATAAATCAGATTGTATCTTTGATTGAAATAGACTATCATTTTGTTACTGCAAAGCCCAGTATTGTCTAAACTGTTTTGAACGCACAGCCGTTTGAAAAAAATAATAATAAATTTTAACCCCTCCTTATATACATTTTTGTGTGTCATAAATGGGGGATATTTCCTTATCAGTACCTATTGACACCACCTACCTTAGCCAAGACGTGAAGAGATCTTTATACTTGCAAAAACTTTAAAAATTTCTGTAGTGGTTTGTTGAAAATATATGTAGTGGCTTATTAAAAATATATGCTATTGTGGTTTGCCAAAAATATATGTAAATCGTGGTTTGCCTGGAGGCGGCAACAAGTTATATTCTATGAATTATTCCTTTTTTACATGCCTGTTCCCAGTTTTTGTTAAAATTTTACAACTTTTTGGTGCATGTATCGTTATGAAAATATTCCCAAAAGATTATCTTTTATGTATTTAACATTTCTATTAAGTTTGAAATAAAAAATAGTTTTGTGTATTAATATTTTTAATTGTGATTATAATTGTTTATAGTGCAACTAAAATAATTTAATCGGTTTTCTCCATACATAAAATTTTTTAAAGAGAAGTAGGGAAAAACTAAAAACAAAATTAGAGCTAGTGAGAAAAATTCAGCGTATCTTTCAAGTGCTAATAAATGTGGCTGCAGTTAAGATTTGCATGATTTAAATCGCTTTATTTTAATCTTGATTTGAATCATGATTAAAATGTAGATTTAAATCACCTGATCTAAAAAAAAATCTATTTAAATTGTGATTTTTTTAAGAGCCAATAATTTAAACAAGTTGATTAAAAAGAATTTAAGTGTAAAATATCTTTTTCAATATATAATTAATAAATATATTCTTTAGAGTATAATATTTTTAAAAGTCTGATTTCAGTGTTATTGAATTTTTTTACTGAGAAATAACAAAAAGGATTTACACATAAATTATTACATTGAAGTGCTTAATTTTCCCTTTTTGAAAATGAGATTTTTTTTACCATGATGATTTTCACCACGTATTATGCAAAAGCGTGCTTTTTACATTGTTCTATTCAACGTTGTTCATTATTCATTCAGCCACAATCCATTTCGACTTAATGTTGATTCCTAGTGTATAAAAGCGCCAATCATTTTACCTGTTTGATGATATAATTGAAAGTCCGCATGTGCGTCTACTGAGCTGGGTTTGAGCTCTGCTGCATTTTGAAAGATATTCTCAGTTTTAGGCTTCATTTTCTACCCTCCGATATTGAATCGAAAAATCTTTTTATTTTGGCTAATATAATCAAGAAAAAGAGTTCTTTGTCAGAAACTACTTATTTAATCATGATCATGTGAAGTCTTTGAAAATTATTTGTATATTGTTAGTGTATAGTGCTTAAAAATACTTTTTGAGTGCTTAAAAAGTTATTTTTTGTTGAGAGATTTAGCTACACACCCTGATTTATACTTTTGTGTTCTCAAGGTAGACATGGAAGAAAAGGAAACATCCAATCACCTTCCCAATGAAGAGAATGAAACCTTTTCCGAACCGAACTCCCCCACTTTAGAGACAGTATCCGGTTTTTCAACCTGTTCCTCTCCCCTCCCACCAGAACCATTTGAGCCTTTGTTTTCTGTGAAGTTTTCTGGAAATGTAGAAAAGGATGGCGATGTTGTTAAATACACTATCAAAACAAAAAAGGTATGATTTTGTATAAAGTTTTTTTCTTAAAAAAAACTTCAACTGATTCTGTAACATCCTGTATGGTTATTATTCCTTTTTTACATGCATTGTAACTCCTGTGTGGTTATTTAATTTTTAAAATTTTTTTTATAAAAACGAAATATTGTGTGGTAAAATTTAGACTATCTGGAATGTGGCGAGAGTCACATTGACAACGCCAATCTTCATCTATCTAAAGGTACATAGACATAGAATCGAATCAACGTGTCTTATATACTTGTGAATTGAAATTGTATTTGTGTAGTGGCAGTTACACTACAGTACTCCCCCACCAGAATTATATCTGTAACAGAATTCAATGAACCGGATATCACTAGTTGATTCATTGCTGTTTTGTGAGAAGCCAGGCGAGTTGTATTAGGATCACTGTACTTTTGAGTACTGATTGTGAGAGCTGTATTAAGTTCATGGTCTTGGTTGCTCCTGTGTTGCATTAACAGTTGAGTGTATACAGGCAAACATTCTGTGTGATAGAGACTGAGTAGCAACAGCGGGAGGAGATGGATAATGTTGCAGTCACAAGTAGCAAGTCAACTCTTCAATGTTAATTATCTATCTTATTAATCTTGTTCAAATCGAAGTGGGAGTTTCTATTGAGGTAGGCTTGTTCACATCACGTCCGGGTCATCCATGTGGAGAGAGTCACGTCGACAATGCCAACCTTCAATCTAAAGGTACCTTAACGTAGAATCCAGTTAACATGTCTTATATGCTAGTGAATTGGAATTGTATTTTTGTGGTGGCAGGTACACTACATCAACAAATTCCGCATACTTGTGCTACGAGACAAAAATTTGTCTTTTTAATATTACTATATTTTCTAGAGAAAAAAATCTTAATGAAAAAAACAATATCTCAATGGATGCTTGTAAAAAATTAGCAATACCCATATAGCAAAATTGATCATTTCATATATGAAACTGAAGTTTTAATTTCCGAAGTTTACTTTTAGCATCAAACCGTTCACTGGTCTGTTGGTCTACGGAACCAGTAGTTTTATTTAGTATTTCGCAACCGTCATTGAACAGCTGACCCAATTTTGGGTGTACGACTACTAATGTTCAACTCCGTAACCTTGTAATTTTGAACCCAATCCAGAAGACCCGGAAACTCCTGCATCAGTACCCCCAGAGGTGTGATTTGTTATGGGAACATGGAGGACTTTGCGACTCGACAGATTTAATGTGCAACAGTCACCATTTACTACACGGGGAGTCTTCAGCCAGCGGGGATCGAACCCACGACCTATTGGACATGGGCCTAGTGCCCTACCAGCCTGGCTATTCCGTCCCTGGGGTCAGTGGTTGTGCGTTCAAATCAGACCCTAGGCATGAATGTAACTTTCTCTCTCTCTCTCTGTGTTGTATGTCCTTTCTTTTGTGTGAATGTAACCCACCCTATAAGAGTTTTTGTTGTTGTATGACTTGGGCGACACCACTCCACTGCCATGTCTTAGTCACATGTGCCCACTGTATATTGATAAGAGAGTAGTAATTCTGACATTTTTTAGTACATTGGGAAAATAAACCAAAATACCCGTCATTGAAAAGAAAAAAGAAAACTTCACATTAATTCTGTATTTCCATTAATCACAGAAAAATTTTTTAAACAAATTTTGAAGAACAATAAACTAGTGTTCAAATATAGACAATGAAAATAAAACTTAATAATTTCTGTGAAATAATTGGTAAAAAAATAACAATGTATCAGTTACCTCCAATACATAAATAATATGATAAAGGAGAGTAAGTCAGTTTTGTGATTGCTTCTTCAAAACTTTTTATTAAGTGTTAGAGAAGTAAAATTGAAAACTTGTAGATTTTTGTATATACACATTAAAATCTAACCCCGTGATAATTAAAATAAAGTAATTATTTATTTATATGTTTGAATTGTTGCTAATTTTGTGCAAAAAAACGTTTTACTTAGTACTTTATTTGTATGTTGATGTAAGAAAAATTACCTTAAATTAAATATACAATATCCAGAATCAAATATTCAGAAACTAATTCCCCCAAATGTAATGAGTGTTTTAATAAAAATATCTATTTGAGGTTCAATTTATATAAGTTGCATGAATCGGAATCTCACTGTGTGATTTATTAAGTCACAGGAATACGAATCTTGAGATGTTTGATTTTAAGATAGTGTTAATACGAATCTCGTTGTTTGATTTTAAAATTGCATTAATACGAATCTCGGTGTTCGATCTTAAACTCGCGTAAATACAAATAACGATGTTTAAGTTTAAAATCGCATGAATGTGAATTCTGGTGTATTTAAGTCGCATGAATACTAATCATAATAGCGAATTTTAAACCGCTTGAATATAAAATTTAATATTTGTTATAAGATTGTGAAAAAGAAAACTCAAAACCCGATTTTATATTGTTTGAATGCCCATCGTCATATGTGGATTTAAATCGTCTGAACACTAATTGCAATACGTGACTTTTAATCATGGGAATGTAGGAAAAAGCATGAAAACAAATCTTTTTTTATATCGGAAATTCAAAAAAGACCTCTCTTGAAAAGATTAAATTTTTTTTTATTCAATTGAAAAAACTCATCCCTGATACCAGCATACCTGGAAGCCAAATGCAATGACATAATTGTGACTGCACTAAGCCGAAAAAAAGAATTCTTATATCGGTAGGTATTCTTTTACTTTCTTTTTAAAGGCAAAAAATTTTCCTCTAACGTTGTGTGTGTTCACACGTTCATGTATATTATGCATATCTGGCCATCCTCAGTCAAACCTCAACATGTTTTTTTTAAATTTTTAATCCCTGGTTAAAATCCATTTTTATTATTACTTGTTATTCTATTTCTTCTATCTCTGTTAAACAAATCTCTTTTCTTTGTCTTTAGATATCTGATGATTCATCTTATTCAGTTCAAAGGCAATATGAAGACTTTGAATGGCTTGAACACTGCCTCATAACTGCCAACCCTCTTCCTGGACTCATTGTAAGTTAAAAAGTGTTTAAAGGTTCTTATTTTTTATTTATGTTTTTCTCAAAGCTCTTATAGGTGCTTTTTTTATTGGGGGTTTGTAAAAAGTGCTTTATTTTCTATCTTTTAAAAGGAGATTTTTTTCTTTGAATTGCCAATTGTCATAAATTTTAAAAAAAGCATGATTTTCACAATTTTCTCTGCATTATTTATCAGAAACTAATTATTTTATCACAATTATCTAAAGTCTTCGAAAATGTTTTTGCATTTTGTTGATTTTATGTTTATAAATTAAGAACTTTAAACAATAGAAAGAAATCATTTTTGTGAATGCACATATCCTAATTGAAATTCTTTTGGAAAGTGATTAGAAATATTTTTTGAGTGCTTAAAAGGTGCATATTTTTTGTTGAAAAATCCGGCTGCTCTCTCCGTTATACACCTTCTAATCAAGAGCTCCTCAAGCTTTTTTCTTTTTGTAGGGAGGGGGGATATTTTTAATTTAATAATTGAAACTCTAGTTTGGCAAAATCTATTTTTTTGCATGACTTTAGCACAAAAATGTTTCACTTTTCACCTTTATTAATTAAGCAATTGCAATGCTTTGCAAATTCAAATTTTCTTGAAGAATGTTTGCCTTTAACAGTAGTAATATAGATCTTTTTCTTTTGAATCAAATAGTTAATTTTAGAGAAAAAATTGCAATTTTCTGATATTTTTGTAACTTTACTTAAACTAGTCGCTTTTTGGTACTTAAATCAAAAAGGTCTCAATCCTTATTAGCTCTATTTAAGATACATTTGGAGAATTAGGTACTTGTCTTAATTTAGCGAATGACTCACAGAATTTCTCAAAAAGTTTACATTTTTAAGAAGTCACTGTTGTCCTTCCCTGGCAACTCTATTTTGTGATCAAATTCATTTTTTTACTATGAGATTAAAATTTTCGGAATTGATTTAATTGGAATTGATTTCACAATAAATCTTGAACCAATTTTGTATTTCTTCAGTGTTAGAAACTAAAATCAAATACCATTTTCTTTTTTAAATTCCTTCTATTAGTTCGCACTCTCCCTATATCTTGTTCAAATTTTCAATCGTTAAGTAAAATACTTTTTATTCATCCTTTCAAGTTCAAATACATTCTTTTTTAAACTTGTAGTGGATGATGTTAATACAGTTTTTTCAAATATTAATTCATTAAATAGAGATGAGCAAAAAAAGGAATGGAATTTTCTGATTAATTAAGCATTAGTCATAAAAATGCAACAGAATGCTATCGAGGATTAGTGGAAGCCTGTAGCGCAAATGATTTTCCGTATAGGACAGTAGCACAATGGGTTCAAGCATCTCATCTTTTTTCGTCATTAAGCCTCTTGACAACATGCTTTAGAGCGATGGAAACGATACTCCTCACTTTAAGGTATCCGTACACGTTGAAAAAGTGAATTTTAGCCTAAAATGACAATTTTTTTACATTTTATATTACGAATCTCCGTTTATTCTAGTTTTCAAAACAGTTTAAATTTTAACTGTGCGTCAATTAGAACAAAATTTATAATTTAAAGAATATTAGTCGATGACTAAAAAATGAAACCGGAAATAGCATTCCGAAACCGGAAGTGGGACAGAAACAGTTATATTTATCTTTATTTTGAGATAATTATCTTTCTTTGACTTAAATAATTATTATTTTAATGTTGCTAGAAATGATCCTCTCAATTTATCATTTATATTAGTAGCTTTAATGGCATTTGGAAATTTGTCCCTAAGGAGGTGTTCGTTGAATTGCAAACATTACAATTTGGTGTGTATTTGGCTGTTATTCAGTTTAATAAAGGTTTTCTGGGACTGAAAAGCATACTCGACATAGTTGGAGTCAGTCGTGGCAATAAAACTTTAAAAGGTTTTGCAGAACTTGATTTTGAGCGTATGTATGAGTCTCAACGCCATTCATTAACTAATGTAAAAATTGTCAGAAAAAAAATAGGGTTGCAAAAATACAAAAAATTTGTAAAATTGGGAAAAAAGGAAGGTATCACATACAAATCGGGAGAATTTTAGAAGTATTGAAGCATTTTTAAAATAGAAATGATATAATTTATACTTTAAATACCTTTTTCTCAGAATGTAATTTCACGCAAAAATAGTAACTTTCAAAATTCATTATTAAAAAAGTTGTTGATATATTTCAATAAAAATTCGTATGTGTATTATGTATAATGTTTTCTAGTGCTTGTGCTACAATTGATTGAAAATACTTAATAGTTTTTTATTATTTGTCTAAAATGTGAAATACAACGTAAAAAATTTGACAAAAATCTCATAAAAATTTTTCAATTCTCTATAAAAAATTTATTTTTCCAAATATTTTTATGATTGTAGTCAAATCACTAGACAAAATTCAGCTCTTTATTTTGATAATAACACTTTTTTGATACAATAATTTTGGTGAAGTATATCCTGTCACAAGTTTATGAAAAAAACATCATTTTTTTCTTGTTATTTAGCTTTTAAAAACAAAATATAATATGTCTAATTTCTCTTATTTAATATTAGTTTTTACATAAAGATAAAAACATAATTAAAGTGTTCTGAAACTTAATATTTTTAAAAAAATCCTCCGAACGTGTTCGCATACCTTAACGCCACACGACAACTACCCTCCTAAGCAAATCGACTGTTTTTTGCACTCTACACATCGACAACAGAGCCACCTGACCGCACCCATACCCTATTTGCGCATGCCCGCCCTTCTGTGAGTTTCAAGGTTATGTTGCCACTATTTAATTTACAACCCTCGTATATATATCTAGTTCAAATTTTCAATCGTTAATAAAATACTTTATTCATCCATTTAAGTTCAAGTACATTTTTTTCACTTGTAGATGACACTTCATGTTAATGCAGTTTTTTCAAATATTAATTCATTAAATATTTATTTGATTTTGGTTTTATATGGGAGAAGAAAATGTAGTTGTTTAATAAAAAGTAACTAAAATAAAATTTATGAAAACGGAATGCGTTTTGTCTATTTTGATTGAGAAAAAGTGTCTGGAAAATCTATGCTTTTTCCGGTAAACGGACCTCACCTCGGGATATTGGACTAAATAAAAATAAAAAGCATATTATCTAATTTGAATATCATCTAGCTTTGTTTTTAATAATCCTTTTTCGTGTGTCTCATTTTTTTTCCAGTTTCCACCCTTGCCACCTAGGCCGCCAATAACATCAGAAATGGCTGAAGCCAGATCAAAGAAACAACTAGGAAATTCTACAAAAACGTTAATGGGTGACCAATTTAATAAGGATTGCCTTCAATTGGAACAGTATTTATTATTTTTTTGTTACTTGTTATTAGATTTTAAATCATGCATGCATGTAACTTTTTTTTAAGGATTCATCACTTTAAATCAGGGTTGGAGTTTTTGCCGGCAAAAAGGGTTTTTTGCCATGACAGTGGCAAAAACCTGGTAAAAACTGGCAGAAACTGGTAAGAACCGGCAAAAACCAAATTATCTAAATTTCTGATTAAATATTATTACAAAATACTTGAAACAAATTTAAATCAATCCTAAGGAATAATAATTTTGATACAATACATGAAAAAATTATTTTTAACATATTAATAATTAATATAAAGACAATAATTTTTAAAAGATTGAAAGTTTTTGAGCTCTTTTCATTTTAGAATCCTTAAATAAATGTTTTTTTACAAATAAATAAATATTATTATTTGTATAATATTATTATTATTATTATTATTTATTATAAAAAAATATTATTTGTACAATAATTAACTACACATCTTGATACATATTTTATGCTTTAAATTATAGTTATATTAATTTAAAATAAGTTCATTTCACTGGAAAAAGAGAATAATTGCAAATTTTCCAATCAATAATGCTTTAAACTACTAAAATGATGTATTATTACATTATGATTTAATTATGGAATAAAAAAATTTTTGTAATTATTCATATTTATAATATATATTTCAATTTTATGAATACTTTTGTCACAAAAATGTGTTTTTGTCCTCTCATCTTGGAAAATATAGGTTTTTGCCACTTTTTGCCAATTTGCTTGGCAAAAACCTGTTGACGGTACCTGTAAACCTGTTGACCGGTAAAAACCTGACGGTTTTTACCGGTATTTACCATGGTTTTTTCCACCTGCGGCAAAATCTTGCCAACCCTGCTTTAAATTAAATATTTCTCTTTTTCAGATATTTACGTTTACTTCTGTCTCACCGACTGTTTGGAAAGGATGAAGGCCTTGAAAAGTTTCTAACAGAAAAAGAGGTAATAAATATTTTGTGAGATTATATTCTTTTGCTAGCTAAATGCCTATTCTTTGTATTTATCAACGCTAAGCAAACCTGCACAAAACTGAAAGCCGTGCACCTACACAATGAAGTCAGTTGAAATGGTTACTATTTCTCATTATTTGTTACCCCTTCTGGTGGTGTTAGATTATTAGATGATAAAACAAAACATGTTTTTAGACTTTCAGCTCATCAAAATAAAAATTTAATTTTTAACACTTTAACCCCTTCTTTCTCACTCCCGTGAAAATGACGGGGTGAGTTTTCTCCTTCTTTTTCTCGTTCCCGTGATATTTCTGGGCTGGAGTGTTCAGTAGTAACGCGCCAATAAGAATAAAACTAATTCGTTTCTTTTGCCCGGAAAACATTTCATTTCTCATTTTACACACCAGATGGCAGTACCAGGATATTTTTAAGGTAATTTTAGATAGTTAGCTTATTTATAAGAGATGTTGGAGGGAAACTCGGTACTGCTGTCCAGATTGTGACGTTGGCCTCTGTATCTCATGCTTTGAAATTTATCACTCAGGAAAAATTACTAATCTTTATTTATATTATGCTTATTTATATTATGCTTATTTATATTATGCTTTATTTATATTATTATAAGTTTAATAAAATTCTTTTTTAATGCTTAGGACACATATTTTTTAAATTTTCCTTGCCTGCTGGAAAACCAGCATTAAGTCATAGTATGCTGGCTTTTCCTAAAAATTTAATTTTTTAAGATTTCAAGCTAAAAACAAATTGAAAATGAATGTATCTATATAGTTCATGCACATATTTTTAAATAATTTTCAGGGGGAAAAAATAGTCACTTTTATGACCGTTTTCTTGAAAATTAACCAATCGTTAAGGTGTTGACAACACCTTAAACCATTAAAATTTATATTGTGTGCATGAAAATCTGATCATTAGAACAAAAGATATTCAGATTGGTGGTTTTGGATTGTTGTTGTAGTTTTTTTTTTTTTTGCCTCACTGTACAGTGTGATATAAAAGTTTTTATTTCTGTTTTAGCCTCCGCCCCGAGCAAAAATCAAAAAAGGTTTCTTCAACAGATTATCAGAGAGCTTAGAAGGACGCAAGCATACCCACCGAGTAAGTTTCTGGTTGAATTATTTTCTACTGCATTACAACATATAAAAACTATTTTTTAAAAAGAAAAATGGATTGATATATTTGTACTATATCGAACCATTTATCCAATATCCAGAAAACCAGAAAAACTGTGAAAAATTTTGCTTGGTTTTCTCGCCATTTTGAACTGGAAAGATTGATGAGAAAGGCAGAAATTTGACTCACCCTTGAAGTTGAGTAGAGAAAAATGTTCGTGAGGGTATTTTTCTCCCTGTGTCGAGAGAAAACTTCAACAGGGTCCGTTGCGTTTTTAAAAGGTGCTTATTTTTGTTTTTTAAAAGTCCTTAAAGGTGCTTTTTTTATTGGAGGTTTTTAAAAAGTACTTAATATTACCTTTTCAAAAATGAGGCTTTTTTTTTTTTTTTACCTTGTCAATTTTCTCCACGTATTATGCAAAAGTTTGTTTTTCGCATTTTTAATGCAAGCGCCAATCATTTCACATGTTTGATGAAATATTTGCAATTCAGCATATGCGTCTACAGAGATGGGTTCGGTGAGACTGTGCTGTATTTTGCAAGATATTCTCAATTTCAGGCATTATTTTGCGCCCTCTGAAATGGAACCGAAAATCTTTCAATTTTTTTATTGTGGCTAATATAATCAAGAAAAAATTTCATTTCAGAAACTAGTTATTTATCATGTTCATGTAAAGTCTTTGACAATTATTTTGCATTTTGTAATGTATATAGCTCTTTAAAAAAAAGTTTTTTTTAGTGCCTAAAAAATACTTAAAATCTGCTTATTTTTTGTTTAAAGATTTTTCTATGCTCCCTGCTGTTGGTTGAGAGGGGGCAGGGAAGGAACAAATGTTTTATTTTCCCCTGTGTGTCAAGGAATCAGTTTTTCTTGAAAGCTGCAGTCAATCAAACAAAAGAGTGGCATGGGGATTTAATTTTCCGTTTGATTTTTGAGGGGGTGGGGGAAATGCAACCCCACATTCATATCAGTGAGCAGGCAATGAAAGAGAAATAAAAGGAAAAATAATCCCTATACTTTGCTAAGAAAAAGTAAGAAAAGAGAAATGCAAAATATTAATTGGATTACGAAAATGATTCAAATATGGTTGTTTTTTATTCAATAATAAAGTAGGATTATAGTTAAGCTTATTTTAATTATATAAAAAATAATCTGAAGAATTCAGTAAATTATAACTCAAAACCAGGGCTTAATCCAGGTCGATTTCGGTACCGTTTTTCGATACCTTCACAAAATTAAAAAAAAATAATCGGTACCTTCACAAAATTTTAAAAAAAAATCGGTACCTTCACAAAATAAAAATAAAAAATCAGTATTTCAACAAACTTTAGAAAAAAAACGCATCTTCGCGAAAATAAAAAAAAAAGTTCGAAGGAATTAAAGTGCTGAATAGTTATCCGGGCGGTTATTATAATTTTATCTATGTATTCTGTATTTCTATTATTTTTTCCACCATTANACTATAATTCATCGAAATAAAATTTATAATTTTTTATTATTGGTACAAATTAAATGATTCCAAAGAGAACATCTGTTAGAATCCAAATTTGAGTAGTTAGTTTTTTTTAACGCCTTATTTAAAAAGCCAATTAAGTAAGAAAAAAAATGGTAACACACAGCAAAGTTTTGCCACTCCTTATAAGAACTTGATGTTTGAAAAATAAAAACGATATAAAATGATAGATGAGTATGAATCTTTTTCAAAACTCTGATTCTGTTAAACTTAGAATCTGGAATGAAAATTCAGAAATTGAACAACGATATTATTTGAAAGCATAATGTCGGATTCTTAAGCCCCGGTAATTGTTAGAGAAAATGAGACTCGAAAAAAGTCAGTGATTTGTCCGGGGAAAACACAATTTACACCAAACACGGGAATCGTCATTGTCAGAGTAGGTTGACACTCGATTTAATTGCTGGATTTCACTATTCCGTTTCTCGTAATATCATAATTTAGGGATTTAAAAAAATATGTTTCTTTTTCAAATCAACCATCATTAGGTGCAAAATATTTTTATCTGATTATCATATCACAATATAAGTGTAAGTATTGGTTTTAAAAATATTTAAAGCGCCTATAAAAATAAGAAATAAAAACGTACAAAAATGGGAAAAGTTTTTTTTCTGTGAACTTCAAATTAATCCTTGTAAATGAATTAATTTTAAAATAATATTTGATTAATTTAGACTCAATCTCTAGTCTGGATGTTTTTTTCCTGGGGTTTATTCTGATTCTTTATTTTTCTGGGCTGTTTTTCGAGTACTTTTTTCTATTTGCCTGGGAGAATACCAATTCTCAAGCATGACTGAGACTGTTTTTTATTTAGTTCAATTTTGTTTAGCTCCCTTTTCACAAAATAATTTGTATTAATTATCATCAACAATTAACAAAATCCCAAAAAGACCTAGTAACAAGAAAATCGTTAAATAAGTGAAGTGGTTCCATTAAACTTTTCCAAAATCCTCGGGTCTCTTTATTTTGCATCAACTTTCCATCTTCATTATGTTCTGGAAAATCTTTTTCTTCTGCTCTATTAAGGTCGATTATGTCATAAAAGTTGACCTTGGAGTCAGACTACAATTCTTTTTAAACTGATTCCGAAGAATTTAATTCTTCTATCAAAATGTAAGAGTTAAACCATAATGTAGCAAATTCAATCCACTTTGAAAGCAGACTTAACACTGCAGTTGCAAGAAATAAAGATTTGTTAAAGCTTCATCTTTTTCGGATATAATGAGGATAGAAATAAAATGATTAAATTAACCTCACCAAAATAAGTTTTAAAAAAATGTTTCCTCCTGAAAATAAATGAAAACTAATGTTTTTGTTCATGAAATGTGCCTCTCTTATTTTGTAAATTTTGATTTTAAGATATAATAAACTTTATAAGCTTTTCACACTTAAAATAATGTTCAAAAAGTATTCTCCACCAAAAAAGATCTTAAAATCAAATTCCCCACGTGAAAAAATTATCGTTCCTCTCAAACTAAACTACTAGTTGTAAATGTGTTACCCTTATTTAATCTAGCAAGTGGACTGATCGTAAAGACGCGGTTCAATGTAGAACACCTCTTCTTCCCTTGTTGATGTTAGTGTTTTGTCTTGTATAATATGTCTCTGGTTATACTTTTTGTTACGTTGGCAACTTTGTTCAATTAATCCATCAACTGGCCTTATGGCATTGTTTGTGAAATATGCTCATATGTAACGTGTACTTCTTATGTTTGAAACTAATGAAATGTCTTAAAGGTAAAACGTCTGATAGTCTTCAGGTAACTCAACAATCTTTTAGATTAATTTTTCTTAAAAAAATATCACTTAATTTCCCTTTATTGACAACCATTAATACTTTGTACGTTGAAATAGATAACAAAAAAAATCACTAGACAATTTAATTTTGTTTAGCTTAAATGAAGATTATAGTGTTACTATATTTAGAATATTGTTGACGTTATCTGCTATGGTTTGTTATCTGTCGTTATCTAGAACGTTATCTGCCTGTTACAGATAAATATATTCAGTAGCCAGAAGTGGAAATTTATTAAACCTAATCTTCCAAAATTATTGATTACATAATGCATGCCTTTGGTGTCCTGTTAGATAATTTTTTTAAAATTATTCTTATACAATTTAGTTTGATAAAATTGTTAGCCTAAAGCAGGAAAAGTAGTATTGATAAATATTGGTTTTTATATTGGGAGTACAAATAAGTTTCTGCCATTTTCTATCAAAAGTCAGCAGTTTATTGTAAAGAAACGGTACATTATCTTTTGTTCAGAATATTCTCCATTACTAGACACTACTTTTTCCCATCTTCCTGGGAGCATTCATGTGCCATTTCGGAAGAACTCGAGGATATCCACGAATCGACCCATTCCTTGGTTTCTTCAAATGATGCAAATTTCTGCTCAGACAGACCATGTGCCATCGACACGAATAGATGATAATCTGAAGGAGCAAGGTCTAGCGAATACAGCGGGTGGGGTAGGACATCACATTGAAGTGTTTCCAAATAGCAAAATTAATTTTTATGCAAAGTCGATGTTCAATGTCTCTTGGCTTCAGTTCGTATCGAACCCAACTTCCTTGTTTTTTTTTATCATTCCCAACAATTTTAAACAGTGTGAAATTGCTGGCTGAGTTACTTGTAATGAAAGAGAAAGCTTTTTTTTGCGCTTGAGACTACTCTGCTTCCAATAATTCTTCCAATTCCTTGTTTTCGTACAATTTTGACCCTCCACTTAGTCTTCCACGTCAAGCTCATCATTTTTAAACTTCTGAAACCACTTACGACAACTTCTCTCCCTTACAGCAACCTTGCCTTCTCTAAGCAAACAATACTCCTCAGCTGCAGATTTCTTCAAATGAAAGAAGTAAATCAAAAGTTCCCGCAAATGAGACTTATTTGGCGTGAAACTTGACATTCTTGCAAGATAAAAATTACTTATTGCTATTATGGAATCTCTAATACTTTACGGTTATGTTATTACCAGATAAATTTACAATAAGACATTTAATACAATTTCTACATAACCTTCTGGTAGTGCCATCTTGGGACGAACGTCAGGAGCATATTTGTACACCCAATAAGTACATAAGATTTTTTTTTTTAATACACACTATAATATTTTTAAGATTGATGAACAAAATTATCTACAGTGAAAAAGATAACTATTTATGGTGTACCCTCCAACATTTTGGAAGCTGATAAATGTGATTCTTTTTACTTGATTTGTTGCCTTTTTGAAGAGATCTAAATTCACTTTCTTTGCCAGGCAGAAGAAAACATCAGCTTTTAATGCAGAAGACAGACCTCATAAATGGTAATGCATGATAATTGGTTATTTGCATGCTTGTGTTTTGGCCATTCTGCCTTTGACATGCTTTCATTTTTATCAATAATCAATAATGAATTTCACTTTAATTTATAGGATGCCATTCATTCATTTAGTTCTTATAAATTAGTGGAATTTTTCAGCTTCCAGCATTTTGTTGGGTTGACTTGTCTTTTTTTTTTCTGATATTCCATCCTTAAAATCTCTCCTTTTAAATACCAACCTCAAACTAATTTTGGGTGTAGGACCTTATATAATAATGTACTTGGCAGTACAGCTTCCCCATTCTTCTTATTTGTTTAAATTCTTACAAATTTAAATAAATTGTGATACAATTAAAGGGTTAAAACTATTTAGATATAGTTCATTCACCAGGAGTTGGCACTTAACTCCACCTCCTCGGACATAGTTCATTTCTGTGTGGGAGTTAAAAGAGAAACATCTCCACACTTGAAATTGAGACAACCCTTAATGTGCACCAAACACAAACAGTAAATTCTTTTTCAGTCACTTACTTCGCTTTATCATCTGCTATTATCATGCCTTTCATTTCTCCAGCTAATTAAATATACTTTAAATTTGAAAACTGCTGTTTTCCCAGTAAAATATCTCAAAAAGGACAAACTATTCACTCAAAAGAGAGAAATATCATAAAAAATGGCACAGAATATCATCAAATTTATGAAATATTTAATATTTGAAAAATGCACATAAAGTTTGCATAATAAATATTTTTGAGATACGATCGGCAAATAACAACCTTGTTCAGGATTGCTCACAACTTTCTCCCAAAAATAGTGAAATAGTATCGTTGCATGCCAGATGAGGAAGGCAGAGTCTAGTGCCGACTCCTGGTGAACGAGCTATACTACACAGTAGAAATTTTTTTTATGCAGATCTTGAAATACCAAGCTTTGCTTTATTTAGAATATTGTGAATACTTTCATCATTTCACATATGATTAAACTTATCTACTAAACGCAGCATTATTAATGCTCTAGAATAATTTTTTGCCAAAGTACAAATACTTTAAACACAAAATATTCACTTAAATATTTATTATTTACAGGAAAAAAAAATGAAATTATTAGGAGCATTAAAACTTAAAGCAAACAGATTTATAATTTTTTTTTTACTCTAGAGATTTACTCTACTGGGGCTTACTCTAGATTTACTTACTCTAGATCCCCCATAATCTTTTAGCAACTAATTTTTCTTATAGCCTGTGAGCAGTTAATAGTCCTTTCTGAGTTACAAAAACTTCTTAACTGTGATCTATGGTATTATTTGCACCTGCCAAATTAATGCAGTTTATGAAGACAATCTTTGTTTTGACATTACATCAATCTACGGTAGAGCATTTTAAAATAATCCATTTTTTTAAAAATTTAACAAACTTTTCTAAAATGTATTTCATAATGCATTTGTAAAAAATTAAGAATTAGAGGTGAGGAAAAATAGTGAATTCAGGTTGTAGGTTGAAAAAGTTGTCTTATAATTGGAATATGCAAGGGATTATGTGCAGCAAAAGATAGAGAAAAACAGAAAATAAAATCTTGATTTTATCTGTAATTTCATTAAACTTTTTTATAACATATTTTTCAGGGTTGGGTTTTTGACGTCAAAAAGTGGTTTTTGACATGACAAGGGTATAATACTGGTTTAAACCGTCAAAAACCCGTCAAAAATGNCGTTTCTCTAGCTAATTAAATATATTTTAAACTTAAAAACTGCTGTTTTCCCTACAAAATGTCTCAAAAAGAACAAACTATTCACTCCAAAGAGAGAAATATCATAAAAAATGGCACGGAATGTCATCAAATTTATGAAATATTTAATATTAAAAAAATGCAGATAAAGTTTGCAAAATAAATATTTTTGCCGTAGGATCGCCAAATCAAAACCTTCTTCAGAATTGCTCACAACCTTCTCCCAAAAATAGCGAAATAGTATCATCGTATACCAGATGATGAAGGCGGAGTCAAGTGCAGACTCCTGGTGAACGAGCTATACTACACAGTAGAAATTTTTTTTGATGCAAATCTTGAAATACCAAGCTTTGCATTATATAGAATATTGTGTTAATTTCATCATTTCACATATCATTAAACTTATCTACTAAACACAGCACTATTAATGCTCTAGAATAATTTTTTGCCAAAGTGCAAATACTTTACACACAAAATATTCACTTAAATATTTATTTACAGAAAAAAAAATTAAATTATTAGGAGCATTAAAACAGATTTATAATTTTTTTTTTTCTCTAGAGATTTACTCTACTGGGACTTACTCTAGATCTCCTATAATCTTTTAGCAACTAATCTTTCTTAAAGCCTGTGAGCAGTTAATTGTTCTTTCTGAGTTACAAAAACTTCTTAACTGTGATCTATGGTATTATTTGCACCTGCCAAATTAATGCAGTTTATGAAAACAATCTTTGTCTTGACATTACATCAATCTACTGTAGAGCATTTTAAAATAATCCATTTTTTTAAAAATTAAACTGAAACTTTTCTAAAATGTATTGCATAATGCATTTGTAAAAAATTAAGAATTAGAGGTGGGAAAAAATAGTGAATTCAGGTTGTAGGTTGAAAAAGTTGACTTATAATTGGAATATGCAAGGGATTATGTGCAACAAAAGATAGAGAAAAACAGAAAATAAAATCTTGATTTTATCTGGAATTTCATTAAACTTTTTTATAACAAATTTTTTAACCATTGAATACAAGAATCTTATAAAAGGGATATATTATTTTTGAATGCAAAACTCTAAACAATGATTTTTTCAAGCATTTTAAATACAATCAAATGACTATGATTATAATGTTTTAAGTATTCTTTGGAAGGTATACTTATTATTTTTTTAAGTGACGAAATTGTTGCAAGACTTGCTTAATCATAGTTAGCTACCATTTTGTATGAGAAGAAATTAAACATATCCATGTTTTGAAATTCTAAAAATGTTCTCATGCAGTAGAGAAATTAAAATTATAGTAATTATTCACAAATTGTTGTGCATTTGCACTTTGCACCAACTAAATGCAAACTCGTTTATTTATGACACACTTAATGCTTATTCGTAACTTACCGTTTATTAGTTCAAACATTTACCTTTTCATATAGGGAATTGAGTAAAACATTGTTTCTCAGCACCGATACAGATTTTTGGATTAATTCTTGTATTGGATTTAAATTAAATCTTTTTATAATAGTATTTTTCATGGAAGAGTGCATGTGATTGGTCGGAAACAAACTGGTCAAAAAAGGTTTTTTTAAGAGCCACAATCTTGTATATGTAAAAATTATTCCACTAGTCCAAATTACTAACCTTACTGGTGCGGGATAAAGCTCTGAATTATTTAAATGGTCTTTCTAGTAAATCGGGTTGAGAAACATTCCTTTCAACACTGCTCAAATTAAAGTTCTTACTTAATGGTAGGTGATTCTTCTCTGAACAAGCTGCTATTTTTCATGTAGCTTCTTAACCATTGTTTCACTACAGTTTGCTAAATACTTTATAAAAGTTTGTTTTAATGATTTCTTCTGAATTTCTCTAAATCCTTGTATTTTTGTTCATATAACATTTGTTTCTTAGTTGGATTTCAGTATTAAAAAAATTATTTTTATTTATACATGTTTTATATAAGTTTTTTTTTTCTTGAATAAAATATTTTTAAAAGCTTTGTTTTATTGATTCAACATTAAGATATGCATAAAACAATATTTATTTTCTCATAACATGAGATTTTCCTTTTATAATTTTTAAAGTAATATTCATGAAATTATATTAATGTATCTAAAAATTCATTAAACTGTTTTGATTTTCAGGATTGTGAAGAATTTTTCCAGAAAGAGCGTGATTGGGTGTCAAAGTATAGCTTACAAATTAAAGATATCAATGAGGTGCAAATTTTACTATTAAACAGTTTTAATTTATTTTTGGAAAATTTATAATATGTTTTTAAAAATTAGATAGTTGATACTTCACATTAAGTTTCAGAACAAAATGTCTGATCTAAATATATTATCTTCATATATATATATATTTTCCAAATTTATTATCATATATTATCAGTCTTAGTTTTAAAAAGTATTGTTTAATTATTTTGGACAAATTTTCTCTATTAATTTAGCTGACATAAAAAGTTGTTTTTCTATATGTTTTTGATCATTTTGTATAGTTGTTTTTTTTCTTTTACAGGCCTTTTCTTCTGTTGTCTATTCTCAACAAAGTAAGAGTTTATTGTTGATCTTTTTATTCATTGATGTTATGAACCTATTTCAATGCTTATAGTTTAAAAAATTACATAAGTTTAAAAAGTTGCAAAATAAAAACATTTAGAAGCTGTTTATAATTATAAACTAAAAATATGTTGTACAATGGAAATAGAAAACTACTTGGTATTTTTCCTAGTATTTTTTTAGCAGCAACATTTTGATAAGTTGAAGCAGCGGATGAAATCAAAATACAATGATATTTTTTTATATGATCTCGCTAACCTCTGTCAAAACTTGTTCTAATTGTTTACTCAATATCTTAACTTTAAACAGTTCAACCTCATAACTGTAATCACTGACAGTTCAACCTCATAACTGTAGTCCAAACAACTTACAAGAGGGTTCATTTAGATAAACTGTATTTTGAATTTGGGAGACAAAAATGGATTATCAAAATAATCAACTTTTGATTAATAGATATTCTTTGACATAGATGTTTTATTATATGTAAAAAAAAAGAATTACGATAATTCTATCGTTAAAGTTCTAAATAGTAAAAATCAATGCGTGATTTAAATTAGATGAAGTTAAATTGTTATAAACAGGGTATCAGTGAACATGGAAAGTCATGAAAAGTCAAGGCTATTGAACAAAATTTGTAAGTGAAATGTCATGATTTCAAGTATTTATTTAAAAAAAACACATAAAAAGTCAAGGATTTAGATCATCAAAAAATCTATCTTTTAAAATGGACTCCCCCCCAATTTCACAGTGTTCCGAATATCTGAATTTGTGACAAAATCCCCACGTACAGTCATACTTTATTAAAATTTATTGTGCTCTTTAAAAAAATATGGTTCTTTCAAAAAATAAAAGAAGGAACATCATTTCTCTAGAGCAAATGATCTTTTGAACTTCAGTGATTTCATAATTTTTTATTTATTTATTATTTTTATTTGATCAATGTAAAATTCTAGTTTAGGCTTTTTATATTACTTACTTTTCAGAAAAAATAGAACAGCTTTAAATAACTACATATATCTGACAGCATTTAGTTATTTGCTTTTTTTCCCCAGTTATTTTATTGCTTCAAATCTTTCTTTACTGTGTTTTTTCAAGTTTTTAATTGATAAATATGAAGATGCAGAGTATAAAAGTTTTGGTTATACCTATCATTTCAATTAATGTTATTATAATGCTTTTTAAAATTTATTGTTTAGTTTTTGTCGGGAGAAAATAGTAACTTTGGAAAGTCATGTAGAATTCTTGGAATTAGTCCCAGAAAAGTCATGGATTTGAAAATCTAAAATTTAGCAGATACCCTGTTTAAAGATGTTTTTATTCCAAATATGACGTATTATATAGAATTAATTTATTTCAGGGTTATGTAGTATTATAGGACATTTAGCTACAGCATTAACTTTAAATAGAGGATCGAACGAACCGGCTGCCAAACTAGAAGCAAAGTAAGGTTTAATTTAATTTCAATTTTACGCTAGAAAATAATTTATTGTTTTTACTATGTTGCTAGAATACTTTAAGAACTGGCTAGTTATGTTTAATATTCTTTCAAACAAGTCCGTAGCTCTTCTAAGCAAGTTCACTTTGAAACAAAGCATTGAATTAAGTTAAGTGTGCCATGTGCAAAATAATAAATTAACACCCTGGAGAATTTTTTATCTAATACGGTTGCCACAAACGACTAAAATGTAACTATTTTCGGCTTATGGAGACTATGGCAACTTTTTTCTGCCTGAAAATTACAAAAAAAAGCAACTATTTTTATGGGAAGGAGACTATTGGGAGATCTTTCTGTACTCCTAGTGATGTTTTTTTAGCATAAATTAGGTTTAAAATCTGAGGCCTGCGGGAGCTTCTGAACACATTGAATTTTTTTTCTTAAAAAAATTAAAAAATTTTAAATTGCAAATTTGAGTTATCACATTTTAATGCATTCAGTTTGCGTAGATTCCATTGTCAGTCCATTTCATTTCTCGATCGCCTTTTCAGCAGTTATTGCTACAAAGTTCCGTATAATTTTAAGAAACCCAATTTTTTTTATATAATATATTACAATACGTGAATTTCGAATTTGAGTAATCACTTTTCATATATATTTGTGTGTATATATATATTTATATATATAATATTTGCTGAATGAAGTATTTAATTTTCTGCAAATATACTAATTATTATTCTTTTTTACCTGAAAATTAAGTGCTAGAACACTAACAAACTATATAACGAGCTATATAAAAATTATCATATTTGCCACCAACTTGATTAAATGGATCATGATGTATGATAGTTAAGTCATTTAATAAAATTTTAGTCATATTTTTGTTTTTATTTAGGCAACTATTTTCCTGCTTTAGGCTACTAAAAGCAAATATTTTGTTCATTTTTTTCTGTTGCAAACCTGTTTAATGATAAGATTTTTACCTAATATGACTCAATCTTCCTGGTTTTAGAGCCTAACTTTAAATATCAAATTAATAAAAGCAGACAACATTTTGAGTTATGAAATTGAACTCTAAATTGTACTTTCTCTGAATAAATATACAACATAAAACTAAACATAAACATGATTTAAATTTTTGACCCTCAAAGTGATGAAAGGGGTGGTAGCTGCAATCTGGTAAATAGGGTTCTGGTAAATAGAAAGTTTGGATTCTTAAATACTAAAATTTTGTTGTTGTCTGTTTTGTTAACTCAAAACTTGTTAAGCGAGTCAGAGAAATTTTTGCTCATTATTATAAAATTCCTTTGTTTAAAGACGTGAATTACTAATTGTTTTTATACAATTTTGTTTAAAAGTGTTTCAAAAAGCTTTATAAGAAAATTGGACTTTGAGTTTCACCCTTCTAAAAATTATAGCATTTAACCAACTCAAAATTAGAAAAAGCTGACGTAATGTTTTTCACATGCAGGTGTTAATTTTTAGCAGAAGGAAATAAAATAACAATTTTATTAAATTTTAATGTAAATAAGTAAATTTCAAAAAGGAAAACCTCTTCTGAATCATCTTATTTATTAACTTCATTTTAACTCCTTAATATTTTTATGAACTGAAAATATTCAATGATATCAATTCAAAATATGAATACAAGGTTGATTTTCTGTTTGTTTGCAGGTTATGTGGTTTGTTTTCAGAGGCCTTAGAAGATGCTAGAGTGAGTTTTTTTATGTTTTTCATAAATGGCACATAAATGAATAAATATGGTGGTTTTAAATGTTATTTATTTCTATTATCTATTCTATTCTATATTTTATCTATATTCTATATTTCCTATTATATATATATATATGGGTCATTCTCACGAAAACTGTCATTTTTCAGTTCATAAAATCCCCAAAAAGTAAAGTGAATAAAAAGCTCTGAAACTTTTTATATTGATAGAAATATGTAATGGCATTATAAAGAAAGTATATATCCTATAAATTANTATCTTTGCCATGGCTAATAGGTTGATATATCCTTCTATTTATTTTAAATATATAATTTTGCAATGAAGAGTTACATTTAAATGCATACGTTTTTTCTATGTTTTTTTTCCCTTCACCTTTTCAATTTATAACAATTTCATTCCAACTGCTGACACTTTTGTAACACTAAAAGTTACTACATGTTTTTCTGTTTAAATATATAGTTATATTGATAGAGTAACATACCTGCCAACTTTCAATCTTTCCGAGAATGGATTTTCCAAGCGGTAGTAATTCAATGAATAGCAATCTCACTCAAAAATATATTTATATTTTGACCACGGTGAAATTCAATTTCTTACGGATTATATGCTTTTATATATTTGTTGTAATTATTCATATGTAGTGGTGGTCAAATTCATTTAAAATTATCATTACAATTCAAAAAGTTAATTGGAATAACATGAGTATTGCTACCACTNTTATCTTTGCTATGGCTAATAGGTTGATATATCCTTCTATTTATTTTAAATATATAATTTTGCAATGCAGAGTTACATTTAAATGCATACGTTTTTTTTCCCTTCGCCTTTTCAATTTATAACAATATCATTCCAACTGCTGACACTTTTGTAACACTAAAAGTTACTATATGTTTTTCTGTTTAAATATATAGTTATATTGATAGAGTAACATACCTGCCAACTTTCAATCTTTCCGAGAATGGATTTTCCAAGTGGTAGTAAATCGATGAATAGCAATCTCACTCAAAAATATATTTATATTTTGACTACGGTGAAATTCAATTTCTTACGGATTATTACGCTTTTATATATTTGTTGTAATTATTTATATGTAGTGGTGGTCAAATTCATTTCAAATTATCATTACAATTCAAAAAGTTAATAGGAATAACATGAGTACTACTACCATTTTAAATATGAAAATAAAATCTTCCGGGAAAACCGGAAGAGTTGGCAGCTATGGAATAACTAGAGCATTCTGTCTTTCTTGAAATGGTATGTATTTAATAAATTCTTGTAAAAGTAAAGATAACATTTTCACAAGCTACAATTGTACAAATTCATAGAGAGAAAATCATTAGATTTTGTAGTTGAACTTTTCTTTCATAAATGACTTTCCATTAATACGTTTTAAATTTTACTAAAATTAAATTTAATTTTCAGCATGGTATCCAGGTGCTATCATATAATGAGGAAAACACTTTAGGTGCCTATTTAAATCTGTATACAAGTTATATTGAATCAGAAAAGGTATTTTATTTTATCTTAAAAAAAATAATAAAAATTATAAAATGACTGCTTATTTTATTCATATTTTTTACTCTTTATTCTGTAAAAGCTTTTTCTAATCAGTAACTATATTTATTTGCAAATTGTTCCAACATTAAATTCAAAACTTACCTCAAATTAAATTAGTATTATTATGAAAGTAAAAAAAATATCCTGACTATTGTGTGTTGCGTTCATTTATATTTTTTCAAATAAAAGCAATTTATAGAGTTGTGTAATTATCCTATATAATTCACAGTTATCTTTTTTAAAAAAGGCTATGTCATCTAATTACTGAAATTATATCCTTTCAAACTTGTTTAATTCAAATTTCTTACAGCCTTATTCTAAAATATATTTTGAACCACGATCAGGAGTTTAATAACTGTTGAACTTTGTTCAGATCTAGATTTTATATTCTTAACTCTTTAAACCTCTATTGTAATGTAAACAGTAGTAGAATAATTATGGAAATTTTTAATCACGGATTTCCATGGTTCAACTAATTTAATCTCACTTTGAATATAAAAATTGACGCATGCAAATGTTTCAATATTCTTCAATAGTTGTAGATAAGATAAAATAAAATGAAGATAATTGTTTATTAAAATAGTTAAATTTCTGAATAATTTTTCTTTTTTTTAAAAATTAAATATCATTATAAATCACCTTGTTATTTATGCGTTCATAAATATTCACTCAAAATAATTGTTAAAATTTTTTATCTCATTATTAAAAATTAATCTTACTTTGATAATTTTTTTTTTTTGCTGTATATAATGCTGACTTTTTTGTTCAGTTAGGTATTATTTATGTTACTAAGTCCACTTATTATTTTTATCTATTAAGTTAGTTTGTAATAACAAGGAAATGCAACTATGTATCACATATTTAACTTAAATCAAGAAATTGACCATTATCTAATAGGAGTATCCACTTTTTGATAGAACTAAAAGAAATTTGTTTTTCTATTTTTATTTTTGCATTAAATTGTAGTACTATTATAATAAATTGTGCTATTCTGTTTATTATACAAACACTAATATTAAACAAAATTTGTGTGTAGGGTTGTACATCAAATTCGTTGCATAAAATGTAAACAAAAATCAACTTACATTATTTCATTGGGTAAAAATACAGAGTTTTATTTAAAAAATTGTTTTTCTTTTTTGTTGTCAGATAAGTGTTAATTTTTTATGCATTGATGGTTTTTCCCCCCGAACTTTATTAAATTTTCATTTTTTATCAGGAAATGCTTGCTCAAAGAACAAGTTTGTTGGTAGAATATGAAAATGCAAATAAGGCATTAGACAAGGCAAAACCTCTGAAAAAACAAGCTGTAAGTTTTTTCTTCTCTCTTTTACCTTATCATATTTATTTACCCCCCGTGGCAGAATCGCGGCGACATTGTTCGCGGCTGAGTTCTTGCAGAAAGACTTTTCTTTTGGGAAGTAAGAAATTTGTTTTTTTTTTTTCCCCCCAGAAATTTTTTTCTATCAGAATTATATTCAAAAGATGTCTTTCTTGCGCATGCATAGGAGTGAAAAAAAATGCTTGTAATTTTTCTATTCTCATTTGAGAATAGTGAAAAATAAAGAGCAATGAAGTAAAATTTGGTTTTCTTTTCTGCAGAAATTTTCATTCTAATTTTTTTTATGCAGTTATTACTATTGATTTCCACATAGTTTTTAAAATCCGATATTTTTAATACGATATAATTTATTGCAACAACTAAATCTCGAAATGAATGAAAACACGGATTTAGTAACCCTTTTTTGAAGATTCTGAATCTCGTGATTTTGTCGATCTTTTTTTTGGAAGTTACTGCTAAGAATTTCACAATTTTCTTTTTTTAATGTGATGATCATTTACGAAATGCGAAAAAAGAAGAAATAATTAGTGTGTTTTCCTTCTACAAAATGCGAGAATATCGCCCATAATCTTAGAATAAAAAATATATATATTTGGTTAAAAAATTATTTTATTTGATCCAAAAACAGGGTGCGTAGCGTTTTTAAAAGTGTTTAAAGGTACTTATTTTTGATTTTCGTTTTTTAAAAGCCCTTAAAGGTGCTTTTTTCAGTGGGTTTTTAAAAAGTGCTTAGTTTTCCCTTTTTCAAAATGAGATTTTTCCTTTACTATGTTGATTTTCTCTTCGAATTTTGCAAAAAGTCACAGTTTAGATTGTTCTATTAAACGTTTTCACAATTCATTCAACCCCAATCTATTTCGGTGTATTGGCAGTCCGTAGGGTATGAAAACGCCATTCGTTCTACATGATTCAAAATGTCAGGATTTTTGGTAGTTGTCAAAAACAAGATATAACCATCAATTGTCAAACTTTCCAACCCTGCCTAATTATGAAGTGCTTAAAAATATTGTTTGAGTGCTTATTTTTTGTTGAATAAGGACTTGCTACGCACCCTGAAAGTTTTTTCTTTTTTTAAGTTGATGCTTTTGTTACTTTAATTTAGTAACATGGATATTTGTTATTTTTAAAAGTATCTTGCTCAAGGATACTTTTGTTTTTAAAGTGTTTAATTAATGTGTAATACTAATGTATTAGAGAGGTATATCTCAGAAAATGCCCAAAAAAATTCTGCGACAAGGTTTATTCACATTTTTTTAGTTGCATATTTAATTTTTCAACAAAAACATTTCCTCAACCTCGCATTTAATGTTTATTACAGGCCGAAAACGCTAAATTATCTGCAGAAAAAGCGTTTGAAGACTGTTCAGATGTAGCTAGACAAGAGGTAATTTCATAGATTTTCCCTTCGATCTGTTTTTTGTTTTAAATATGATTAAAAAAGTGTTTAATTAATGTGTAATTAAGAGAACTTTATTTTTATCAATGAAAACTTTGTTTTCTTCAATCCTATGATAGCATTCAAAAGACTGAGTTTTGATTGTGATATTTGCTTTGAAAAAAGGTTTAGGGGGACTAGAAATTTTTTCAATATATATTTTGGAGATCTTTTTATAAAGTGGTGTGATGATGATTATGAAAGATAATATTAGAGAGATTTTTAGATTTATTTTATTGTTAACTGTAACTCTAAGCTTACTTTGTATTATCATTTATAATTAAAGTATGTGAAAGATATTTTACAATAATTTTTGTCATGTAAAAATGTTAACTTTTTTTAGGGGGGGGGGAAGTTAGCTAATTAGAAATGTTTTGTTAAGTTTGCTCATTTTGCAGCTACACTTTATTTTTTCTCTTATTATATTTTAAGAATAAGAATTTGTCAAAGTTCTTTATTATTTTTTAAATGCTGACGATATTTTAAATTACAAAATCAGACACAAAAGTATGCTTTATAGTTCCTGTGAAATCAAATGTTAAAAATGTCAAGATATTAAAAATTCGATTCCTCAAGAACAACTAGATCGATTTCACACTGATTTTTCTGAACATCAGATGTTTGCCAACAGAAACATTCTCATTGCATACGTTGCCGGGCATGTGATGGATTTGCACCAATCAGATTCAAAATTTTTTATTAATTTAACTAACATTAAAAACCACGTTGATAGGCAACGATATAAACTACTGTTTTTTTTCCGTTCCACTCACTATACAACTTCTTTTAAGAAGTAGTGCACTACACTACAAACTACAGAAAAAAGCGACTAAAGTAGTTTCCTTACTTGTAGCACGCCACTTCGGACCACTGGATAGAGGTCTCTTAAACTGGATGACCTATGGTTCAATTGAACGCCTCAGCCAATAATTTTTTTTTAAATTGCAGTAATTGTACACTAGCATTCATTATTAATATATATTAACATGCATGACCAGTAAATAAATATAAAAACATTAATCTACTGGAAATATAGGACTTGTAATTTCAATTTGCTATGAGTACAGTCAGCAAAAAAAAAAAGATATCACCCTGAATAACTTTTGTTATAATGATCGGATTTTCACGATCTAAGTGTCAATCTTAATGGTTCCCGGGGGTGACCTCAAATATGCTAATTAATTAGTGCTAACTATTAATTAAGTTACGAAATCTGACACAAAAACGTACTTTCTCTGAATAAACATGTATTTTTTTTTACATATTTGGATTCCTAACCTTCAAAATATAGGGGGTAGCCGCAATCTGGNGAAAAAAGGTTTAGGGGGACTAGAAATTTTTTCAATATATATATTTTGGAAATCTTATTATAAAGTAGTGTGATGATGATTATGAAAGATTATATTAGAGAGATTTTTAGATTTATTTTAATGTTAACTGTAACTCTAAGCTTACTTTGTATTATCATTTATAATTTAAGTATGTGAAAGATATTTTACAATAATTTTTGTCATGTAAAATGTTAACTTTTTTTAGGGGGGGGGGGAAGTCAGCTAATTAGAAATGTTTTGTTAAGTTTCCTCATTTTGAAGTTACACTTTATTCTTTCTCTTATTATATTTTAAGAATAAGAATTTGTCAAAGTTCTTTATTAGTTTTTAATGCTGACGATATTTTAAGTTACAAAATCAGATACAAAAGTATGCTTTATAGTTCCTGTGAAATCAAATGTCAAGATATTAAAAATTCGATTCCTCAAGAACAACTAGATCTATTTTACACTGATTTTTCTGAACATCAGATGTTTGCCAACAGAAGCATTCTCATTGCATACGTTGCCGGGCATGTGATGGATTTGCACCAATCAGATTCAAGAAATTTTCTGCGTTTTTTTAAAATTAATTTTACTAACATTAAAAGCCACGTTGCTAGGAAACGCTATAAACTACGGGGGTTTTTTTCTGTTCCACTCACTATACAACTTCTTTTAAAATGTAGTGCATTACACTACAAACTACAGAAAAAAGCAACTAAAGTAGTTTCCTTACTTGTAGCATGCCACATCGGACCACTGGTTAGAGGTCTCTTAAACTGGATGACCTATGGTTCAATTGAATGCCTCAGCCAAGCATTTTTTTTAAAATTGCAGTAGTTGTACACTAACATTCATTATTAATATATACAGTCGAACCTCGATTTCACGATTTTTTCGATATCTTGAAGAAAAGAAAATTCCCTTCAAAATTCCTATAAACTCAATGTTAAAAAAAACTTGATTTCACGAATTTTTTTTCTAATCCCTCGATAACTTGAATTTTTTTTTCTCCATAAATAGTGTAGATTTTTTTTTTTTTGAAAATAAAAAAATATTCCAAAAAAATGAAAAATTTTAAGAATAGAAAACCAATTCTCATAATGATAAACTTTTTAAAAAAAATGGACATAAAGACATCAGTGGCATGGAATGATGCGTCTTTCTATACAATAATGAATGGCTTCAAGAAGGCTGGATTCATTAAGGATCACGAAAGTAGTCAAACAATCAATATCGTTAATTCTGCTGAAAACTACACCGAAAATGATTGGGACAGATTGACCGGGCTCATGAAACTCGATGACATGGAATTTCATGACTTGGTAAACGTAGATGATGCAGTAACAGTGTGTGGTCAGTGGGATGACAATGATATGATCGGTCAAACGAAAGCTTCTTGTGAACTATAAGAAGAATAGGATGAGGAAATCGAAGATTTACTGCCCAATGTTACTAAAACACATGCACTTTCTGCAGTGAACACTGTAAGGCAGCCAAATATGTCAGAGGAGACATTTAAAGCTATAGTCCACTTAGAAAGTGTTACAGACAACCTTTCTTACACATCTTTAAAGCAAACAGCAATTGAATCTTTTTTTTAAATGAAAGTGTAAAAAGTGCTTTTAGAATAAATATGGAATAGTAAATAAGGTATGTAAAGAGCATTTTTCTTTATTCTACCATCAATAGCATGCGATTTTCGATAATTCGAATTTTCGGTATCTCAGATTTTTTCTCCTCTCCCTTCAAGTTCGAGATATCGAGGTTTGACTGTATTAACATACATGACCAGTTATTAAATATAATTATAAAAACATTAATCTACTGAAAATATAGGACTTGTAATTTCAGTTTGCTATGAGTACATAGACACTATGAACACAAAAATATTTAACTGTAATAAAGATTTGTTGATATTTTGTAACTTTTGTTAAATTTCTGTTTAATAGATAGAGATTAAAAATTGTTTCTTACTAATTTTTAATTCGAAACAAAAATTCCTAGATCTTTAAAAAAAATCTAAATTACAATTAACCCTTGCCAGTGGCGCCCGAATCCAGTTCCGACAACTGCTATGTTGCATTTGTGAAGCCGGAGCTGAGTTCGTTTCTACATTAGGATACTTAATTCACTATCTTCCTAATAGATGGCATTAGTGGTCCTAGTTTTTCACCGATTAAGACTTCAGTGGAGGGAGGGAAAAATGTGGATGTTGTCAGCTGCTCAACTAAACAGACACAAACAAGATTTGTAAAATTTATGTAATGAAAATCATATTGTTGTGTTTTTATATTATACTACTTATATTCAACTTCAAAATTTTGTTTAATTTGCTCTAATTGAATAAGAGGTGTGTGTAATCCATTACTTTTTTATATGCATGTAAAAATTATAAATACAGTACTCATTGCATTTAAAATTATATTTTTGTAATAAAAAACCATTTTCTAACTTTTACAATAATATGAAGAACAAAATTAAACAGTCAAAAAAAGTTTCAATTTCGGTTCATTTTCCTGAAATATGTCACTGTTAAAAGGTTAAAGTATTCTTTTTTTTTATCCTATATTTGTATAGATTAAAAAATTCCACAGACAAAGGATAAGCATGTTCCAAGAAAGTTTAGAAAAGTTTGCAGAAGCAGAGTTAAGGAATGCAAGAGATGTGGCAGCCATGCTGGCTAAGTCATTAACAAAAATAAAACAGTTTGATGTCACATTATAAAGGGTAACTATTAACATAATTTTTTTTATTATTAAAAAAATGTCTAAATCAACTCCTTAAACCTTTCTGATGCAGTGTGTCCATTCCAGTTCCTCTTATTAAAAAAACATTAGACTTAGAAGTTGGGCAGCTCTTAAGAGCAGGGCACATCGACCAGAGGTCTATTGTACCCAAACCCTAAATCATGTTTTATTTTATAACCGTAGTTGAACACCCGACCCAATTTACGACAACTAATGTTCAACTCCGTAGCCTTGTAATTTTAAACCAATCTAGAAGGCAAGAATATATACAAAAATAGAAGATAAACTCCTGGATCAATACCCCCAGAGGTATGATTTGTTATGCAACATGCAGGACTTTGTGACCCAACGGATTTAATGTGCATCAGTCACCATTTACTACACGGGGAGTCTTTGGCCGGCAGAGATCGAATCCACAACCTCCTGTACATGGGCTGAGTGCCCTACCAACCAGGCTTTCTTTTCTGCAGAAATTTTTTTTTCTTCTCTAAAATTATACTAAAACGATGCCTTTATCGCTCATCGGAAAGAAAAGAAATTTTCGTGATTTTTCAATCCTTATTTGAGAAGAATGAAAAACAACGGAGTAAAAATTTCTTCTCTGCAAAAATGATTGAAAGATATTTTTTCTCTACATAATTATATTCATAAAAGGCTTTTTTTGAGAAAGGAAAGGAAAGAAATGCTCATGATTTTATTATTCTTATTTATGCGATGATTTACAAAATGTAAGAATATTGCTAATATATATAATTTTATTTTATCGATTTTTTTTTTTGTAAGCACAACTTTTCTGTTACTTTAAATTTAAGTAACATGTAAATTTATTATTATTAAAAGTATCTTTCAGAAAGATATTAGTAGAATAGGGGTGCCTTGAAAAAAAAAAAACGTGAGGATCCAACTAATGTCACAAAGTTTCAGTTCAATTCATTTTTGCCTTCGTTTCAAACTGCTTTAAGATTCGAAAGTTTTGTTTTTCTTTCTATACATATAATAATTATCCATGCCATGTAAGTAGTAAACACTTATTTCTTTCAGGGTCAATAAATTTATGTCAATGAATGCCTGAAGATTAAAATGTATTTGAGTGCTGATTCTGAAGTACTTTTACTTCACAATTTGAAAGAAAATAATTGTACAAATCATGGATTTATGTAACATTTTTCCCATTAAATAAACATATTTAATATAAAATACAGTATTGTCATTTACTAACATATTTTACACATGTTTTTAAAGAAATGCAAAAATGAAACATGGAAAGTAGAACACAGATAATCTGTTTATTTATGCATGGAATAAAATAAATTATTCCTTAAAAGTTAAATTATAAAACTCAGTTTTCTTTTCTGTGGGTGCTAGCATGTCAAGCATACTTTTAGGTGGGCGTACTTTCCGTCCACAATACCCGTCTTTTCTGTGCCAAAGTCCAGAACGAGGTCTCTTTCCCAGCCACCTCATGCGGTTGGGACTACCGATCGGTATACTACCGTGATTTGGATTAGAAACCCTTCCCACAACCACCATACATTTTTCATCCAGACAGACTTGGCGTTTATGAGGAAGCTGAATGATGCACTTGTTGTCCACTTTCTTGACCAATTGAGCAGACGAACCGGCGGCTCTGCAGAAGATGGCTCCGGATCCTGGGGTTGTTTCGATGCAGTGAACCATTGTACTGATGGGAAGAGCACCAATAGGATAGGCATCCCCATCTACAGGACAAACTGTAAAATAAGAAGTAAATACTATGTATGGATGAATATTTTATGAAAGAAAATTTACTTTTATTGTTTGTTAATTAAAATTTCTGTTCTCATAAATAAGAACTAGAATTTCACACGGGTCTGTTTAGGTTTTTTTGAGAGGTACCTATTTTATGAAAATTTAGACATAATTAGTGGAAATTAAAAAATCAACACAAAAATATGGTAAAGTAAGAAAATATTTTCAAAAATTTTCACTACTAATAAAAATCATTTATGACTGGTAAATTTCTATATATTATTCAAAAATAATTTTGCTATTGTAAAATTTTGGGCTTAAAATTTTATCCAAATTTAAAAATACATAAAAATCATTGTCCATAGTTAAATTTCCACTTGAATTTAATAAAAACATGCATTTAATAGTACTAGGTCATACAGAAAAAAGTTTAACAGAGAAAAAAATATTTCATAAATAATAAATTTCCAATAATTATTTAAGATTATGTTCGACTTTCTGCACAGTTTAAAGAGGGGGAGCCTCGTCTTTTCATTTTAAAAAAAGGTTTCCCGCATTGCACTAACTGACCAAACACGTGCTACCTTTTCGTAAAAGACAGCTGGGGGAAAAGCTCCATTTTTCCATAGATTGCAACGAGAATGGGTTTGCATGAGAACTTGCTTTTTTAAAAGTACCGTTTTTCTTAAAGTTGAATTTGTGAAGATACCGCTAAATGGTAGTAAATGTACCCTGGACAGACCCCTGTTACAAAATATACAGTAAATGATAATTGTAGAGAAACTATTTGTGGAAAACGTCTGCTAAGATTGTAAACATTAATTAAGACTTTAATATATACGAGTAGAGATTAAGAAAATTTAGACACTGATCCGAGAGACCTGCAACAGAATGATATTACAGAATGTGAAATGTGTTATTTTGTAACAACTACAAAGACTAAAACATAAAACCATAAGTCTTTTTACATTAATTGATGGTTAGGGAGACCATTTAAAATTATTTTATGGTGGTTCTAGTCATATTTTAGCGGGTTTTGATCAAAATTAATTTCAAGCTTTGTGTATTTATATAATCATTCTTTTCTGTTTTCTTACATTAAGGGATCTATGTACTTGCAGCTCATGTACAGTCAACAAAGCTTAATTTTCTCTTTTCATTTAATATATGCATATCCCCTAAGTTTTCAATTCATAGACTACAAATAAAATTAATAATCGTAGAGTAACATTGATTTTTTATTTGGTGTTTAGTCAGCTAGAATAATAGCCTCAGTTGTGAGGAGATAAATTTTTTAATTAAGTAAATTTATAATGAAACAAAAGTGACAATAGCTGTTTGTTATATTTGTGCTGCTCAGTTGCAAGTTAAAACTAAAGAAGTGTTCATATTACAGAGGTGATACTCACAATAGTTGATATTCTTGTGGGTTTCGTATTTGGTTATTTCCCTAGTTGTACACAGTAACATAATACATCATATTAGAATATAGGAGAATAATCCAAAAAGCATAAAACTAAGCTACTAAAAATATTAATGATACGCAACTACCGGAGCTTTTATTAAAATGCTGAATATAAAACCTTTCCCTTATTTTATTAAATTTTTTCAAACAAAACATAATTATTTAATTTAAACATACAAATAGAGGAATAGTTTAAAATGTTAACCAAAAATTGAATTATTAAATCAGGAATTTTTTTAATGTAATGTGGTTGGGAGGTACCACATAATTAAATTATTGGTTATTTTATTAAATATTTTATTAATTATTAGTTATTTTATTAATTTTTTTTAAAGAAAACATTATTTAATTTAAATATACAAATACAGGAAAAGTTTAAAATGTTAACCAAAAATTGAATTATTAAATTGGGACTTTTTTAATTGTAATGCGGTTGGGAGGAACCACATAATTAAAAACAGAAACATTTTTGAGCACTCTGTGTTTAAAAAGTGGCAATCTGTCTATAGTGCAGCTTTTAGGAGAACTCCTCCAGACATCAGTCTTATGTCGTGGCGGGTACCATGGTTACGAGAAAAAATCACTTGGAATAGTTTTGGTTTTGGCATAGGTAATAATAATTTTTATTTCTAAATAGGTAGGGTATTGTACCCATTAATGTACTAAAAATTAAAGATAAATTCGAAAGAAACTAAGACAAATACAAACTAGGTATGCGAGGAATTTCGCCTGATGTCCTGATGATATCACCCACTTTAGTAAACTCAGAAGCAATTATCCACCTTTTGTGGTCTTCAGTAGCAACCAGGGCTATACGGGCTGTTCTACATGGATCGTATCTGACCATCAGTACCCTCTCTTCCAAGACGCCACCGTCAGGGCGTGCTTCTCGTTTAAAGTCCACCCAACGAAATTTTTTCTTGTGGCCTCCACCGATTGTTCTCACTACAACTTTACCTGAAATATAAATGCAACAATTATTTCATAATTTATGCAATTGAAATTAGGTGCTCATTATCAGGGGTCATATTAAGAGAAATTAAATTTTTTTTAAATTAAATGTAAGGTTTGAATGATTTAAATCACTTGATTTTTTTTTTCTTAATGAATCTAAGTCAGAAATATTTTTTAATATGAATTATTAAATTCTATTTTATTCTAATTTATTATATAGTCTGATTTTAATATCGTTATTGATATTGAAGATTTTATCTAGAGAAATGATTAGAGGCAAATATATGTAAATTGTTATTTGATGTTCAAATAAGGAAAAAAAAAGGCTAAAAGTGAAAGCATTTAAGTAAATTTTCATTTCGCTGCATGTAAAATAATTTGCTATTGCATGAACGCATGGGTTTAAATTTTTTTCATACTTAGTTTTATGTTTATTGAAATATCAGTTTTCTTAAACCTAATATTTTGTTTGTGTATATAAAAACGAAGTAAAAAGTCTTGTTTTGCCAAGATAAGTGATTTTTTTTTAAATTTCCTGATCTAAATTAATTTATTCTTCATTTAATATTTAACAAACAAACTGAGCCTTGGTCTCCATAAATTCATGAGGGTGTTCAGAGTAGAGGTTGAATAAAAATAACTATGATTTTAATTTTTTAGTGATTAGTTTGTAATAATTGTATAATAAATAATTTTAACCTTTTTAATTAATTTTAACTATGTATGTTTTATTGTTTTTGAACAAAAGCAGTGCTTATACATTTTACCAAAGTCGTGATTGGTAAATGTATTAAAAAAAAACTTATTTAAATAAAAAAAATCCATTTCAAAATTTTAAATAAAAAAATTGATTTTAAGTAAAATATTTCAAATATAAAAAAAAGCCTTTTTCCGTTTTTTATTGAAAATATATTTATAAATATCATTAAAGAGCCCTACAGAAATTCAAAGAGTTATGCTAAGGTGAATAGAAGCTTGACAGAGCCCTTTACTATTGAGACTGGGGTCAAACAGGGTTGTGTGATCTCAGGGTTATTGTTCATAATTACCTATAATTGATTGGATAATTAACAAGTAATATAAAAAAAAAAAATTAAGTCGATTCCTACTTTGGTCAAAATTTTTTTATTTATTTTAGTTACTTTTTATTAATTAATTAAATTTTTTCTCTCATATAAAACTAAAATTAACTTATGAATGAATTAATATTTGAAAAAAAATGTATTAACATCAAGTGTCATCTACTACAAGTTTTAAAAAATGTATTGGAACTTGAATTGATGAATAAAAAGTATTTTATGAACGATTTAAAATTTGAACAAGATATATAAATATATATATAGGGAGAGTATGAACTAATAGTAGGAATTGGGGGAAAAAAAGGCACATGGTTAACTATAAAAGTATAAATTTAGCGACGCGGATCCCACATGATATCACGCAATGTTCTTTATTGAATTTATTTGACACAGAGAACATAAAATATTTAAATGTGTGCAATAAAGTTTTTTTTGTTCAAACAGAGCTATAAGTTAGAAATCATCACTGATGTTATTTTTATAGTATGTGAAAATCTGAATCGCTTATAGTAAAATTTAAAACAATTGATTAACACTTAACCAATCAGAAAATTCCATTCCGTTTTTCGCCCATCCCTATTTAATGAATGAATTAATATTTGACAAAAAAATATATTTACATCAAGTGTCATCAAGAAAATGTATTTGAACTTGAGTGAATGACTAAAAAGTATTTTATTAACGATTGAAAATTTGAACAAGATATCGGGAGAGTGTGAACTAATAGTAGGAATTGAAAAATACAATCCAAAGAAAAAAGAGGAATTTGATGGCACTTTAGCACATTAGAAGATCTGGATTTTGCAGATGAGATTGTTTTATTTGTCAGTAAATTTGATGATCTCTAGCTGCTATCCAAAACAACTAAACTCAGTGGCGTGACTGCCCATAGAGGGCCAAAGCCTACTGTGTCCATCTCAGTTTTCTTGACCTCAGGCTGTGGGGTTTAAAAGCAGATGCTCCAGGTGGGTGTCAGCCGAACGCGGAACCTTCATTGTTTAGCCTCAAAGTAGGCTACGTACTCATTTTATCGAAGCACTGAAGAGATGAAAGGCATAGTCAACCTTGCCTGGCCTGAGGATCCAACTGAGGACCTGTAACACGAGAGTGCGAAGCGCTCCCACTCAGGCACTGCGCGTCAATTCAAAACAACTACTTTTGAAAAATATACAGTAAATGTCAAATTGAAAATAAATAAAAATAAGACTAAGCGTGATAGATATTGAAATTCATTCAAAAGCCTGTAACTAATTGTGAAATAACTTTATCAAATTAAGAGTTAATATTTCTAAAACTTTTTACTTCTTACCTCAGGGTGCATAGCCAGTTATTCAATAAAAAAATAAGCAAATTTTAAGTACTTTTCAAACACCCAAAAAATATTTTTAATCACCTTCCAAAAAAAAATTCATAATTAGGATCTGTGCAGTAATAAAAATTATTTTTTCTATCATTTAAAGTACTTAATTTATAAATATAAACTCAGTAAAATTCAATAACATTTTCAAAAACTTCACATAATCATGATGATAGAACTAATTTCTGATAAATATTGCTGAGAAAATTGTGAAAATAATACATTTTTTGTAATTTAGAACAATAGATAAGGCAAAGAAAAAATCTCTTTTTAAAAGATAGAAAATTAAGCACTTTTTACAAACACTGAATAAAAAAAGCACCTTTAAGGGCTTTTAAAAAACATAAATCAAAAATAGACACCTTTCAGCACTTTTTAAATACACTACTCACCCTGTACCTTTAAAACAACACCTTGTTTGTTAAAAAAATTTTATTTTGAATTTTTCCTCATTTGAATGACAATCCCATTGAATTTCCCTGCAGCATTTTATAAAAAATTAAGACTTACCAGTCTCCGGATCTCTACCTCCCATTTTTATAATGGGGAGAGGTCGTGTCGTGTACTCGCCATCTTCAGGATACACTGGTCTCCACCCATACTTTTTAGGCTCTGGTGGAATAACACCTTGTGGAAGAGGGCGTCCACCTCCCCTTATCTTCCTAAATACTCGATCATTGTGATGCTTGTAACGGACGTTAATAACAGCATAGCTCATTAAAGGAGACTCGTAGGAGAGTTTGCTGAGATTCAAGCCAAAAGTACTTTTTACTGAATTGCTTAAGCATGCTCCATATAGGTTTTTAGCCAAATTGCAGAAAAGTGACATGGTGGTGAGCTGAAAGTTGAAACAAAAAACATAAGTAATTCTTATTAAAGCAATAACTTGTCACAATTCTATAAAATGACACTAATTAAAGCTTGCAGTACTCATACACAGCTAATTGATGGTGAATGTGGTTTTTTAAAAAATTTATTTAACAACCATCGTCGAAAAGCCGACCCAATATTGGGTTTACGGCTACTAATGTTCAACTCCGTAGCCTTGCAATTTTGAACCCAATCCAGAAGACAAGGAAACTCCTGGATCAGAACCCCCAGAGGTTTGATTTGTAATGGGAACATGAAGAACTTTGTTGCCAGACAGATTTAACGTACATCAGTCATCCTTTCACTTCGGTCGGAGGAGATCGAACCCACGACCTCTTGGACGTGGGCCCAGTGCCCTACCAACCAGGCTAAAAACAAGTTCAGTCTTGAAATGTTTCTGGAGTGGCGAACATGATAGTAACCTTCCTGTTTTCTAATGACTGGGGATGAGCTGTGATGGCTCAGGGGATAGAGCGTTTCCCTTTCAATGAGGTGAAACGAGTTCGAATCCCAGCGATTGCTGGTTCATACGAATTTCGCAAGATCCACAGTTGTGGAAGTTAAGGTTCCTCAGTCTCAAGACTAATGGCTCAATTTCAAGGCATCAGCATTGTGCACCATTATTCCCCAGCCAAGCTGGCACTTTTCCATCTGAACCTGGGTAGGAAAATGTTCAAATTCTACACAGTGACAGCTCAGAGCACTAGCTACTCTGCCTTTATGGCTCCCAAGCAAAAAAACACTTTAAATATTAATAAATTAGTTAATTAATTTCTTAAGTACATTCATTTAATGTGAATTTAATTAGAGTAAATTCTAGACTATTAGGCCAAGTAAAAATGACGACTGTTGGATCAGTCCTTGTGGGATGAGAAGGAAGAGGAACAATGCTAAAGCATTCATCTGCTACCAACCCACTTTTATCAGCCTGCTGAGTGCCAAATCTCGTAAAAAATGTAGTTTGACCCTTTAGAGTGATAATTGTTAATATTTGTGAAATTTATTAATGATTAGGAAGTAGTTTTAATTAGGTACACAGAGTTGCCACTCAAATCTGGAAGAAAAAAAATTCCCTGTATATATTCTACACAAGATATTAGGAGAATCAATGTGCTCTTGTGTGAGCTATATTGGGCTAACTATACAGATTTCAACTGCTGGAAAAACTTAGCGAAAAAAGGAACAGCTGAACAAGACTATATAGTTGAGAGCCTACAGTATTTTAATATAAAATATGATTTTTCTTTTAATTCTTTAATGCACTGCAGAAAATTAATGAATGAGAAGACACAAAGTGACATGTACGTCCATGCTTGATGCTTGAGGATTAAGCAATTGAGTTGCAAAGCTGGGTAATATTATAGAATCAAAAGTCAGTGCATGAATTTAACCCCAACCAAATTTCACTTTAAATGCATCATGCGATTTTTCAATAAAAAAATATGAAGGAGTTAAAAGCGACAAGCCTATTCAAGATTTATTCAAAAATCAAATAATATTTTTTCTCTGTTAAAGAGAACATTTTAACAAAATAAACTTTAATTTTCCTAAAATATTTTGGAAAAGGTTATTGTAATTAAAAAGAAAAGAAACTGTGTTCTGCAGAAATATTAGGCACTGAAAATTTTCAGCAATTCTGATAAACCCCTTCAGGGTTTGTTAAAATACATCAATGAATATATATTATACAGATACAATATTTCAAAATGAATTATATTTTTAGATCAAGAACGTGGAAATAAATTTTTTAGTTAAACAAAAAATTTTCTGTAATGATTATTGTAAAAGATAAGACCAAAATATCTCCATTTTATTTTAATGTTTCTATTATAGACAAAACTGGTCACACTACAATTGGTACCTTTTGCAAAAAATATCCACATTTGAAGAAAAATTTTGGAATATTGAACTCAAAGTTTAGCAGAAAAACATAATTTTCACTGCTGCTATTATGACAGCTAGACTAGACTAGACATTCTAATTTTTGATTAATTCAGTTGAACTGTGAAATCGCTTATGGACTAAAAGCAGAAAAACTTGGTTATGTTTAAATATTTCAATAAAAAGAAATAAATATTGACTTTCTGATATTTTAAATTTTTAGTTTAGCGAAATTAACATGATGCTTGGTATTAAGTTAATATTTTACATTTTGATGTGAACCAAAACTGCGCTTATTTTTTAAATTTGTATTTTATTAGGTAAAAATTTTGATTATTAAAAAAAAAAGAAAGATTGAATTACATAGTGAACATATAATAAAATTATTGGAGTTAGAATAGATGTTGTTGATATTTGTTGTTTATTTGTACATAACTATTAATTAAATTTAATGAGCATTTCTGCATGTATATTAAAATTTTAATAATATACTTGGAATGAACAACTAATGCTGAATAGCAAAGAAAACAAATGCTTCAAATTCATTATCTCTTTTTCTTCAATTTAAATACAAAAAATGTATAATAAAGATAAAAGTTGATCATTTTTTGTGCATTTTAAGACATAGAAAAGACTCATACATTGAAAAATAAAAATGAACATCCCATTTGTCCGAAAAGATAAGAGCATTTTATCTCATGATTATATACAATGCTTTCAGAAAGTCCATTCATTAACTTCAAATAAAATTATGTGTTTATTTATAATTTAACTCTAAAACTAAATCATCGATAGCTTAGTCTTTAATGCTCTCTAAGTGTAACATGAGGTTGTCTATCTTTTACAGAGATCATCAAAAAGAGCTTTCTTAATAAGAGTTACTCACAAATACTTTCAATACATTTGAATCTACTTATTCAGGGTGCGTAGCCAAATTTCTTAAGAAAAAATAAGCACCTTTAAAGTACTTTTTAAGCACTACATACCTTAACAAAATGAAAAATAATTTTTAAAGACTTTATATGATCATGATAAAATAACTAGTTTCTGACAAAGAATTCTTTTTCTTGATTATCTTAGCCACCATTAAAATATCGAGATATTTTTGGGTTTGATTTCAGAGGGGGGGGGGGCAATTGAAGCTGGAAATTAAGAATATCTTGCAAAATTCAGTTGAGTTGTACACGAAAGTGAAAGAATCTCACCGAACCCAGCTCCGAATCTCACTCCCAAGTATTTCATCAAACATGTAACATGATTGGCTCTATTGTATGTTATGAACCGACGGCACGGCGAAATGGATTGTGGTGGAATAAATTTTGAAAACGTTGAATAGAACAATGTGAAAACACCGCTTTTGCATAATACGTGGTGAAAATTGACACAGTAAGAAAAAAAAGTCTCATTTTTAAAACAGAAAGCACTTTTTAAAAACACCCTATGAAAAAGGCACCTTTCAAAAAACGAAAATAAGCACCTTCAAGCACTTTTAAAAAAAGCTATGTACCATGTTATTTGTTTTTTAATATTATTTTAATTTTTGTGTTTCTTTATTCGACCTTTTCCGCATTTGGTGTGCAAGTTTACTTGGTCGATGGGAGAGGTTTTAATTGTTTCTCCCAAAAGGTTTTCTCCAATACAAAGTCTAAGGAAAAAAATTCCCAACCCCCAAAAGTGGTCGTAATTAGTGGAGGTCGCTACACAGAGGCTTCACTGTACATCTAGAAGACAAGAATATGACTGAAATAGTTGTTCTCAAACCATTTTTTATTACTTTATTTGGCAATAACAAAGCTATATATATATATATTTTAGTTTGTACTATATCTAACATTTGTATTTAGTATATATAAGTATGCATGTAAATTATACTTGAAAAAACACACACTTTACTTTAATAAATCGCACATACTTTAACAAATAGCTGTACTTCAACCTGAAATTCGTGTGTTGTGTCGTAACATAGTATAAAAACAACACAATTTGAAAAACCACATAGAAATGGCTGAAAAAATTCTAAATAACTATCGACAACAAAAATAAAATTACGTGTCAAAAAGAGATTACTCAAATAAGCAAGATGTAACAAGACCTAGTTTAAAGAAAAAAATATGATTTCAAAGGAAAAAAAGTAATAATAAATAAAATAATATAAAAATTTTATTAACGCTTTTACTTTTGAAGAAAAAGTAATGACTTTTAAAGCCATTTAAATGTAAAATAAGAACATTTAAGATTGCTAAATTTTTGTAATGCAAAATTAAGCAGTTTTAAAATGCATATAAATCCTATAGAAAAAGAAAATCCAATTCAAAGAGATACACGCAAAATTTCATGTCCTGGCAGCTCCACAACATATACGGAAATAAAAAGTTAAAATAGATGATTAATAAAATCCTTCTGCATTTGTCTCTCTTGCATTTCAAGAGGTATTCATGTGAAAGTTCTCCATTTTTCATCATATATTCAATCCTTTTCTATGCCCCAAGCATTTGGGTCAGTCGTTCTTTACTAGATCAGGTGAACCCTGATATTTTGCAGGGGTCTGTTTAGAAGGATTTTGGGTCCGTCAACGGACCCTTTACGAATTAATTTATCTTTTAATCGAACCCTTCACAAACTTGTTTATCTTCATTAAATTTTTGTTCATCGAATAAACCCTTCCGGGGGGGGGGGAAGAGAAAGACTGTTCGAAACAAACTAATTTTCCCTAAGTTTCAATTCCAAAAAAATATTTCTACTATTACAAACATCATGTGCACATTCTTATTAATATTAAATCATAAGTTTTTTTTGTAAATAAATAATTGATCAATTTATATTTATTCATAAAATTAATTAATAGAATATTATATAAATAAAAATTTATTTCTGGCAATCTTTTAAATAAAATATGATAAATTTAAGTTTACTTAACGCATAACACATTAAAAGTGATACATTACTAAGTTGTGTTATTTAAAATATGTCAATTGAAATAATTAAAAACGCGAGTGATTTTGTTTCCATTATTCATCCGAAATGAATATTCTGCGCTGAGCAGTATAGGCTAAATACCAAATATTTGTATGCTGCATCTCTAATTTAGTAGCGGCAATTATTGAGCAGAATATTGTAGCGATTTACAATTTAAAAACTTATTGAAAAAGGATTTTAGCAATTTTTGCAATAACAGGACCCTATTTGCACAAATTCACAAAAGCAGGACCCTGGTAGAAAGAATGTGAATTAATGCTTATTCACAAATTATGAATAGCTTTTTTCACAATTTTACAAAAACAGGACCTTTTACAAAATGTCTGGACAGACCCCTGTTTTAGGTTTAATAAAGGGGGAATTGTAATAATTTTGTTTTATTTGAAGAAAAGGCGGGGGGAGGGGGGGACCTGTGAAAAGCAAATATATAAAAAATAAAAAAAAGAGACAAGTGACTAAGCCTTTAAAATAATGAATAAAAGTCACTATTTTTCAAGATAAAGTGACTCACGCCAAAGCTCTGATCATAAGATCCCAGGTAACAGAAAAATTTCAATTTTATGTTCGTTCCTTTACTTGTAAATAATAATGATAATAAATAAATGAATATACAAGTCATATATATATACCTTAATTACATACAGCAACCTATGAGGACAGCCTCTTTTAGAATAAGTATTTACTATGAACTTACCTAAAAAATAAAAGAAACAGAAGCAATGTCAATAAACATTTTATTATTAATTACATAGTATACATAAAATTAGATACACATTGAATAAATATATATATTTAACAAGTAATTCACTAAAACTTTATTCAGTATATAAAGCTTGTAGGATTAAATAACAAGCAAAATTAGACCTTGAAATGATATTTAAGTAAAAAAAAATATATATATTCTACATCAAAAGTTTATTTTGTCAGAGTTTGATAAAACATATATTGATGTACTTATGAAAGAAAAAAATATTTTATTTTGAAAAAATGTAGTTAGTACCTAATAAAATTTTCATCCCATTTAGGGATATTTCTTTCAAATTATAAATTTTTTCTTAATCGGTTTCATTTAAGTTCTTATTCGGTTTAATCTACAGAGAAATCAGGTAATTAACATAATCAAATCTCAAAAAATAAATCCTTTGAAATAAAAGTTCTCATTAATTGAAAGTTTATTAATGCCTAAATATTAGGATTATAAGTGACCAACCAACAGATTTTTTTTTTTTCGCAATAGAACTTTTACCGAAAATTCTTCCTTGAAATTTTAAAGCAAATTAAAGTCAGTGTTCATAATTATTATAATAAAAAAATGTAAAAGAAAGTGGTCCAAATATGTAAAAGAAAAATAAGTTTTCACGACAAAAGAATATTAGAACGCAATATTTTATACTTATTTTTAATTTAACATTCTATTTTAGTGAAAATAATGAAACTAAACATTAATAATGCAAAAACAAATTTGAATTCACTGTGCATTTATTATTTTGATAATAGTAAAAAAGCTTTATTTAATTTCATACTTTAAAAACAGCTCAGAAATTAGAACTGTTTTTCACATTAGGGATATCTTCATAGTGTGATCTGTCGCGCAACTGCTATTGCCAAGGTGCAGAATTAATTTGATTAGCTAATTTTTCTAAAAAAAATTTAGATTTGCCCAGGGGTGGCTACGAGTTTTACCCTTCAAGTTGAAATCCCTCTTAGATGTTTCTTTTTCTTCTTTTAATTTCTTGTGAACCACTGCCTGGAAATCATGACTTAGCAATTTTAATGTTGATCATAATATGGAAAACCAAACCTCAATAATTTAAAAAAATTTCAATACTTAAAATCCCAAACCAAACAATAAAAAAAATTTATGTGATAGGTCTATGTGTTTTTATTATACAGAACTAATTACATAACAAAAATCTTTTCAGCTTCTTTGATGTCAAATATTTCCTTAGTACGAGGACAGGTTACTTTGCCGTTATTTTCTGCCGCCATTAGTTTCAGGGATAATTCACCATAAACATATCCATTGGGCAGCATAAGAGGATGATTATGCTCATTTAAAGGCTCTCCAGAAATATAGCAGACTAATCGTGATTGTGAGCAATGGGAATATGGTAAATTTTGGGCTAAAGTATTTAAGGCCGCACCACAGACTGGACAATCGGGATTCCTCTCTCCCTCCGACTTATAACAGATAGGAGTCTTTAAAGCGGACAAACCAGCTTGGAGAGACACCGAAAAAACGGACACGTTACTCAACTGATAGAGTTTGAAGTTATCTTGTCGAAACTGCAGAACTAACTTATTCCAACGGCCTTCATCAAAATAATCTTTGTAAGGATGAACCTGAGTGTACAAAGGAAAGGCTAATAAACCCATCACGTGCTGAACCTCTTTCAGATGATCCTCTTCGATGTTCGAAAAATATTTACGAGCATGCTTGATCGCTTCCACCCTCATTCCTTGGCGGACGAGCTCGATAAACTCTTGTTGTCGCAGATTGAATTCCAACGAGCTTTTTAATTTCCTCAACTTGGATTTGTTGTCGTAACACCAATTCAAGCAGTTTGCTGTTTCGTGTCTGAGTAGAGATTCTTCTACATCTTTAGATATCAAAAACAGATTGATGTTTGTCAAATCTTCGATGTTAGAGTGCTTAGCCAGCTTCAGGGCGGTATTATAATAGCCACATCTCAAAAAGTGATCCACCAACATTCGATCTAGTCGCTTCTTTTTCCACTGGGCAACAGCTGAATCTTGAGAACTGCCATGCTGTTTCAGATGATCCAATCTACGTTTACAGACTGAAGCTGCTTCAAGCTCTTCGCTTATACTACCTTCCGTTTGACTGTTGACAAGCTTCCGCTTTAAGATATTCAACTTTTCAACAACACCTCCGAGTAAAACATTGATTTCTTGAACATTGGGGGATTTTTTGGTTAAGCCTTTTTCTAACTCAGCAGCGGCACTTTGAACGTGGGAAACCTCTCTATCTATTGTTTTTTGAGCAGTCCGAAACTTTTTATTCAACACTTCATACGGAACTTTAAGAGTGGGATGTTCCAAAGCTTTAACTTCAGCCATCATCATCTCGAATCAAAGAAGAAAAACCCTTAAAATATTTGTTTTTTCTATAAAAGCAATAAGACAATGCAAACCAACAGTTAAAAAATCACTTAAAGTCCTTTGAAGTTAATTTTATACAGAAACATTGTTCTCTCTTCTAATTAACTAAAACTAGATCTATACAATATGTATATGAATAATTTTTAAAGCATACCTCAAAAGAGTTTTGTAAGACTATTTAATAGCAAGTTAACTAAAATTTTATTTGTTTTAATGGATAATTGTTTTCAACATTCTCAGTGCGTACTAATAAAATTCTTATTTTGCTGTTTACGAAAATTTTCTGCGGTACTATGAACTATTCTGAAAAGTTTCCTCAAAACATTCTGTATAAAACGGTAAAAACCTTTAAAGTGCAAAGCATAATATGTAAACTATTAGATGGGTATCAATTTTCGTTTGAAAATTGTAGAATCTCAGTGAACGGATTCAACTTTTCTAACTGATCACAGCTCGGTACATAATTGGACGAAACAGCAATATCTGTGTATCAGTAATGTTTAGCTGTAGAATACTTATCTAAAATAAGTAGAAAGCTACAAGCCGAAATTTAAGTGTTGACAATCATTCGAATTTCTTAAATGTGTGTCTGCCAATTTTAAAGTTTCATTTTCTGTAATTTTTCCTGTTCCATTAAGCAAATATCCCTAAGAAAATGTTCCAAACAGTCAGTAGAAAATTTGCTAATCATTTTAATTTTCTATTTTAATAATTGTTTGGTTATTCCAAAATTTTGCGAACTATTAATGTAATATGTTGGAATCATGTTATTTTTAGTGTTTTGTATAGAACTTGATTGAATGAAAAACTTCTAGTTTAACAGATTAATTTTATAATTAAATAATTTTGCTTATTTTTTTACTTCATATTATGTCAATATTATTGAAATTGAAAGTTCCAAAATTTACTTATATTACTTATTTATAGATTAAACACAAAATGTTGTATTTTTAAATCAGTAGGTAATGTAATTATATGAAATAAAATTTAAGAATGTTTAAATACTGTTTCTGTTATCAGGTTAAACGTAAAACTTTAATGATAGTATTCATACACTGTTCTAGATTAAGTCTTAGAATCTTTTTAAAATATTTTATGTTTTTCTTCTCCTCATAATGACTGATTTGTATTAAAAGTTTTTCATTTGCAAGTTACTGTACTTTTTATTTCGTGACTTGCTTAATCATAATACATAAAACACTTACTAATTCATGCACAAGAGAAGATTGGAGTAATTGTTAATGTGAGAAATTAAAAACTGTTTCTGATGACCAATAGTATGTAAATTAAAAGTCAAATATTTTGCTTATTATTTTTACTACATGCTTGAAGCATTATTATTACAAGTTTGAAAATTTTATTTTCTTCTTTTACATGTCATCTCAGTGTTCTGCGGAACCCTAGGGTTTTGTGGAAGGTTTAGAGGGGTTGATCATCATGCTCTCTCATTTGTAAATATCCATTTTTTTCTTTAAATGAAAGAAAGTTTTCTCACTTTTCATATAAGTATAAATACTGTGGCTGATTTTTTCTTTACCTTTACTTATTTTGACCACAAGTTAAACAAAAAAAATTCTTAAATTAAACATTACAACTAAAATAAGAAGCATTTTTGTTTCGAATACTATTTTACATCAATAGATGTTCTAGATCAAAATTACTACTTTCATTCTTTCCTTTCTAATATTATTTAATATTTTTAAGTCGGCTATGAATAGTTTGTGCTTGTACTAAATTGTGAAAGAGTTTTATCATTTTTGTGGATGTATTTTGATTGTCTTTTTCTGCGACTTTTTTATTTTATGAAGTACGTAAATTTTTGTTACGTTAAGTGTATCTGTATTCTTTCTCATTATGTTGAAACTTACAGTTCGGAATTTTTGTTACCATAAGCCTGATGGTTTAATCTTTTTGCTGTCTTAAACTATAAAAATAGATTTTTCCCAATCACATATTTTATGTTATGCAAAACATAGTAACATGCACATATGAGGCAAAATTGATTCAAACTCAAACAAAGCTGTTAAGACTGTGGCATTTGGAACCAGGAAAGTCACAAGAAAAGATTTCAGAAGATGCTTTTAATGATTATTTGGTAAGAAAATTATACCACACTAGAACAAATTAAAAATGAAATGAACATTTTGAAATATTTTAAATATTATTAAAGTAATTTTAAAGACATTTAAGTAATTATGTAGTACAGGATGTGCCAATAAAACATGACCGCAATAAAGACATGACCGCTCAGGGTTTTCCAAGGTCTTATGTTAAAAATTCCATGCGGATAACTATTAATTTTAATTCAATTTTTTGTTCGATTAATTTTTAAACTTATGATGATATGGAACTCATGAAAGTTCTATAAATTTCTGAGTTAAAATTTCTTTTTACCTGATTCTAGCTTCTAAGAACTTTTTTTTNTTTTTTTTTTTTTTTTTTTGAAAAAAACTGCAATTTTGAAATAAAAATATTACATTTAAATATTATTGACATGAATATTTTTTATAAAACTACCGTTGTATGAATTATATTTTTATTCAATTTTATTAAAATTAATTGTTGCTGTAAATTAACTTAATTATTAACTTAGTTGTATATGTACTTAATTGTTCTTAAGTAAACAATTAATGTGAAATATCAATGCTGAAACATGTTCTGTATTAATTAAATAAGTAAAACAACTTTATTTAGTTACTGTTTATTATTATTTTTGCTTTTTAAGTATTCAGCATTAGAAAGAAAATTATAATAATTTTTTATCATCATTATTATGCTTAGATACTGCGGCCTCCTCATCAAGAGCTGGTGGGCTGCAGGTTGTGCACCTCCATATAACGTATTATAAGTGGCTCATGCATCTCCTGCATTTTGAGGATTGCGGAGGTGTTATTTACGCATTGTCTATTTTACTTGATAGGATAATGTTCACAATTGCAAATGAAAAATTTATTTATTCACAATCACTACTGGTTTTAATTAAAAAGTTGGGGTTCCAAAGCAATAATATTGAGAACCGCCGCATCAGAATATGCAAATTGGAATTGCATTACTGCCTGATGGATAAAAATGACTTTTATCTGTCAAATATAAATATCTAGGCCGGGATAGCCTGGGTGGTAGGAGACTGGGCCCATGTCCAAGAGGCCGTGGGTTCAATCCCCATGAACGAAGACTCCCTGTGTAGCAAATGGTGACTGATGCACGTTTAATCTGTCGGGTCATAAAGACCTCCATGTTCCCATAACATATCATACCTCTGGGGGTATTGATCTAGGAGTTTCCTTGTCTTCTGGATTCGTTCAAAATTATCACAAGGCTATGAAGTTGAACATTAGTAGTCGTGATCCCAAAATTGGGTCAGCTGTTCAATGACGGCTATAAAATTAAATATAACTCCTAATGGCTAAATAATTATTTTTATCTAGTCAAATGTACAATCATTTTTTTAAATGAACTAATATATGTGATAGAATGATTTATTTGAAAATATTTACCCCGACCTGCCCCAATTCAGGGCATACGGGTATGGTAGAATGATTTATACAAATTTATGTTAATATGAAAACCACTAAATAATAAAAAATTATCAGTATACCTCTCTGTCATGGAGGTCTCTGACAAGGTTTGGCAGAGAATTTGAGAAATTGTGCCCTTCTAGATAGTTCCTTAATTATTATTATTTTTTTTTTTAGTTAATATATTTCAATATGTAAGCATAATTACATTGTACTTTGTAATTTACATTGGCATAATTTTCGTAATAGTTGTTATATATTTTTAATTAGTTTACTAAACATAACTAATTATAGTAAATCATGAAAATTAACTATTTCATTCATTTTTACTTTTTTATTTAGCTTGCCAACTAGATTTAGAAATTTGGATTTACATTTTGGCATTATATTATTATTATATTGACATCATTATTTTTAATTAAGGTGAGAGTTGTTTATATTAACAGTAGCATTTTATTTTAGAATTTATCTACTTCTTTTTACCTGTCAAGCCTTACAAACACGTGAACTTGAAGAACCAAGCACGTGAACCAAAAATTAGCAAGAATTTTTCTTCGATTAGATCAGATCTTCGTAAAATCCAATGTATTTACATGTTAAAGATTTATTGCTTAAATATAAATAAATATAAATAAATATAACATCAAATTAAAGCAAAGACCCTGGTTATAAAATGTTTAAATTTTAGAGTCTAGTCCATAGATTTGAGAGTATAAAATAGTGAATAAAATTTTTCGTCTTCTTTTCATTGTGATATTGAATGCATATACTACCTGTCAAGTTTAATTTTTTATTTTCATCTTATAGGAGCAAAAATACATTGAATTATTTGAAACCAATAACCAAAAGCTGCAGAAAAATTGGAAGATACATACCAGTGTCCGTAAAGTATGTTTTCAGTGTCAAGCTTTTATTTCACATTTTTGATGCTTTTAGCATCTTTTTAGAAAATAAAAAAAAGCTTTATTAATTGAAGCAGCTATTTTGAAAATAAACGCCTTTGAATAAAACACTAAATGTATACTAAATAAAACATTACAATATTTAAAGCTATATGCCTTCATTATAGTAATTTTATCTTTGTTGTATACTTGTAATATTTATATTATATAAATAAACATTAAAAAAAACCTGACCATTTTAGTTTTTGTATTTAATTTTTAGTTTTAAAAATGGTTTTTAGTTTAGTTCTCTGTGTTTTTAGTTTAGTTTTCTCAGCCAGATGACAAAAATTTGGAAATTGATTATTTTAAAATAAATAAACAAGGTATCGTTTTCAAGGTAAAAAACTGAAGATTTAGAGATTTTAACATATTAATATCAGTTTTCAATAAGCTTTAGGCTGTTAAATGAAAGGCTAAATCATTTGAAATTTTTAACCAAGGTAAGTTAATCTCTACTGTGTACAGGTTTTTTTTTTTTTTAAACTGCACACTAATAATAGAAAATGAAATAAATAATAATTGAGTTTGTATCAAATATGGTTATCTAGCGCCAAATTGTGTCAAAACATTTCACATTTTAATTTACAAAAAAAATTCTCAAGATGCAATTTTGATATTTTATGTCCAACACCAAAATATGCAATTAATTGTACTGTTCCACGAAGATTTAATGTAATGAAAGTATTTTTCTGTTTAAAGCAAGATTCTTTTTTCTAATCTTTTTTTTATTTTAAAAATAATAAATTTTTTTACTGTTAATTAATAATTAATTATTTTTAGGTTTTGCACTATTTATATGATTTTTCTTCATAAAATTAAGTGAAATATGAATAAAACCATCTAAATATTTAAAGTNGCAAGGGGATTGGCCTTGCGCTCAACCCATTTAGTCGCCTTTTACGACACGCCGGGAATACGTTGGTGCAATTCTACCCCGGACACCACACGGGGGGCCCAACATACACAGAGAGGAAAATCTCCCATGGTTAGCCTGAAGGCAAGGGGACTCTAACCTATGATGGGTCTACCATTGAGGATATTATACATCAGCAGTATAGTTGGTGCATGCAGAATTCGTATCACCAAGGGATTCGAACCCTAGTCACCACAATGGGAGGCAAGCGCTCTATTCCCTGAATCACCACAGCTCTTAAGAAATGAGTGTCACTTTTTTAAAAAATCTTTTACAGGTTTTTAAAAAAATAAATAGATTTTTTCATAAGTGTACAGCAATGAATGTAGGACATGCCTTAATAATAACATTTGCATCCATTTTATAACTTCATTTTAAAAAACACTGCAAGCACACAATTTATAAATATGCTTTAAATATATTTTTTATTGATGGAAATTTTAACCTTTTTCTTTATCCTTTTAGATTTATGATAAAGAATCAAAAACTTACATCTTTTCATTGCATGGTTCATCACCTGTTCCTGTTATGTTCTTACCAAAAGAAAAGAAAGACCACTGTATGTTTTTTATTGCTAAAAAGAAGTTAATTATTTTTGAACCATCTCAGCTACAAATTTTTTTTTTATACATTCACTTCAAATCCAGCTATATAAATGTGTTTATCTATAATACTTGATGTAAAATTTCTGAACTATTTCTACAGTATTGAAGTTTATTTCACAAACTTTGTAATCATTTTCCTTGCGTACGCTTGAAATAATTATGAAACAAAAAACTATGAAATAAAATATTTAAAAAAATGTCTGATTATGTAATTTAAAAAATATTTAGGGAAAGTTATAACTTATTATTTTGAAGTTAAAAAATTCATGATTTGCTACTATTCTTCATTTGTAATTTTATATGTTTAATTTTTTCCCCCAGTGCATATTCTAGATGTAAACAGTTCAAAATTGATGGTTGAAATTAATTTTTTTGTGAATCTTTCTGCTTACACTTCACATACATAAGATAAAGCATTTTTAAGATATGCAATAATTTTAACAAACACATTTTTTTCACCCCAAAAACTCAATGACATAAAATAAAGCATTTTTAAACTTTGCGTAATTTCTTTTTTAAAAAAACTAGATGCTAAGCAATTGCAATCCTCAAATAATAAAATAATTTTCAAAACCAAGAAGCTGATTAAAATAATTAAATTAAAAACAAAACATAAGGGTTTAAAAATTAACAAAAATTTAAAAGGTATGAATTATTTCGTCAAACTATTAAAAAGTCAGTTATATAAACATCTTTCAATGCACATCAGACATGACCAGTTTAAAAGTTGCTGTTGTATGATTCTAAACACTTTCAATTATTACTTTATTTAGACAATTTTAAATACTAAACAGAGTTGGTGGTGGTGAAGCATATTTAGAGAAATTATGACTCAGAAAGTTGATTGCCTAAAAACTTCATTTTAACGAAGAAAAATAGATTTCATTTATTTTTTTAAGTTTTCTTGGTGATAAACTATTGGCGTTTGCATGCTAATCAATCACTATTTTTAGAAAAAAAAATGCACACTTTTTATACGAGAATATATTTATTTTAAAAATTATGTGACGCAAAGTTGTTTATTCTTGGTTTTTTAAAATACAATTTATAAAAAGTAAAATTCTCAAGAGCCTGATGTGTGCTTAAGGCCCCCGGGCACCGTCTGGGTGTTCCCATGCGTAAAGACGGTATTGATGTACAGTGTAGATTTTGACAATGACTTTGCTTGGCCAGAATAGCCTGGTTGGTAGGGCACTGGGGCCATGTCCAAGAGGTTGTGGGTTCGATCACCGCCGGTCGAAGACTCCTCCCCGTGTAGTAAATGTTGACTGATGCACGTTAAATCTGTCGAGTCGCAAAGTCCTCCATGTTCCCATAAAAAAATCAAACTTCTGGGGGTACTAACCCAAGAGTTTCCTTGTCTTCTGGATTGGTTCAAAATGATAAGCCTATGGAGTTAAACATTAGTAGTCGTAAACCCAAATTTGGGTCGGCTGTTCAACGACGGTTATAAAATAAAATGACTTTGCTTGAGCTGTGATTGCTCAGGGGATAGAGCGTTTGCTTTCCAATGAGTTAAACCGGGTTCGAATCCCAGTGATGGCTGGTCGATAAGAATCCGCATCCGGCTTGCAAAGACCACAGTGCTGCCGTGAACTATCCTCAGTGGTAGACAAATCATAAGTTGGAGTCTCTTTGCCGTCAGACTAACCGTGAGAGGTTATCGTAGTCTTCCTCTCCATGTAACGCAAGTGGCGGGTTAGCTCCATCAAAAAGTCTTCCATGAAGGCAAATTTCTCCCAAAACTTGATACAAGAGTTCTCTTGTTTTCTGGATTGTGTTCAAAATTACAATGCTATGTTGTTGAGCATTAGTAGTCGTAAACCCACAAATTGCGTCGGCTGTTCAACGATGGTTATATTATAAAATAAAAAACTATGCTTGAACAAATGTAACAATCAATTATCTATCTGAATTTAAAGTAAAATGTTTGAAATCTTTGGTAAAAAGTTATTTAGGATGTAAAGTGTTTTGTTTTGTGCATTGTACAATTGTAGTATATTAAATTTCTTTGTTTTTTCAGTGTGTATTTGCCTGCCCTTTGTTGTTTTCCAAATATGCTCAGGATTGAATGGGTTCATTTCTATTGATTTTTAGTAAGATTTTTTTACTATCTGTTTTAATGAATATGAACAGTAAACGATATAATTATTTGTCAATTCATTTCTAATTGTTTTATACAAAGGAATAAGCTTAAATTGTGCTTAATTTTATTTAAAGAATGTATTATTAAGTTTACTGTTCTTAAATGTATTGATTGTTTAAATGTCTGATAATCAAACTGTGTGTAATCAGTTGTGTTTTATGCTGTCAAATAATTACTAACTTATGACAATGTATTTTTCATCTAAGATATTTTTGATTTAAATGTAATAGGAAAAATGTAAACATTATATTGAAGTCAATTATATTATTATAAATCAGGGTTGCCACTCTACTGGGAAAACCTGGAAAATACAGGAAATTTTGTTTCTTATTTTCGTCTTTTAAAAAATGGTGACCACTCAAACTACCACCTATGGGATATTTCAGCTATACTAAACTGCTTCATTTACTATGGCAATATTCAAGTATGTTCAGCTGTTTCTTTTTTTCCAGCAATTAAAACTAGTATAGTTAGCCCTATATAGCTCACACAAGAGCACAGTAATGGTGTTTCCTCTTAATATATTGTGTATAATATATATATATATTGTGTATAAACACAGGGAATTTTGAGTTTTTCTTTAGAAACTGAGAAAATACAAGGAATTTTGTTTCTTATTTTCGTCATTTAAAAAATGGTAACCTCTCAGATTGCAACCTATTGGATATCTAATCTATTTAATTTACTATGGCATTATTTAAGTATGTTTAGCTGTTCCTTTTTTTCTCTAAGTTTTACCAGCAATTAAAACTAATAAATATAGTTAGCCCAATATAGCTCATTCAAGAGCACAGTAATTGTGTTTCCTCTTAATATATAGTGTATAATATATACAGGGAGAACACAGGGAATTTTTTTTACAAATTTGAGTGGCAGTCCTGTAAATGCTATACTTAGCAAGATTGTAACTGTACATTTAATTTTATGATATGAAGCATAATTTACATGAAATAAATTCCATTTGATTTTGTTAAATCAACTATTTTATCCTTCATTTATGTATTTTAATTCGTGTTTCAAAATATGTGTTCAATAAATTTGAGCAGGGCATCATCTCATCAAACCTGGATCCTGCAGAGATCCTTTTGAGGCTCTATAGTTTTAAAATTTAAAATAAGAAGGTGAGATTGTGTGTGTGGGGTTCAGGGGATAGAGCATTTGCCTTCCAATAAGGTGAACCTGTTTTGAATCCCAGTGTTGGCTGGTCGATACGAATTCTGAATCTGACTTGCACCGACCACAGTGCTGACATGAAATATCCTCAGTGGTAGACGGATCATGGGTTAGAGCCCCCTTGCCGTCAACCCAGGTTAAAATTTTTGCTGGAATTTGTTTGCTAGACAAGCATATAATGCTATGTACCAGCTAAAATACCAGCATATACTACCATAAATCTTTGCTGGTTCCAGCATAATTACTAGCATTCCATACCATGAATTGGCACACTTTATTGCTGGTCCAGCATACAGAAACCAACTTGTGTTGCTTGAATATCTTGCTGGTCCAGCATAATAAACCAGCTTGTGTTGCTTAAATATCTTGCTGGTCCAGCATACATTAACCAACTTGTGTTGCTTGAATATCTTGCTGGTCTAGCAACAATCAAGACCACAACTTGCTTGTTTTTTATGCTTTACTAGCAATAATTCCATAGCAACAGATGCTTTTTTTATTGCTATTCCAAGCATAATTCTCTACCAACAGTTGCTTGAATATCTTGCTGGTCTAGCAACAATCAANTTTATATATTGTGTATAATAAATATATATTGTGTATAATATATATATATTGTGTATAATATATATATATTGTGTATAATATATATATATTGTGTATAATATATATATATTGTGTATAATATATATATATTGTGTATAAACACAGAGAATTTTGAGTTTTTCTTTAGAAACTGAGAAAATACAAGGAATTTTGTTTCTTATTTTCGTCATTTGAAAAATGGTAACCACTCAGATTGCAACCTAATGGATATCTAATATATTTCATTTACTATGGCATTATTTAAGTATGTTTAGCTGTTCCTTTTTTTCTCTAAGTTTTTCCAGCAATTAAAACTAATAAACATAGTTAGCCCAATATAGCTCATTCAAGAGCACAGTAATTGTGTTTCCTATTAATATATTGTGTATAATATGTACAGGGAAAACACAGGGAATTTTTTTTTACATATTTGAGTGGCAATCCTGTAAATGCTATACTTAGCAAGATTGTAACAGTAAATTTAATTTTTTTAAAACTGATATGAAGGATAATTTACATTAAATTAATTCCATTTGACTTTGTTAAATCAACTATTTTATCCTTCATTTATGTATTTTAATTCGTATTTCAAAATATGGGTTCAATAAATTTGAGCAGGGCATCATCTCATCAAACCTATATCCTGCAGAGATCCTTTTGAGACTCTATAGTTTTAAAATTTGAAATAAGAAGGTGAGATTGTGTGTGTGGTTCAGGGAATAGAACTTTTGCCTTCCAATGAGGTGAACCCGTTTTGAATCCCAGCGTTGTTTGGTCGATACGAATTCTGCATCTGACTTGCACCGACCACAGTGCTGGCATGAAATATCCTCAGTGNGCATGAAAATCTAGCAGACCTAGCAATACATAGCAAAAACTAGCATATTTTTGTTGCTGGTACCAGCATGAATTTTGACGTGGGAAGCTAACAGTGGGAGATTTTCGTGGTTTTCCTCTTCGTGGTAATGCAAATGCGGCTTAATTCCATCAAAAAGTCCTCCACAAAAGCAAATTTCTTAGGATATTTGATCTAGGAGTTTCTTTGTCTTCTGGATTGCGTTCAAAATTACAAGGTTACATAGTCGAACATTAGTCGTAAACCCAAAAAATTATGTCGGCTGTTCAACGACCTTTATGAAATAAAATACCATTTACCGGAAACGTCTATTTTCTAAACACTTTTTAGAAATCAAAACAGATTTTTTTTCCTTTATAATATGTTTCAAAATCTTACAAAAAAGTTTTTTTTCTAGTCATTTTTCCGTGTTTATAATAGCTAAACATTTCTATTGCTTAATCGCAACTTTAAGTGTTGAAAAGACAAGAACAGTTTTAAAGAGAAACTTTAGTGAGGCAGAGGAATAAACTATAAATATTGATGAAGATGAATATTAATTTTTGAAAGAAACAACTTCAGATAGGCTTTGTTTTGATTTAGATCAGGGATGATGGGCAAACTTTTTTGGTTGTGGGCCAAAAATCTGGAAAAAAAAGTTTGGTGGGCCTAGTAAAAACTTCTAAAATAAAAATTCTAACTTCTGAAATAAAATAAAGTCAATTCATCACTGAACGCATGGTACTCTACATCAACTTTGCATTTTTTGGTTGCTATTTTGGGATTAAAAATGTTTACAAATAACTCAAAAAGGCAGTAGCCATTTCATACATTTAATAATTTCACCATTATTTACATTGACGTTGTATGCATGCAGCCTTTCCATACGCAGTAAATTATGTTATAACTCACGCCGGAAGAAAAATCCGCTCGTTGGAACTTAAAATGCGTAATAAGCCTCATGTGAAGTACAATTCACCTATATTAGATTCCATATGCCTGCTCCTCGAGAAAGACAAATACTAGTTGGAGCTAATCTACGGCTATTCTATAAGGGACTTTTGCTTTCAACATTTTATCAATTGAAGTTGTTAATGCTAACTATTTAAATTTATTTATGTTTTGTAGAACAAAAATAGAGAAAGTAAAAAGNTTGAAAAGATAAGAACAGTTTTAAAGAGAAACTTTAGTGAGGCAGAGGAATAAACTATAAATATTGATGAAGATGAATATTAATTTTTGAAAGAAACAACTTCAGATAGGCTTTGTTTTGATTTAGATCAGGGATGGGCAAACTTTTTTGGTCGTGGGCCAAAAATCTGGAAAAAAAAGTTTGGTGGGCCTAGTAAAAACTTCTAAAATAAAAATTCTAACTTCTGAAATAAATTAAAGTCAATTCATCACTGAACGCATGGTACTCTACATTAACTTTGCATTTTTTGGTTGCTATTTTGGGATTAAAAATGTTTACAAATAACTCAAAAAGGCAGTAGCCATTTCATACATTTAATAATTTCACCATTATTTACATTGACATTGTATGCGTGCAGCCTTCCCATACGCAGTAAATTATGTTATAACTCACGCCGGAAGAAAAATCCGCTCGTTGGAACTTAAAATGCGTAATAAGCCTCATGTGAAGTACAATTCACCTATATTAGATTCCATATGCCTGCTCCTCGAGAAAGACAAATACTAGTTGGAGCTAATCTACGGCTATTCTATAAGGGACTTTTGCTTTCAACATTTTATCAATTGAAGTTGTTAATGCTAACTATTTAAATTTATTTATGTTTTGTAGAACAAAAATAGAGAAAGTAAAAAGTTTAAATTCTGTCCGCGGGCCGGATAAAATCTTCCGGCAGGCCACAGTTGGCCCGCGGGCCGTAGTTTGCCCATCCCTGATTTAGATTATAAATGTTTGCATTAAAACATCTACTGAACTCTATTTCTTGTTTAATATTTTTCTTCTTCTTTTTATTAAATAGGATTTATTTCTCTTTCATTCTAAAGCTTGTTATTTAATGTTACTTTTATCTGTATCACATTAAAGGGAAGGGTAAAAAAAATAAGAGAAAAATGTCTTTATTCAATAAAAGTATGAATAAAGTACTTTTTCATATTATGTCTTTATTCATAATATGAAAGTTTAATTTATATCATTTGCTTACTACAATTTTTAAAAAAATATTAAATACTGTTTTTTTTTTTAAATATTTTATAATATAATTCAGATGTTACGTTTTAAAGTTAAGATCACATAAACATTTCACATTATTTAAAGAACAGTGAATATTTGCTACATTTAGGTAATAATCATACTGTCTGATTGAATTTGCTTTATTTACTTTTAAGTATTTTAATTTCATCTTTTTTCTCATTTATATATTAAATGTATTTTTTCAAATAATATTTTAATGTATAGAAATGATTTGAAAAAAGTAATTTATTTTTTCAATATGTAGTGTGACATCATCAAAAAATGTTAGAAGGCGCATAACAGTCTCTAGTAAACAAAAAACTGAGTCCATAACAACCTTATCTGCTCAATTGCCTCTGCCTGTTGAAAAGGAAGTTAAAGTATGTCAATCTTCGTTATTTAATTAATTATTGAGGATGGAATTAAATTCAATTATGGAGGATGATTAAAATTTTGATTTTTGTCTACTCATTTATATGCTAAAACTGCGCATCTAAGTAGAGAAGATGCATATAACTAGGCAACATAAACACACAACGGAATTTTTTACAGTGCAGTTACAAAATAAAGAAGTAATTCTACTTCTCGTGGTCATCCTTCACAAAAGCTAGCTATCAAATCAATAGCATTAATTACTGTACAACTTTTTTCCATATTTGTTACAAAAGGTTATTGCCTTATTATTATATTTAAGTAAATTTATAATATTTCTCTAATGCTTTTTCAGGAAACTCCATTAACTTCTTTTTGATTTCTTAGTAAAGATTTCCCGCAACAGCCCGTAGTGGGCCAGAGGGTCCTGGGGAGTTCCCCCCCCCCACAATTTTGTGACTAACGGCATGGTTGAGGCATTGTGGTCAGCACTACGCACTGGCCACCGTGCGTACCCATCGTACACCGTGCGTACACACCAAACAAGCTGGTACCCATCGATCTAAAGCTGGTTTTGTTTTCCATCTGATACCTATTCTTAAACTTTATCATTAATTTAAATTAGTACCACAATGAAACTTATAAATATTTATTTATAAGTTTGATTATCTAAAGAGTATATGTCTGAAAAATATGTACACGGCCCTACTTAGCCTGATTGGCCCCCCTCTGCTTCGCTACTTCAGTAATGAAGAACCAAACTTTATGGGGTTATTTAAATTTTTACCTCCTTTATAAATAACAAGAAAATTGACTAGAACCTAAAATAGCTACTAAAAGAACTAGGTCCCCCCCCAATGCCGACGAAATATCGCTTTCCATTTTATTGATTTCCTGACAATTTTATGTCCATCATGGCAAATGCAGTTTTCCGATTGTTAACTTTGTCATCTAGCTGCGAAAGATTCATATCCTTGCTGACATTAGGGCGGAAATCAGCTAAATTTTCGCAATTACGATGACTTACTTAAGCCAATCAAAAGCCTCTATTTTTGTAAACATATCGCAGTTTGCGATGTGTTAAAGTACAGGCTTTTATTGGGCACATTTGTCCATTGTAATTGCGAAAATTTAGCTGAATACCGCCCTAGAAAGCAACCTTTTATGAAATATAGATTGTGTTCATGCAATAGATTAATGAAGAACCTGACATAAAACTGACGGATTTTACACTATAGTGATATTTTTTAAAAAAAAAGTTCATTAAAGAAGGAAATGTGAAATAAATTTTCTATTCGATTTGAGGTAGTCAGGTTTTGAATAATTCGGCTAAAATAATTCTGTTGGATCTGTATATAAAAAGGGGCTTTTGGTAACAGAAAAATGCTAAATTATATACGGTTTTTCACTAAATCCAAAATCACGGTTAGTTCAAAAAGATTAAACATAAAATACAAATTTCATCACATTTTACACCAAATTTTTTTGATTATCTGTTGCAGCATTTTTTCTCTTTTATTTAAGTTTAATACTTTTGGCATTTTCCTTTAGGGATAAAACTTTTCTTTCTGACATTTGAAACAGCTGACTAAAAAGTGTGTTTTCAAGAAAAATAAGGGCCAAGAATGATTAGATGCGACTCGAATGCTTTTGCAACCACTCGGGTATTTCTCAGATGATCTTTAAATCTCCCTCAAAATTCTCTCCCCGTATTCCGAAAATGAGGCATTGTGAACAGGTCTAGGGAAGATGGTGAATTAAAAAAGCCTCAAACTTCAACTTGTTCAGTTGTTTTATTGTGACTTTAAAAAGAAAGGTCTTAGGTTACTATTAAAGAAAAAAAAAACATTTTTTGATTCATTTAACAATCTGGTGGTGACAAATTCGATTTGCTGATAGTCATGGTGCTTTTAAAAAGTGCTTATTTTCGATTTTAATTTTTTAAAAGCCCTTGAAGATGCTTTTTTCAGTAGGTGCCCTTTCAAAAATGAGATTTTTTTTTCTTTACCTTGTCAATTTTCGCCATGTATTATGCAAAAGCGTGGTTTTCACATTGTTCTATTCAATGTTTTTACACTTCATTCAACCACAATCTATTTAGCATACACTCGGTCAGTAGCTTATGAAAGTGCCAATCATTTTACATGTTTGATTATTGCACTCTAATGTGCAACTCTGCTGCATTTTGCAAGATATTCTTAATTTCAGGCTTCATATTCCACCCTCTGAAATCGAACCGAAAAATCTCTCGATAATGTTTTGTTTAATATAATCAAGAAAAAGAGTTCTTTGTCGAAAACTAGTTATTTTATCATGATCGTGTAAAGCCTTTGAAAATTATTTTGCATTTTGTTAATGTACATAGCGCTTAAAAATATTTTTAAGTGCTTAAAAAGTAGTTAAAAGGTGCTTATTTTTTCTTGAAAGATTTGGCTACGCACCCTGACAGTGTAATGTATTTAACCTGTTGTAATAGATGCATGTTTACACTAATATAGCTCTGTTTGAATCTTTCAAATGGATTTTTAAAACATTACTTTGTGTCATTTGATAGTGGTTACACCTCCTAATTGATCTGGAGAATATAGTGTCAGCTGCGTGGAAAAATGATGCATTTTCATCTATTAATTGTTTACGCATCGGTGGATCATGCAAACTAAAGCGAATATTTTCTTTGAGAAGAGACATGATAAACAAGATTTCAGGTATTTTTGTTTATTTGAAAACAATGTCTAACATTTGCAAATGCTAAAATTTTATATATGCGCTTCAAGTGTCACATTGGTACACTTTTATCAGTTGGGCGAAACAGAAATTCTGGTTATATCACAATAGATATATACACTTAAAAAAAAGCCACATTAAATTGACAGTTAAAATTTCATATCGGATAATTGAATAACCCACTTGTACGAATTAAATTTAATAAAACCAAATAATATTATATTAAACTAATGTTAAACTTCCCCGTTTAAATGGATATTTGTTGTATTTTTGAGAAATGTTTAACCAGCTAAAATAGAATTTCTGTTTCAGTTAAGATATGGATGCAAATAGGTGGTTACTTCAATAGGGACTTCCATGTTCATTAATTGGTCTAAACAGGTGTTAGGGGTAAAATTAAAAAATGAATCAATTCTTGCTGCCAGTTATTCATTGACGTAAACGAAAGTGGTCGTTGGCTTACTTCGGGCACACATCATTTAGAATGTAAAAAAGGTACAGAGTGATCTGTTTCGTGGTCCCCTCCTGGTGTGCAGTCATTAGCTTTGATAAGAAAAAAGTTTCACAAACCTAACCCACTAGTGTACAGTTGTGTCTTTCTCTTAAGTAGAACAATCATTGCTTAATCCAGTGAATAACTCTGAGTTGGTTGTAAGTTGAGCACGAAAAGGAATGATTTGAGTTAATCAGAAGAAGAAAAAAACAATGAATTGAAACAATAAATTTCAAAAAATCCCAAACTAAAATAGAGCATTAATTTAAAATTTCTCAAGTTTTGNCATTGTTTTTTTCTTTCCGCTTTTTTTCAGATTTTTCCCGCGGAAAGTTTTTTTTTTGAACAAGTTAAAATATTTTATGAGGAATTTAATTTTCCGCTGAGAGAAATTATTGAAATCCTCATTCCTCCCTCTGAAGTTTCTCTAAAAATCATTTCCTTGGGATAAAACTGGTTGACCTTTATACAGGGATTAGACTTTTTCGCTTTTGCCACTCGAATTTCAGCCCTTTTTATCAAAAACTCCGATTCTCTAAGTTTTGTTTTTTTTAAAATAAATATCCCGCTTTTTTTTTTCTTTGAAAAATCAGTTGTTGAAATAAAATAATTATATTTATTTACGATTTTCAAAGATAAACAGAAAATTCAAACGACGTCCTAGCTGCTAACCCTTCCATATTTTTACTTATTTTCTCCGCTTTTATGCCCAAAAAATAAGATTTTCCGTATTTTTATTCGTCCGCCCGATATCTCGTATTTTCGGAATTCAGACGTTGTGACCCTGTTGTCTGACGTGAAAGCAAACGAAAAACAAAAATTATAAATCGAGGTGGATTTGCAGTGAAAATATTTATTAGCTCATTCAATTAATCTTGTAAATTTTTATTTATTATGTTTGAAAAAAAACAATACAGACAAGCCTTTTGGAAATCCCAAGTCCAGACTCTGCAAATATCTCGATTCTTATTCACGCGATTTTAATATCAATAATCGATTTTCGTATTTACCTGATTTAAAAGTTGCACATTGCGATTCTTATTTACGCTATTTAAACATCATACATTATGATTCTTATTTGCGAGATTTAAAAATCCAATATCGCGATTTGTATTTACGCGCTATTAAAACCCTATGTAGCGATTCGTATTCGCGCGAGTTTAAAATCCAATGTCGTGATTCGTTTTTGCGGTTGTAATATCAAACATCGATTTTTGTACTGATACGTGCTTTAAAAATTAGACATTGTGATTTGTATTCGCGCAATTTAAAAATTATGCATTATACGTATTTACGTGATCTAAAAATTACGCATCATGATTTGCATTTTCGCATTTTTTTAAAATTCGATATAGAGTTTCATATTCACGTGATTTAAAAGCCTCATATCGGGATTCATATTCTCTCAATTCAAAATCAGGCATCTGATTTATATTCATACAATTTTAAAACTAATCATGGGGATTTATAATCACATGGCTTACAAGTTTAAAANAGTTTTAATTGTTTGTGATCATATAACTGAATTTATTTAATCACAAGGCTATACTATACATTGAATGACATTAAAAAATGAAATTTCGCAAAATTTTAGAATTTAAGATTGAATATTACACTCCCCTTTTAATCGAATAACCTGCCTAATTGTAGAGATTTGGCTGGAAGCGATATATTTTTTTTAAGCAGGGTTGGTTGTATTTGAAAAATATGGTATTTGCTGCGTGATCATCAATAATATATTTTTTGTTTTTGATGATGTGAAAACTCTCCCAGAAATCCAGGTTGACACATGAAATGCACGAGAAAAAATCTAACTCTAGGCCCCTTAAATTAAGAGGCGATATAATATTTTTTGGAGAAACATCCGATTTAAAATGTATTGAGGGTATTTTAAATTTCTCGTTAAGTTTCGTTGAAAACGTTTGTTGTTTATTATGTTTTAATATTGCAGGGCCAAATATGATTTTCTACAGCCGTTTACCACGGCACTTGTTCTTTAGTGAAAAAATTCCTCAGAGCTATCTATATGTTTCTATGTAAGTTTCCTTTATTTTGTGCATTGCTTCTTCAGGGTTACAAGTTTACGAGTATGCATTCAGCATACTCGTAATGTTTCAGGTTTACAAGTATGCATTTAGATTTTTTTTTAAATTTAGGTTAAATAACTCCTAACGGAGTAACTAAAATTTATAAGCATCTTTTTTTAATTATTAAACATATATTTTAAGTTTGCATTAACAAAAACTAAATCACTTTGTAGCGTGTCTACCACTACAAAAATACAATTTCAATTCACTAGTATATAAGACACATTAACTCGATTCTATGAAGGGGTTCATAGACGAAGGTTGACGTTGTCGATGTGACTCTCACCGCATTGGTGACCTTTGGACGTGATGTAAACACGCCTACGTTGACAGAAAATCCTACTTCGATATGAATACGCCTACCTTGATTGGTGATCCACATTGAACAGTTTACTTGCAACTGCGACATTGTCCACCTCCTCATGCTACTCAGTTTCGATCACATATTACGTACAGCGTATTCACTCGACTGCTAATGGCAACACAGGAGCGACCATGAACTTAATACAGCTCTCACAATAAGTACTCAAAAGTACGGTGATCTTAATACAGATCTCCTGGCTTCTCACAAAACAGCAATGAATCAACTAGTGGTATCCGTTTATCGAATTCTATAGTTCTATAATTCTGGTAGGGAAGTACTGTAGTGTATCTACCATTACAAAAATACAATTCCAGTTCACTAGTATATAAGATATGTTAACTCAATTCTATGATGGGGTACCTTTTCATAAATGAAGATCGACATGTCTCACCCCACACACTTATTAGAGTTAATACTTATATTAACTCTATATATCAATAATTAACCCCATATATTTATAATTGAACATACTTATATTCAATTGAAGGAAATTTTCCTTTTTGAAATAAATCGATATAAAAAATTATTAGAAAGAATTATTTACTGATTTATACCAATTCAAACCAATAATTCTCCTAACTATAGTTAGAAATAACAATATATTGTTATTTCTTTAAAAATAAATTTCAAATACAATCTGATGTAAGCCTTTTTTTTTATTAGCTACTTAAAAAATGTCAATAAAATATATATATTTTGCTCCCGATTATATTTTTTTGCAGTTGTAACAGTAATAATGATGTTTGCAAAGATGAAGTTGAAAAATACAATGACAGTTGTTCTATAAGAAGTGCGACATCTTCTGTTTCATCGTTTAAGAGTCGTAAGTTTGAAATTTTTTTGTTATTCATACATTTATTAGAAATAGTGGAGTGTGTATGGCAAGAGCAAGGTATACATTTAGGTATACACCAACAAAGGTATACACATTGGTTGTAAAATAAAATTTTCTATTACTCTATACATTTTTTTACTCTTATCTTTTCTTAATACTGTGTTATAGTGTTACCTGATAACTAAGTTCTGAATAATTTTTTTCCCCACTGAAACGTCAGATTTATGATCTAAAGAACAAATATTTGAAGTTTAGTTCAAATCTGTTCAGTAGAATCAAAACTTTGAGCCTGCTGTCCAAACAAAACAGTACATTATAACGTCAAGTATTTATATCATGATTGCACTAGTTTGTATTAACTCATGATTTAAAAATACTTAATAAATTCTGACGAAACATTGTTATACTTTAATAAAAATTTGGAAGTTAACAGAAACTGTCAGCCATTTTCAATAAATAACAAGCCTATAGATAACTGCAAAGTCCACATGTTTTAAGTCTAATATGAACCACTGAAGAGGATTAGCTTTTCATAAAAAACGATTAAGAAATGTATTGTACTTTTTAAAAAAGAAATTTACAAAGATTGTAAAAGCACATGTCAAAATGCAGAATATATTTAACATGTCAGGAAAATAAATGCCTATTATTTTCAAGGAAAAAACATTTGAAAAAAAAAGCTATCTAAACCTTTCCAAATAATTCGTTAATTTTTCTTGCCTTCGTACGATCAATATAAGGCTTACATTTCAGATCATGCTTGTGCTTATTTGAATTTGTTACCACGAATTTTTTTTTTTCTTTTAAGATTCCTCCAAGAGCACACCATCATACCCAGAATTGTCAGCGAAATCATCCATGTTCATGCCAAAAGAAACAGTCAAGATTAATCAAAACATGGTTGTATTTCATTTTTTTCTTTTATTCATTAATTCCTCTTANTTAAAAAACATGAAATTTTTAGAAAATCTGAATTTTTGATTAAAAAAAAAGCTGAAATTTAAGAGATAAAAGTGAAAAAAGCGGAAAAATCTCATCCCTGCTCTTAAAAATATTTATTTTCAAAACTTTATAACAAAAGTAATATGAAAAAAAAATAACATTAAAATTATATTTTTAGCATTAAATTATAATAAAATTATGTCTTATAAAAATATTTGCTGGCTATGTTCTCACACAATTTTCCTTTCAGTTTAAATGTAGTATTAAATAAATTTCTTATTTACCAAGTATATTTTTAAGAAATACATAGATAATTAGAGTGAAGAAATCATGCAATTTATAATATAAACATAAAAAAATAAATTCTAATGTTTAAAAAATTGCTGATTTAATAATTTATCACAAGACCCATACCAGTCGACGACAACCTATGACCTACAGGTCAACTAGAAACTCACTGAGAAAATATTGGATTATGCCACCAGTATGTATTTATTTTTTGGTTCTTTACAATAATGCCAAGTCTAAGGTAGGGTAAAACTTATTTTGCATGAATCTATGAAATTGACTTAACTTATTATTAATGTCAACTCTTCTTTTAAAATTGCTAATAGAATTAATTTGTTGTCGTTTAAATTTTTTTTTGCCTTTCCGATTTCAGATAGCCGATAATTATTTTGCTGCAGAAATTGAATCAGAGAAGGAGATTTCTGGAAATCATAGATTTGCTGCAGAAAATAACAGCCTTGCATTGCCTTCACTTCTTTCAAAATTATCCTTTCTGGAACATATATCTGATTCAAATAAAGATGAAATTCCTTATATTTAATAAAAATGAACTCAATATGCAAATTTGAAAGAAAATTCAGAATGTGTTATAATAGGAAAACTGTTAGGAAAAGTATTTTTATGAGTAACGCTGAGTACCAGTTCAAAGCGTTATAGTGATTATACTTTCGGAAATTATTTGATTTTTTTTAAATTTTATTATTCTAGTCACAAGTTCTTGATTAAATTTTTTTGAATCTACTGCTCTGCCGATTCATTGAATTCTTACTGAAATTTAATCAGGGTGCGTAGCCAAATCTTTTAACAAAAAATAAGCACCTTTTAAGCACTAAAAAAATATTTTTAATCACTGTATACATTAACAAAATGCAGATTAATTTTCAAAGATTTTTAAATGATGATGATGAAATAACTAGTTTTTGACATGGAACTTTTTTCTTGATTATATTAGCCACCATAAAAAGATCGAGAGATTTTTCTGTTTGATTTCAAAGAGTGGAAATAAGGCCTGAAATTGAGAGTATGTTGCAAAATGCAGCAGAGGTGCACATGAGAGTGCAAGAATCTCACTGGATCCAGCTCACATGGGAACTCGCAAGTATTTCATGAAACCTATTAAAAAAAGCACCTTTTAAGTACTTTTTAAGAACTCAAATATTTTTAAGCGCTATGTACATAAACAAAATGCAAAATAATTTTCAAAGACTTTACACGATCATGATAAAATAACTAGTTTTCGACAAAGAACTCTTTTTCTTGATTATATTAAACAAAAAATTATCGAGAGATTTTTCGGTTCGATTTCAGAGGGTGGAAAATGAAGCCTGAAATTAAGAATATCTTGCAAAATNAAGGCCTGAAATTGAGAATATAATGCAAAATGCAGCAGAGGTGCACATGAGAGTGCAAGAATCTCACTGGATCCAGCTCACATGCGAACTCGCAAGTATTTAATGAAACCTGTAAAATGATTGGCATTTTCATACGCTATGGACCGACGTACGCTGAAATAGACTGTTGTTGAATAAATTGTGAAAACGTTGAATAGAACAATGTGAAAAGCACCTTTTGCATAATACGCGGCGAAAATTGACATGATAAAGAAAAAAATCTCATTTTTGAAAATGGAAAATTAAGCACTTTTTAAGAACACCCAATGAAAAAAGCACCTTTTAAAAAACGAAAATCAAAAATAAGAACTTTTTTAAAAACGCTGCACACCATGTTAATAAAGTTTAGATGATATTCTATAATTGCATCGTTCAGTTGCAAAACAATCTCCCAAGCATGAAGCTTTTAGTTAAAGATGATTTTCTGCAACACTTAGCTTAAATAAGATAGGAATCAATACGCCTTTGGTTTAGGAGGCAATAAAGAGTGTTTTAAAATACATATAAAGATGAATTATCTAATTCAGGGTTCCCAATGGTCAGGGAGAGTAGGGAAAACCTGGAATTGTCAGTGAATTTTATTTTAACTCTAAAAATCAGGGAATAGTCAGCAAAAGCCACAATTTTTTTACTAAAACCAGGAAAATTCGTATATCATACTTAGAAAATAATCAGTCTTAAAATTGTCCGTAACACTAAACAATTATTGTGATTCAAGTTAAATAATTCTAGCATCGATTATACAATTATTTGTTGTAAAAATTTCACATTTTAGTCAAACTGAAATGTTTCCATCCTCATTTGATATTTTTTTACACAGAAAATCTAATATTTCTCGTTACAAATAAAAGAATCAAAATTTTATAATGAAAATAGGGTCTCAATTTACATTGAAATTTACCTGGTATACCTGGAAAAGTCAGTGAATTTTTTTTCTGAAATTGAGTGGGGAAACCTGTAATTTTGCAATCTGATTTTGGACTTATCTTTCATGTTTTTTTTAAAGTTTAGGTTTATGGTCCAATATACACAAGACCACACTAACAAAAAAATCTCATAAATATTGCAGCTATCAATATCAGAATTAGAGTCTTTAAGGCTGATGAAATTTAGTTTTTTTCTTTTTCTGTTGGATTGCATAAGTAATTTTCTACAAACTGAATCAATAATTTTGAAAGTAAATTCACCGTTAACAGTGATATAGCTTTAAAGAAAAAGAGCTCTTCATTGAAGACATATTTTAAAAGCACGGTAAACAAGTGTGCACAAGGCAGCTATCATTTGATTAGGAAAATGGGTTATGAGGTGGAACCCATGGTTATGGTTAACCCATGGCTATAATGGTTTTCGGTAAACCATAATGAAAAATTCATAGCATTTATGAGTAATAAGAATGTCTAATAAAGGGGTGTACAACCTTTTCAGTGAAGGGCCACTTGTACTAATTGACTAATGATAGGTCGCAAGCATGTCTAGTCATGTAGGCAAATAAGATTTTTATGTTTGCATATTTAGTCAAATATGATAATTTTTGAGTTAACATTAGTGTTCTAAGAATTAACTTTTTTATCACTAATCTTAGTAATGTATTTGCAGAGAAGGAAATACTTTTAATTATTAAAAAATGAAAATACATCTTTTTTTATTTTTTCCCTTTTTATCAATATCATACCTGCCAACTTTTAATCCCTTCCATTATCATTTTTCCCAGTGGTATTAAAATGGAAATAAAATTTTAATTTTAAGCAAAAAAATATGTTGTATTTGAAAAANAACGCATATTAATATATGTGCTTAATTTTTTTAAGAATAGTGGTGATTAAAATAATTTAAAAATTAAGTTTATAAAAGAAAAAATAGCATATATTTACTACCACTTTAAATATGAAAATAAAATTTTACGCCAAATGCGTAAAAGTTGGCAGGTATGCAATATACATATATATATACATTCTAAAAAAAAAAAAAACTAAACAAACTGTAATGCTCACGGAATGAAAGTGTAAAAAGAAGTACAGACTTATTTTAATGAGTAATATGAAGTCGAATTAAAAATTTAATAAAAAAAAATCAAACCATTATAGTACAAAATAAGTTTTTCATATTTATTATATTTCGAATATTTCTGGAAGTTNAAAAAAAAAAAAAAAAACTAAACAAACTGTAATGCTCACGGAATGAAAGTGTAAAAAGAAGTACAGACTTATTTTAATGAGTAATAATAAGACTTATTTTAATGAGTAAGTCCAATTAAAAATTTAATAAAAAAAAAATCAAACCATTATAGTACAAAATAAATTTTTCATATTTATTATATTTCGAATATTTCTGGAAGTTTTATGAAATTTCAGTGGGAAAAAGTTTTCTTTTTTAAAAAAAATCCCCTAAGCTACAAGAATTTTAAAACAAAATTACAAACAGTGAGCAATTTAAAAATTCGAGTTTTCTTCCACTTTCCTCATTCTTGTTGCAATAACATTGTATTAAAATATCTGAATTCTAAATAACACGTGCAAATGCACGGGGCTAACTGCTGAAAAAACAACTTACATTTACAATGAAATATAAACAAATTAATTGTATCAGTGAGCATGTAGAAGTTTTTTTTTTAGTTTTTCAAACGGAACACTAAATGCCTTCACGTTTACTATGTGAATTTGCATAATTTAAGTCATTAAAGCAAATCATTACAGAGATTTTTGTAAAAGTGTTATTGTAGCCCTTAACCAAACAGCCCTGTGATGGTAAATTGGCATTAGGACGAGAGTCCATACAGGAATTGCAGCACATATTAATGCTGCCATTTGAGTTTCACGCTGCATGTGTGAAAATTTTCCTACATATCACAATGCCATAAGTGGTATAAAATAAGGTTAGCTTTAAGTTTAACATCAAGACAAACTCTATGCACAGTCTCTCTATTCCCTTGAAATAAAATTTAATAAAGGTCAATTGCTGTTGAAAGTAAAATGCACATTAAATTTTTTTTTGTCAATATGATTATAATTATAATACAGTAAAACCTCGCTACAACAATATTTTGGGGACCCCATATATTGTTGTAGAGGGATATATTATTATATCGAGGGCCTGCATACTTTGGGGACACAAAAATATATATTTTAAAATTTTAATGTTATATATGTATAAACTATAAATCTATTTATATATTACATAAAAATTTTATTTGCAGAGTGGTAATTATGGTTGAATATGAAATCAGATAGAAATGTTACATCAGTGACTTCATAAGAGATAAGGGAGGTAATTCTAAGAATAGAAGGTCACATAATCACCAGTGAGTCTTCTTTTGTCAGAAAAGACAGAGAAAAAATAAAGGCAAAAGATGATAAAATACGATTTTTTTTTGCCTCATTTGAAAACCAATAATAAATAGAGAAAATATGGTTGAAATTTGAAGAAAAAAATTGAGAGGTCGATAGGCAATATTGAGAGGTCGATAATATTAATTCATATGCAAGTTCGCAGGGATCACGAAACATTGCAATAGAGGAAGTTATTGTTGTATCGGATATCATAGTAGTGCGAGTTCACTGTAGTTTGAACAAAAATTATCTTCCTACTCTAATTGATAGAGAAGCAAATGATCAATATTTCATAACAAATTTATTACTTGGAATTGTTACATTGACAAGAATTTAACAGGGATGAAAATACATTGTTACTGGATAGAACACTGTTCATGTAGTGGAACTGAGTTAAGAAATGTACCAAACATTCAGTTCCCATTGTAGATTCCTCAGTCACACCTAAAACTATTTCAATTGTCGCAAAACTGCTTTTGTTTTTTTAATCTTTAGATGCACAAATGTAATATTATACAATCAAGCTAAAAGCTCTTAAATTTAAAACATCACAGCCCCCAATAATAAAAGATTTAGAAATTAAATTTGTAATGACACTAAAGTTTTCCACAACATAATGAATGTTTCAAAAAGATATAATATTTATTATATTGTGAAAAACAAATAATCAATATTTAAAAACATAGTTCAGTGCAAAGTTTTAATATATAATAACTCTTTATGATTTTTCAAACTGATTGTATGTTGCATACAAACAGAGGAGGGGGGAAGCACACAACGAAAAAATTTCTTTCAAAAAAAATTACCTCGTCTTATATCTTTCTCATAAATATAACTTAAACTAAGTTTTGAAAGCAGTAAAAAAAGTGGCAAAAAGAAATTTACTTCAAAATTATAAAGGTGGAAACTCAAAAAGGAAACAAAAAAAAAAAAAACTAGGAAATAAAGGAAAGCTTTAGTCAATAGTTGCCATGTTAATTTCTATATATTTCTGGCACTAATTCCAATGTTTTCAATTGTTTTTGTCACTGATTGCTTTTTCTGGCAACTGTCTACTTCTCAAACAAACCAATAGCTTAAAAAAAAGGGATACAAGGTGCGAAGGACAGGTCTAAACGACAAATTTTCCGAGGAAGATGCCCAGCAGGCCAATGGTGAGCATGACGGCCAGGTAGAGCATGGGAGACTGGGGTTGTTCCTGCAGTCTGTCATCGAAGGGGACTTTTGCGCTGCCTGCGTGACCTCCAAGCTGTGAACCTGCATCAGTTGTTGGTCCACGCGACCTCAGCCTAAGTCCTTCTGCCTGTTAGAAGAACACAAAGTATTTCATCATAACAATTCTGTAAAATCTTTATGATATCTAAAATTTGACAGTAACACATGACAAATATAAACATATAACAGCTGAAATTTATATCTGGTACTTAAAATATACCCTGTTACTCAATGTTCCCTATTTACTGCCAGTTTTTAACCGCTTCCCTTACCAATTTTTTGAGGGGAAAAAAATGCAAAAAAATCAACATATTTTTTATTTCATTAATAAATACAAGGAACTAAAAACATAATACACAAGTTTTAAATTGAAAATTTTATTTTTTATGTGTAAAAACAGGGTATCCGCGCACCTGGAAAGTCATGAATTTCGGTATTGAACAAAATTTGTCATGAAATGTCATGATTTTTACTATTTTTTAAAAAAAATCATGGATTTAGGTGTCTGAAATATCTAATTTTTAAAATGGAATCTCCCTCCCCCCAATTTCATCCTGTTCCAAATATCTGAATTTCTAACAAAATCACCACTCAGTCATATTTTATTTGAATATGAAATGATTTTATCCTGTTCTTTAAAAATTACGGTGTTCCTTCAAAAAATTAAAGAAAAAATATCATTTCTAGAGCGAATTATCCTTTAAACTCTCTTCTGTGATTTAAGAATTTTTATTATTATTTTTTTTTTAATTTTATCAATTTAAAATTCTAGTTGAAGCAAACCAGTTATTGGCGAATTTTTTTAATTCTGACATGAACACAAAAATCAGGAGTATTTCTTTCCTTTCTGATGAACAAGAAAAGTATCTTTAGAATATAATTCTGCAGAAATTTTTTTTTTTTTTGCTTTTGTATTTTTTTCAGCTATTTTATTGTTTCAACTCTTTCCTAACTCTGTTTTTTTTTTTTTAGTTTAAAATCTATAAATATGAAGATGAAGAGTATAATAGTTTTGGTTATGCCTATTTCGAATAATGTTATTATAATGCTTTTTTAAATTTATTGTTGCGTTTTTGTTGGAGAAAATAGCAACTTCGTTAAGTCATGAAAAATTCTTGGAATTAGCCATGGAAAATCATGAAAAGTCATGAATTTGAGAATCTAAAATGTAGCAGATACCCTGTAAAAAACATAATTTACCATCAGTTTACTATTCCAAATTATCTCGGGGAAATGAAAAAAGTTAAATTATGAGTCTTTGTATATGTTCACATTTTCATAATCAGAAAAATCATCTGCATTACTTTCACTTACGCTCAAAAACGCCATTTTTCTACTCTTTTTTTTTTCTTTCAATGTAAATTCATCAACCATCGTACATACAATTGTACAAAACATGTCTACAGTCCCAAAAATAGCAAAACTACCGAACACAAATTGGCAAACTTCCAATCACAGCAGAGTATTATAATTTTCTGTTAAATATTAGTCTTTGTATGATAGTTTTTAAAACAAAGGACTACACAAAGTGATACATTCCAAACGCCTGTGAAGTGATACGCCATTTTTTAAAATATTTTTTTCCTATGTAAATTCAGCAACCATGGTACATAAGATCGCACAAAATACGTGTGCAGTCCCACAATCCAACAGCAAAACTTCCAATCATAGCAGATTATCTTTTTCTCTCTCCTTGTTTTGCTTCCAGTAGAGTAAAACAAGATAAAATAAAACTTACTGACAATTTCTGTTACCCCCGAGTTTTGTTGGGATAATAAATATTTGCAATAGCAGAGTTAACTCGGGACAATCAGGGAAGCGGTTAACGAGTTAGAAAAACTGAAATATTTAAGTGTCAGAGTGTTTTTAAAAAGTGAAGGTGATTATTTTTGATTTACATTTTTTAAAAGCCCTTAAAAGGTGCTTTTTAATTCGGGGTTTGTAAAAAGTGCTTAATTTTCTATCTTGATTTTTTCTTTGCTGTGTCTATTGTCATGCTAAATAACAAAAAATTTACAATTTTCTCTGCAATATTTATCAAAAACTAGTTATTTTACCATAATTATGTAAAGTTTTTTAATTTTACTCATTTTATGCTTATAAATTAAGGACTTTAAACGATAGAAAAAAATAATTTTAATTTCTGCACAGATCCTAATTATTCTTTTTTTTGGAAAGTAATAAAAAATATTTCTTTTTTGTGCTTAAAAGGCTTATTTTTTGTTACAAAAATATGGTTACACACTCTGATTGTGGTTTGAAACACATATAGCACCTGTTGTTGAGACAATTTTTTATAATTACTTCAAGTTTTTAACTTATGTAGAGCNACAATCAGGGAAGCGGTTAACGAGTTAGAAAAACTGAAATATTTAAGTGTCAGAGTGTTTTTAAAAAGTGAAGGTGATTATTTTTGATTTACATTTTTTAAAAGCCCTTAAAGGTGCTTTTTAATTCGGGGTTTGTAAAAAGTGCTTAATTTTCTATATTTTAAAAAGAGATTTTTTCTTTGCCGTGTCTATTGTCATTCTAAATAACAAAAAATGTACAATTTTCTCTGCAATATTTATCAAAAACTAGTTATTTTACCATAATTATGTAAAGTTTTTTAATTTTATGCTTATAAATTAAGAACTTTAAATGATAGAAAAAAATAATTTTAATTTCTGCACAGATCCTAATTATTATTTTTGTTGGAAAGTGATAAAAAATATTTCTTTTTTGTGTTTAAAAAGTACTTAAAAGGCTTATTTTTTGCTACATAATATTATTTTTTGTTACAAAAATATGGTTACACACTCTGATTGTGGTTTGGAGCACATATTGTACCTGTTGTTGACACAATCTTTTATAATTACTTAGGAGTTTTTATTTATGCAGAGCATAGGCTAATTATTTAAATTTTCAAATATGAGCTTATAATTTATAACTTTTTAATATCCAATATGCCGCATTTGAAATTCATATGTGAATATACAATAATTTATAATTTCAAGTAATAATTTTAAAAGGCAGCTATAAGAATTGGATTCACAAATACATGACAACACAGTGAGAGACTTGGTTCATGCAGTTTGTGTAATAGAATTGATTCAAGCGAAAGGAAGAACTAGATTAGATTATTTTTTAGAACATAGGGTGCTGAGAGATGAAGGAAGAGTCTCGTTCTGGACTGGACAGAAAGATGTTGCTCTATGAATTTTTGCATATGAATACTTTTATTTAAATTAGAATACATTCTTGATGTATCAAATTGCATACATAATGACCAATAACTTCTCATACACTTACAAATTTTAATTACAATAATACAAAATAAATTATGCAAAAACTTTTTACATTAAATTAAAGTAGTAACCATTATTCCACTCCATAAATATTCAGGACACTTGGGAGTAAAATTTTTTCCAAAACCTTAGTTTTATAATAATGGGCAATGATTTTTGCTCTCTTTTCTACCATTAAAAAAAAAACTTTATGAATGCCTGTCAGTTAATGTGGAATTGACTACAGCAAATAGGTAACTTAATAACTGTTACTAAACTCAAACAAATTGATGACTTTGTGGTTTATGATTTTTCATTTTATAACTGTCGTTGAACGACGCAATTTTTGATTTTACGATTCTAATGTTCAACTCCTGGATCAAGTGCTCATTGGAATAAATTTTGCCTTCGTTGAGGACTTTTTGATGGAACTAACCCGCATTTCTTTACATGGAGAGGAAGACTATGAGAACCTCCCAAGGTTAGCCTGATGGTAAAGGGACACTAACCCGTGATCTGTCCACCACTGAGAATATTTCACATCAGCACTGTGGTCTGAGCAAGCCTGATGCGGATTCTTATCGACCAACCATCGCAGGGATTTGAACCCGGTTTACCTCATTGGAAGACGAACTCTCTATCCCCTGAGCCATCATGGCCCATGAGTATGATTTCAAAGATCATGCGGAAACACGTAATACAGCAAAAAAAGCGATTGACATAAGGACTTGGATTTGCAATAGTATTGTCTTAAATCAAGCATGTAAACAAGTGATTAATGTGGGATTGATATATTGTAAAAAAAAAAGTGATTTTTAAAACCAACTGGCATTTGAATAGTTCAAAGTTGAAAACATAAAATGGTTAAAATATTTTGGCATTCTTTACATGAATATGCACAATAATTTATATGCACTATAAAAGATGTGTATAACTTGTGTATTTATATCACTTAAACTTTTCTAAATTAGTTTCTTAAACATTTTTGTTTCACTAAGCTTTGGTGAACCATTAGGACTACTAAAATACCATTGCTAGAATAAACCCCAATTATATTATACTAAATTGGTAATATCATGGAGAGCATTTTCCAGTAAATATTCCTCCCATAAGATCATTTTTTGATAGTTCTTTTTACCAACTAAACCGTTTTTCTTTCTTTCTTTTTTAGTTCATCATATTACTATACAACATGAAATGAAAAACAATGCAAAGTATTTGCAATGTTTACTATTGAATAACTTATTTAATAATAATAACCGTTGGATAACTTATTAAATAAGTTATTCAACAAAATTTATTGAAGAACTAGGCTTTACAAACCTTCAATTGTGAGTTTTCTTGTTTCATTCGTATTATTTCACCTTTGAGTCGTTTGTTTTCCTCTTGCATTTCTTTTAACTCCAAATCTACATTAGATGCCTACAAATGAATGCAAAAAAGATCTTTCATTAATATAAAACTTACCACAGGCATACAACTAATAATAACAACACAAATAGGTTATTTTTAAAAATATCCGATATAAGAATAGAATGCTGCAAACAAAATATGTTGAAAAAATAAAATTTTGGAAGATATCATGCTAAACAAAGATACAAAAAATGTTTTACACAAAGTAATAGTCAAATTAATATGATTACATTTCATTAAAAAAAATTACAGATTAGTCTAAACTGTTAGCAGTTTAGTAATGGTTAAACACACAAAATAATGAAGAACAAAGGCACTAATAGCAAACACACAATTATTATTCCATATTAGAATCTTTATTTTTTCTGAAATTAAGTTATAGGGAGAAAAAAATAGTTTTTAATGAGACCAACACTTAAGCTTATAGCGAATTAAGAAGATCGGAGTCGAAATTTTTATTTGAAATTAATAGAACAAAAGCATAAAAAAATATAAAGTCTACTTAATATTAAACACTGCCATTTCCAAAATGCACATTTTAATACAAATTTTAAACGATCTAAACATAATTACTACAGAAAAGTGATTAAACAAAAAAAAAAATGAATTTTTTAATAACAGAGAACAACTTTACACATATCTATGACTTCACAAGGGAACAATTAGTATTATTTTTTTAAAGCTCAGGTTCTAGAAACAGCTGAAGATTTCAAAACTATCCTCATTTTAGATGTTAACAAATAAGATCCTCAGGGTCTGAAAGGGAATGAATGAGGACTATAACATAGGGCAACAATTTAAAATGCTTTGTAAATGAATTGGATTTACTGGAATATTTTCAAAGTTTTTTTAATGTGTCTGCTATAAAGGCGCTATAATACTGTAGAGCAGCAGGTTTTCATAATTGCTACCGTGCTAGCTGCAGAACTACCTAAGTCTCTGCAGACCAAATTAAGTTTGGAGAAGAATTATTTATCTCCATATACCTGCAAAATTGTTTATGCCTAAGTTGCGCTGAAATTTCATAAGCTATCACGATCTGTTTCATTATAAGAAATACGTGCCTAGAAATTAATACATAACATCATATTCAACTACTTAAGGTTCCTTTACTTGTAATTCTCGTTTAAAAAAAATTATTTATAGTTTTAACTGGTGAGAGTTGCTTAACAATACCATTAAAATAAGATTTTATTAATATCAATAAAAAAATTAAATAAAAGCTTTCTTGCAGAACATTACATATAAAAATGCTTCTGGACTAATGTATATACATATATATTATAATTGTATTATTATATTTACATAATAAATACCATTCACTTTAATTTCTTCAACAATAACTAGGGCTAGGTTATTTTAAGCACATTGCCAACATAGAAAATTAATTAACAACAATGTAGTTAATTACTTTTGTTATAAGAGATGCTTTCCCATCTTCATTATAAGTGACTAGCCAAAAGAAAGCAGATTAAGGTATTTTATGCATGCATGTTTACACAGTTTTCTAAACAATGCACACACATTAAAAAGAGAGAAAAAGAAAAATATAGCTAAATCAGCTGCTTCATTGTCATATTTGTCTTCAGTGCATCGAATTGATTAGAAATCAATTATATTCCCTTGGGAGAGCAGAAAATTTGTTTAAAATGTGTTGCCCAGTGTCAGTAAAGAGTTACGAGAAAAATAAGTTTAGTTAACTGCTTCTTGTAGTTCTACATATAATTAGGCTGATTTTATTAAGTCATTAAATATGATTTTCCACTGAAATCTTCAATTGAAATAGGCAGTTTTACCTTTGAAGATGATTTGATAGAAGATTCTGCCATGACTTTATTAACCGTTGTTTTGTCTTCTCGCTGGACTGCATTGGTATCTAAGTTATTCTGAAATATAAGGAATTGGACAGGCCATGGATTCACAAATATAGTTAAGGGGATAAGCAAGCAACATACAATAGTTAAGCATCAAATGAAGCACACACACATACCTAATATAATTAAAAAAAAAAAAATCAAATAGTAACGGTAAAAGTAAACCCTGTCATATTTAAGATTTGCTGCTTAATTTTTGTAAGTTTTTTTTTTTAGAAAAAATTATAACACAGTTGCCACTCAAATCTGAAAAAAGAAATCCCTATGTTTTCACTGTACATATTATACACAATATATTAAGATGAAACACAATTACTGTGCTCTTGTGAGAGCTATATTGGGCTAACTATGCTCATTTTAATTGCTGGAAAAACTTAAGAGAAAAAAGAAGAAAAAAAAAAGGAATAGCTGAACATACTCAAATAATGCCATAGTAAATCAAATAATTTAGTAAAGTTGAAATAATCGTAAATATCCCATAGGCTGTGCTTTGAGTGTTCACCATTTTTTTAAAAGACGAAAATGTCAAACAAAATTCCCTGCATTTTCTCTGTTATTTCGGGTGATTTTTTAATTCTTTGTATTTTCAGGCTTTCCCTGTACAGTGGCTACCCAGTATAATTAATAAATAAATCAATAGACAACTATGCTGATATTAAAAATTTAATGTGTTTTACAGAGGGGCCCCTTTCCAAATTAGGTTTCAGTAATCAGAAGTACAATAACACAGAAATATATTTTTAGAGTTAGTATTTACGGAATTCAAATTTTGGTGATTCTAAGGTATATATACTACTTCATTCTATATATGTATGAGTATAACATTAATAAAATTATACATGAATAATAATAATTAAATAAAAGGTACTAAATCAAAAATAATATAACACTGAAATTAAAACTTCATTATAAAATAAAATTGAATATTTGGAATCAATAATCTAGTTTTTGGTTATATTAGAACTAGCCTTTATTGCCTTTTTATCCTTCTGCATTAGAACCTCTAAAATTTTTTTTTTGCTCACAGCATTTCAGATTCGAGTTTATATTATTTTGCTTTTCTATAAGGAAAGAAAATTAAGTTTCAGAATTAATTGATGGACGGAGGACTTCTTTGCACTTTTTTATTTTTGTTTTTAATCAAATCGTTCTTTTTTTATTTATTGTTTTTAGAATTTTTTAAGGAATAGAAAAGATTCTAATTAATTGTTTGTAAACAACAGCTCTTGATAGTTAAGGGGAAAAAACTTTTTTTAATTAGATTACCGTGGAAATTCTCAAGCCAAAATATAATAGGTAGTCTTAAGTCTTGACTCTTGCTTTATAAGAAAAGTGAAAAAAATAAATGTGTTTTGAGCATTCAAACAAGCTAAAAAAGGCACAAATTGCCATTAAAAAAATTGAATAGCTGGAATAATTTGTTTTTATCAATTTCCTTTCTCTCTTAAACCTTTGAAATACATTGGATTTCCCTCCTTTTAATTATAGAACTAAGTTTTTACTGACAAGTTTATTTTTCTATATCAGGGAAATAATTATTTCATTATCCGCATTTACTATTTGAAGAAGTTATGACACAACACACTAAATTTGAAACATAAATTTGATTAATGAGTGGTTAGTCTGGTTACTACAATTAGTAATTAGTGACAGGTAAAAAAAAATATTCAAGGTAAAAAGATACAGAAAAAATTTTTTTTTAGCACAATTCTATACATACATGCATTAACAAAAGCACAATTTAAAACAGCCCGTTCATCCTTGTAGATGAAATATACTAATAAATTCAGAAGTTGTTGTAATAAAGAACACGTTTAACAGGAAACAAAATACAAAACTTTTAAACACACTTTCATTAATAATTATGGGAAAGGGTTAACTTTGGAATTTTAATGTCACTATCTGAAAAGTGACAAATATAATGAAATTTTCTACTACCATAGTAATTATACATTAACACTGCAAATAAAATTTTAAAATTTATTCCCAAAAATATTAGACACAAGATAACTTATGTAACATGAGTTTCAAAACTACTATACATATTACTTATTTTTCAATTTTACTTATTTTTATACTTCCTTTCTAATTCAAGCATCATTATTAAGTTGCTTTGTAATTAAAATTTCACATACAATAAAGTGTTCTTCCTAAACGTTTTTATAAGGGTGGCCAGCCCTGCTTGCCCTTTGATCCCTTTAAATAAGCTTTATTTAACCTTTTCATAAAAATAAGCAGCCCACCCTTTAAAAACATTGTCTTTTTATTAATTTTCTCCTTTTAAAAAAATCTAGTCACTGTTTAAATAATAAGCACACACTGGTAAAATTATCTGTGTTCATAGGTTTAATTCTGATTACTATTACAAATAATTTTTAAAAATGCATAGACTTTACTAAATTTTTAAATGATTTATTTAACCCATTAAAACAAAAATTTATCATTTTTACAAAAATTCACAAAAGAATATAACTTTAAACAATAAGAAAAATGTTTGTTCATTAAGTGGATTAAAATAAACTTAGTGACAGTTCAATATCACCAGACACTTTAAAAAAAAATATCATTATAAAATAGTACTGCTACAAATTGTTACTAACATTGTATCTAAGATGGCCACAACTGCATTATTTAACCTTTGTACGTAAAATTGGAATATTTTCTTTTTGGTTTTAAAAGCTTCAAATTATGTTATTTAACAATATAATAAATATGAACATAACAAAATCTCCTTTTTTATTAAAATAAAAATAAATTTGGCGCACTTACATTTTGAACAGTTTCATTGACAGGCATGTCAAAGACGCATCTTAACTTAGAATCCATAAGACTTTCAGGCCTGGCATCTCTCCACTATTAAAATTTTTTTTAAAAATAATCTACGTTAGATGTAAAACCACATATTATAAAAAAAAAACAATACTCATACATAATAAAGCTAAGCAAAAGAGAAACATTTTTTTATTCGTCAACATACAAAGAATTAACTAAATTTATGTACAATATATTTCACATCAACCTATTTGTTATTTGACTTTAATTTTTACATGAAAATTATAATTTTTACATGAAAATTATAATTTTTACATTAATGAAATATGATTTATGAAATGTACATACAGAGAGCAACAATAACAGGGCCAAAATGAAATGGCATAGCAGATACATTAAAAAAAAAAAAAAAAAAAAAAANAAAAAAAAAAAAAAAAAAAAAAAAAAAAACATAGAAACAAGGGGTCTTAAAATTTAAATGCTATCTGGAGGCTTTAGAAGGGATTGCAAATTGCATGTTTGAAAATGTGAGCCGTTCCATGCAATGAATCTGTCCAAGCGCCTCACAAAATTCTTAGCATTGTCTTTAGTCACAGTGGCAACAAATATTTAACATTTGTGGAAATACGATAAGGGGGAAAAATAAATTGGAAAGCTTTTTGTTCATTGTCCCAGTATGTTATGCACAATTTGCATCTCCCAATGGCTCTGGATTGCGTTTGCAACGCCATATTAATATTTTTTTACTCATTTTTGAGACATTATTTTGAAACACTTAGTGTATATATAAATATACACATTATATAACTGCTTGACTTGAAAAAGTTTGGAAAGTACTAAAGAATAATTGTTATTGAGTAAATAATAATTTGATGGAGATAAATTTACAAGAGAAAAAAAGCACTACATTGGAGATTGATATCAAAATAGTTTTTCTACTAATTACTTTACGACCTATTTTTTTTAATCAGTAAGAAGTGACATTCAAACATTTTAACATTCATTAAACATTTAAAAAAAAACCAAACAAAAAACTAAATCAAACAAAATTGAATAAGATTTTGATTAATATAAAATGATCAAAACCAGATTTTTTTTTTTTTTGAATAAGTAACATATAATTATCTGGCAAAGAGAGGAAATTAAAATTTTATTCCTCGAATAAAATCATAACACTTATATATTTATTTTTAAAATAGTTACACTTTCTAAGCTAACATGGTAAGAGAACACGACTATAAACATCATTGCTCATCATTTATTATTGCTCATCATTTTTACTGACTAATAAAGTTCTCGGGGTGTAGTCAAACTGAAACATATGAAAAGTAAAACATTAAAAGGTTCGAACTTTAAGTAGCTTCCTGCAACTATTAGGACATTAGATTAAAAGTTAACCAGGATGATCACTTTTTTAATTTTGTGCACAATACAAACTATTTATCTGATCACTAGCTTTTTGCATGCTTTGTCACAAATATAACATATATGAAGTCACTCATCTGTTATGGATGAATTTGTTGCAGTTTAGAATGTAAATGCTTAAATTTTCATTTAGGGATTTTTTGTATGAGATAACAAAAATACTTTTCACAGCTTCTTCCTAAATTCTCAAACAGGGTGCGTAGCCTGATTTTACAACAAAAAATAAGCACCTTTTAAGCCCTCAAAATATATTTTTCATCATTTTTCGAAAAGAAAAAAAATTTATAATTAGGACCTGTGCAGAAATAAAAATTATTTTTTTCTATCTTACAGCTCTTAATTCATAAACGTAAAATCAATAAAATTCAAAACATTTTCATAATCATGATAAAATAACTAGTTTCTGATAAATATCGAAGAGAAAATTGTGAAAAAGAATGTTTTTTTTTTATAATTTAGAACAATCGACACTGCAAAGGAAAAAAAAAAATTCGCTTTTTAAACGATAGAAAATTAAGCACTTTTTAAAAAACTCCAAGTAAAAAAAGCACCCTTAAGGGCTTTTAAAAAACGTAAATTAAAAAAAAAGCACCTTTAAGCACTTTTTAAAAATGCTACACACCATGTTAAACTATAATGTATTTATGTTAATACATATTCATGTATATAAAATTTCTGAAAACACGATTCAAACACATCGTTACTTACTAAATTGTCTAAATTTACATCCCCATCTGGCATAATCATTGTCTGGACCATAAATTTGTGTTTATTCTTTTCTGTGGGATTATAATCAAAGGGTTGGAGCATAACTAAAATAAAAAGAAAAAAAAGGCTTTATCAGTAAAATTCTACAAATAAAGACTAGAAGTGCTTTTTAAATGAAAAAGAAGTGGAAAAAATGGTAATGTTCTTTTTTCTCCTTAAAACATGGTCTTTTAGCGTATTAGTTTTAATTGGGGTCAACTCTCCAAGTGACTATCAATTTTTTAAAATTTTAATTTTTTTGTTAAATTTTGGGTATTGGAACATTTTGTTTACACCTCAGATACACAGTAAAAAACAAATCATTAAGATGCAAATTAAGAGTTTCAATATTTTTTCACGTATTCTTTTATGTAATTTGTGTCTATTTAAAAAAAAAAATTAATAATAACATTTACACATAATTAGTTTTTGCAGTAATTTACAACATAGTCTTATTATTTATTTTCATATTATAAATTAAACAATCTTTATTATTACAGCAGATTTGTATTCAGGAGTCTAGTCCCAAAATTATAACTCCAGAACTTTACATCTCTTTAAACTAGGGGTGCAGAGCCTATGGCCTGCAGGCCGCATCCGGCCAGAGAGAAGTTCTGAATGTAATAAAAAAATTTTTTAATAAAATTTATATTACTCTATTAAATGCATATTTTTTCTTGAGCACTTTCATTCTGTAAGCTTCTTTTTGGTTATAATTTATATCCCTCTTCATATATATATATTTGATAAATTAATTATTGTGAAAAAATGGGAAGTTTTTTAAAAAAATGCATCAGTTTTTTTACTTTTAAATAAATTCAAATAATTAAAAGTATTTAATTTTCTGAAATATAATATTAAGTTTACTGAAAAAAATATTTGGTGCTTAGAACACTAATGTTTAGTTAAAAATTATCATATTTGCCACTAACAGAACTAAATGAGGCCCTTCTTTAATCTATGTGCCCTGCAAGTGGCCTAGCATGCTTCTCTGCTTCAGCTTGCATTGATGATTTTAAGTGCATAACAGTCAAGAAATATATATGTTCTTAATTTATGAAATGTAGATAAAATCAATTTTCTAAGAATAGTATTTTAAGTCATTACGATTAATAGAAATATTATATTTCAACAATTCAAAGCAATTGTTTACATTCTGAAATAAACATTACCTGCTACGCTTATTACTTGTTTAGGCTCTAGGACACCACTATTAGGCCGAACACAATATTTCTTTGGAGCTGTGGTTTTCACTTTAAAACAAACACGTCGATCTAGAGGGTTCATCAGTTTGAGGTAAGATGTGACCACATCAGTGAAAGGACCTACAAATGATAAAACAATGACTACCAAGTTCATACAAATTAATAATGACATTTTATATAAAATGGGACTTTGAAATAAAACAGTCCTACTACATTTTTAATATAAGAATAACTATGAGAAAGAAACTATTCAGGAGCAAAAATAATTTAAAAACAACAAGCACACAAAAAATATTTTTAAGCAATATATACATTAACAAAATGCAAAATAAATTTCAAAGACTTTACATGATCACGCTGAAATAACTAATTTCTAACAAAGAAAATTTTTTAAAAAATTATATTAGCCATTATAAAAGGATCAGAGATTATTCGGTTCAATATCAGAGGGTGGAAAAGCCTGAAATTGAGAATACCTTGCAAAATGCAGCAGAGTCATGTGCAGCAAAATGCAGCACATGAGAGTCCAATAATCTCACCGAGCCCAGTCCAGTATATGCATATGCNCTAATAAACGGGGGGGGGGACAATAAAATAAAAGGAAAACTAAATAAAAACACTTGAAAATTATCGAACCGAAACGTTAGTTAAAAAACGCACTAGCATAAATATTAAAACCCGGAACAAGGCAAGATCAACGGAATTTTAAAAAAAACAAACCTAATGATAAAATTACTGAATAAAAAGAATTTATTGAGTGCGAAATTTATCGTGAAAAGAAAGAAAAAAAAAATCAAACGTAGTGGAATCAAAAAAACAAAACTGTTTTTCTGATTCCACTACGTTTGATTTTTTTAAAAATTTTTTTTCTCCCAAGTTTTTCGTAGGCCCCTGAATTTCGTAGGCCCTAGGCACGTGCCTAGTGTGCCTATAGGTTAATCCGGCCGTGGAAAAGCATAATGCGTTGCGAAAATCGCCATTCTAAAGAAAAAAAATATCATTTTTGAAAAGGGAAAACTAAGCACTTTTTAAAAACACCCCATGAAAAAGCATCTGCAAGGTCTTTTAAAAAACGAAAATTGAAAATAAGCACCCGTAAGCATTTTTTAAAAACGCTTCGCACGATGATTAAGCTAACAACATAAATTGTTGCATCATAAGAAGCATTGTAAGATTTTTATCAATACACAGTTAAAATATTTGACAAATATAGTTAACAGTACTGGCACGTGAGAAACAAGAAAAAAAAGGGAACAACCTGAAGGGCCCTGTGGCAGAATCGCAGTGACATTGTCGCAGAACGTTGCAGAGTTCTTGCAGAAAATTTTTTCTCTTAAAGAGAAAATTTTTACTTTTCTTTTCTACAGATATTTTTCACTTAATATTTGAATCAAGGATTTAGATAATCACTTTTCAATGCGCTCAATTTACGCTGATAGTGTCGCAAATCGATGTAATGTTTCGATTGCATTTCTGGCAGTTATTGATTTCAGCGTGGTTTAGGACTGGGCTATAAATTGATGCATTGCGAAATATCGATTTAATGCATATATCGGCTGGCCGATACAATGACTTTCGGTTAGGCGATATATCAGAAATCTGATTTAAGCTGCCGATAGTGACTTTCGTTTTAGGCGATGCCTCAGAAATTTGATTTAAGCTGCCCAGAATGACTCTCGTTTTAGGCGATGCATCAGAAATCTGATTTAAGCCGTCATATAAGACAACGCCCGTGGTTTAACAATTTAACATGTGAGAATCCTTGCCTAGGCTAACAATGTCACCACGCTGCCGAAGACTATTTTGATTTCGTTTAACTGCGGAGCTGTTGATAGCATCTAGCTATGAAGGCGAGGTTGAATAACGAAAAACGAATTGAATCAGAACTCCCGGTTTCGCACGAGGATCAGCGTTGAATTAGAAATATATGCATAGATTCTTTATGCGCCATTTTTGTCTTCGGAAGTTCACTTTTCTTGAAGATTATTTTCAGCTGGACTTATGTTATTTCGTGATCGCTGTGCACTTTATTTCGTCGGGATTTAACGTTTCTAGTAAATTATTTTTAGTGATACTTTTGCTACTTAGCGATCGTTTCATTGTGCATTATTTCGTCACTTTTTCTTTTTTTCTGTCAGGATTTAACGATTCTTGTCAATTGTTTTTAGTAGACCTACAGTTACTTGGCGATCGTTCGCTGCTATCTTAAATTTTCATTCTGAACTCAATCTATTAATGAAAAGAAAATATGAATAAAAAAAAAGGAGATTTTTCATTGTTTTTTCTTTTAATTATAGTTTTTCATTTTAAGCAATACAATTTAATAGCGGTATTTTGTATTTAACTTTGCTATAAAAAGTTAGCTTTTTTATAAAATTTATTTAATGCACGTAAGTATAAGAACTTGATTATTGTTAAACAAATAAAACTTTAGTCATTTTTAATTATAAAAAATTTTTGGCTATTAGTTAAAACAAATACTTTTTTAATTGAATAAAAAGTTAAGCTATGTTTTGACGCTTTTTAATAATTTAACAATAGTACTTAAAAGTTTTTTTATTTCTTCTTAAAATTCTTTCAATACCTGTTTCATACTTTGTTAGACAGGCAGTATCATTTTTAAACAAATAAATCCTTAGTTGATTTTATTTTCTAAAAAGAAAATAATAATAAATAAATTAAAAACTTAAATTTATTTTCACATTCATGAAGTATAGAATTAGATCATTAGTTAATACTTTTCTACTTTCGTTTTTTTTCCTTTTAATTTTTAATGCATGTTTGTAAAATATTTGGTTAGTTTTATTATTATTTTTAAACCAATAAATCTTACGTCATTTTTAATTTAAAAAAAATTAAAATGAAGCTTGGGTTTGTTTTTACTTAGGACATTTTGTTTTGTAATAGATTTATTCCTTTTATTTATTTTTAATCAATTTAAAGATTTCTGATAGATAATTTTTGAACATATGCTAAATCGCGATGTCTAACAGACGATGTATCATGATATAAAATTTCTTACATCGCTCAGTCCTAGCGTGGTTTTTATGTATCCCAATATATTTCAAACAATATTAAAATTCGTATCGTGCATTTGAATATTTACTTTTTAAGGCAATAATTAAATTTTTGGCAGTTATTACTATTTGATTTCTCCATAGTTTTTAAATCTGATATTTTTTTAGGATATTATTTATTACAACAACCTAATCTGGAAACGAAACACGCATGATGGGAGTTTGATTCGCGTGATTTTGTCATCGATCTTTCTTGGCAATTACTGCTACGAATTTCCTGATTTTTTTTTTTATTGTGATGATTATTTCTAGAAGGATATAATTTGTGCGTTATTCCCCCTCCCCCCACCAACAATATGCAAGAATATCACCCATAATATTAGAATAAAAAATTATTATGTGTTCAATTAAAAAGATATATATATTATAGTTTTTTTTTGTAACATAAATTAGTAACATATATGTTTTTTATTCTTAAAAGTATCTTGCAGAAAGGTATTAGTGCTAGAGAGTTTGGTCGCAGATAGCTAGAAAAAATTTTGCCACAAGGTTGAAGGATATAACTCATAGTCAACCCCAGATAAACTATTACATATTTCTTTTAAAATTTTTACAAGTAATAAAACCAGAGTTCTCCATGGAATAATAATTAAAAGAAAAGGCAGGGTGTTTCTTCAAGAAAAAGGACACTTTGAATTTTTAAAGGGCACTTAACATCATAAAAAAATTAACAAATGTGAAATATTTAGAAATGACTGAATTTGATCCTCAATAATTTTCAATTTACCTCTTTATACTATTTTATGTGTGTGCTTCAAAAAGTAAACTCATTTAATATCAATATAAGAGAAAAATTTGTGGTTTATAAAAAATAATTAAACTNTAGTGGGACACAGCATTACGAAAAATTTAGAAAGGGTACACAAAAGTCATAAGTTTGGGAAACACTGATGTAGACCAAACAGATTGTGATGACGTGCCTGAAGAAATAACGGAAGACGAATATAATGAACTATTTATGTAATAACGAAAATCAATAAAGTATATAGGTATAGGTATGTTATTTCTTCAAAATAAAATAATTTTTCTATAGTATTAAAATTTTTTTAATCTATAATTTTTTACATTCGGCGTATACCGCGCACCCGTAAATTCCAATGTTATTTTTTGTATTAAAAGTGCGCGTTATACGCCAGAATATACGGTATTTTATGTGTGTGCTTCAAAAAGTAAACTAATTTAATATCAATATAAGAGAAAAATTTGTGGTTTATAAAAAATAATTAAACTTCTGAAAAACAATCATTATGGACAAATTTTTTCAAAAAAAAAATTTATTAAATTATAGACAAATTGACAGCTTTTTTCTATAATTTAAACTGAAAATTATAAGACAATAAATATTTAAAGGTGCATTTTTTAAAAAAAAAATATAAATACATTTATAGGTAAAGGTATTAAAAATTAATTAATATACATTCAGCGAATAATGCTTTGGCGAAATAAAAAATTATGCTTTGGCGAAAGTATTGGCAAGTAATAGATTCTACCGAAACATATTTATTCTTCTCGATCAGAAAAGGAAAAAAAAAGGTTAAAGGGAATTTTTCTCAACAAATCCTGTATTTTTTTCATTTGATAAAAGTAATTTCAGTTACATACGTCCCACAACAACTTAGTATTTTATTAAGTCCAGATAATGCAAGAAATTAGAGAGATTATGTAAGTAAATGGGTTAAACTACAGAAAAATACAGATGACCACGTTCATTACGCGATATCGCATGACAAAATTTTCTAATACAATTTGCGTCAATAAAACACCTAGTGTTAGCAAGATGCATATTATTATCTAACTATTTTTGCAGAAAATATGTTCCGGGTATCTGCTACATTTTAGATTTTGAAATTCATGACTTTTCACGATTAATTCCAAGAATTTTTCACGACTTAACGAAGTTACTATTTTCTCCGACAAAAACACAACAATAAATTTAAAAAACCATTGTAATAACATTCATTGAAATGACAGGTATAACCAAAACTGTGATACTCTGCATCTTCATATTTATAGATTTTAAATTTAAAAAACAGAGTAAAGAAAGAGTTGAAGCAATAAAATACCTGAACCTAATAGAATACCTAAAGAACAGGTTAAAAACATTTTATATTTTACTCAAATATGACTCTGAGTGGGGATTTTAATACTAATTCAGATATTCGGAACACCATGAAATTGGGGGGAGGAGGGTAAATTCCATTTTAAAAATTAGATTTTTCAGTGACCTAAATCCATGACTTTTTTAAACAAATAATTAAAATCATGACTTTTTTTTTAAAAAAAGTAGTTAAAATCATGACAAATTTTGCTCAATACTGAAATTCAAGACTTTCCAGGCGCGCGGTAACCCTGTATGTTTTCTCATGACAGTAGTATATAAAATAATGTGACAATAAAATAATGTTGCTTCAGATTTATCCTTACATTACTGCTCTAATCTCTGAATTATCAAAAATTAATCAAATCTATTTCTTTTTTACAAAGACAAGAAAACAATATCTACATTTTTCATTCCCTCTCCCATTCATTACTCATTTACTCCTCCCCAACTATAAAAGGACTCTTGATTTGAATTTGCATTTTATAAAATAATAGCATAGTATTTAATAAATATGTACTAATAATGTATTTGAATTTGAAGTTTTATGATGGGAAAATATCAATCATAAATTATTTTTTTTAAGATTTACCTTTGGTTAAGAATTTTGAAAATTGACTAATACTTTTGATATTTGGCTAATTTATGGGCTAATAATTATAAGTCCCTAGCACTGGCCTTGAGTATGTAAGATATAATTAAAAGATAGCAGTGCTCATTGTAGGCAGGGTAAACAGGGTGCCCGTTACCTCTGAAGTAAATTAGTGCCCTGATGTAATAGACTACATACCCTTTTTGCCCTTTCTTTCCTCAACCCTTCTTTATTTTCAATTCTTTTTATTTAGTTTCATTGCTGTCAATACATAGATTTATATGGGGAAGGAAAAATAGTGTACTTGTCTTTGAAAGTTTGCAGTTACTTCACTACCGTTAAATCATAATTATTATTAATCATTTTAATTAATAAATCATAACTACAGACACTTAAAAACATACATTTATTATTTTATTAATATATGCATGCATTTTAAATAAAGTACTAAGCTAATTAGCTCATTAACTCGATATATATGGTATGTTAATTTATTAATAAAAATTATTAATTAATATGATTGCTTTGGTACTTTCAGTAAAGTAAAAAAAAAATTGACAATGTTTTTAATAGAACGTGTAAAGCCCATAGAAAGAAATTATTGCCTTTTTAGAATAATAATGCTCTTTTTTTTAAACTTTTGCACCCTGCCCTTTTCTCAGCCTAGAATGAGCTCTGAGATAGTATGCAAGATTAGTAGTATGTAGTAATGTAAGTAAATAAGTATGTAGTGATTGTAAGATAGTACGCAACATTAATATAAATATGTAGTATAGTTTTTTTAAGGCCAGTTTTAACTGATGACTAACATTAACTATCACAACTAATTTTTTATTTTTCTAGGAAATATAATAACATGTATAGATAATAAAATTAACAAGTAAAATGTGGGTATTTTTGTTGTTAGCTCCTAAAATTGGGATGTGAACATGCATTTATTGCACTAAGTTCACAATACCAGGGGTCTATCTAGGTTTTTGTGAACGGTACCTATTTTGTGAAAATTTAAACATAATTTGTGAAAAATTAAAAAATCAATACAAAAACATGGTTAAAATATAGATTTGTCGTTTCTTAAGGAAATTTTAAGGAAAAGTATTTTGTGAAACTACCCTTTTTTCCTAAAGTTGAATTTGGGAAACTACCGTTTTACCTAAAATTGAATTTGTGAAGGTACAGCTAAACGGTAGTAAATTCGGCCTGGACAGACCCCTGAATACAGAATCTGAACAAAAGAGAAAAAAAAAAGATTTTTGAAAATTACAAGAAGAAAAAATCTGCTTTGATAATAAAAATCAAATTTTCTGTTAAAATATAAGGAAAACAAGAGAATTTCTTCCTTTAGTATAAAAACTCTCCAGACAGAAATTAAGAAAGCAAAATAATTTTTTCTTGTTATTATCTAGTTTAAAGTTAATAAAATGCTACTAATGTAGATAAAATGCTAGTAAAGTTAAAAATAAATTTAATAGTTAATAATAACAGGCAATGAATTGCAGCTTAAAAGATAGCGTGATGAATTTAGCTTAGATTGTAATCTAAGAGGATGATAATCACAAATGTTACCGTTTTATGTTCCGTAAAACGTGACTCTTAGGGAGATTAACGTGAAACTGAGATATCATTGGATGAAAGCAGGGAAAATATAGTAAAATATTGGATTTCACTAGAAAACTGAAGAATTCATTTGATGATATAATAAGATAATTACTAACACACAACATATACAGAAATGAGTAATTAAAACACTAATTCTTAACATTAGATTTTTCGAACACTTTTCGTTGGTCTCTTCAGATAAACAAAGTCTTTTGATCGACTGATGCAAATACAAACTACTGAATAAAATCAGTATTTCAACATATTTCAGAGTTTAAAAAATTACAAGATATTTGATAAATATACAAACATTATGCATTCAATATGGCTTACGACAGCAGAAAATAATATTTCTGAACCTACCTACGAAATGAAGCTCGGAAGCAGGCTCTAAATTTAAAACTTGTTCAGCTTTAGCCATTGTATTATGTTAATTTTATTATCATCTATAGACTTTCAGAAATATAATATCACATTAAGTATTTAATTTTGAGTAACAAGACCCCTTAAGGCTCTTATTTCTGGCTCACAGTTTATTTCAGCTCCAAAATGTGAAACATCTACTCATGCGCTATCAATAGCTGACGCATGATGTCACAAACTCGAACGAAACTATTGTACTATCCGAGTTTTTCGTACCGCAAAATAGCTTCTTAACTGTAAATTAGTTTTGGTTTCGTTTTTTTCTTTTTTGCACATTTTAAAGATTTTTGCATGATTAGATATATTTAAAAACATTTAATAACTTTAATTGTTACATGACACTTATCTTTACTTTATCTATCCGAATCCTAGGTTATTAGGCCTTTCATGGTCCACTCGCCCTGAAATTTTATAATTGAAACTAAAATTTATCTAGTATCAAAACAAAAAAAAAGAAAATTAATAAGATCTTTCTTCATTTTAAATATGCAATTCATTCATAAAACGTTTTTTTATTAAAATAAAAAACGGCAAAAATGATTTGCCCTTCTTTTACATAGTTACGTAATCGATGTAATCATTATCATCTAATTATTGCCATTGATATAGTCAATATTTTATTTTTAAATCGTATTTTTAAATAGTATTTTTTTTGTTTTGAAATTGTAAGTTCGCCTTTCATGACGTCACCGGAAGTTGAGGTACTCAATTACGTCATCTGTGCGGTTTCACTAAATTGTACTGCACACTGCAGCTGCTGCGGTCTTTTAACTGGCTGACTGAGAAGTCTGTCAGGTCTCAGCGCTACTTGGGTAAATATTCTTTATACATATGTTGTTTTCGGAATTAGTTTTTAAAAGATCGCTAAAGTTTTATGTTTACTAAGCGATTAAAATTGTTATATCATGTCATTTAATCTCTTTTTTTAATAAATTATTCTTTTACTTTTTCTACTTTTAATTTGAGTTCATTTCTTGTGTTCGTATTTCGGTACGTGTTAGGACTTGTTCACCATGTTTTGTGTTTAAATAATTTTGCTTAGTTAGATTTATTAATATTATAAAAATTATATAGATTATTATGTAAGTTCTTCATTCTATTATAACTCATGAAGGTCAAATGCGCAGCCTTTCATCTTGTGTACTACTTATGCAATGAATTGTGAAATTCAAAGAAAAGACTTCAGTTGAATAAGTCATAAATTATATTTGTCATTGGAATCGATGTCCTTTACTTTTATTGGCTAATTTGTTTATATTCTAATATGTTTACATTCGTGTGGGCAGAGAAATCGATATGTTATACTCCCAATAAGTCTGCTTTGAATTTTAAGAGTTTATTTTAATGTAGTTTTTAAAATCGTTACTATTCAACATTTTCTTTTCGATCAATTTGTATTTATTTTGATTCCTTCAAATGAATTTCCCTGTTTTTAAGTAATTTAATTTTTTTTTCGTTGTTGGTACTGAAATATTAAATTGGATAGGTGTTAAGTATTATGAATGTTTTTTACTATTTTTTAAATTCTTGTATTTATTTTATCCTAAAAATGTATTTTATTTATTATAGTATTTTTATATAATTAGAGATGTAACCGCGCAATAAAAAAATACTTGAATTTCTCTAAAATTAAAAATCATTTTGCTATAGAAGTCTCCTTTTGAAGCTCTTGGAATGATTAATTTTCATAATGAATTAAATTTTAGTGTTATTAGTTAGGTTTTGTTTTCTTGAAATATTTTCTTAAGTAAAGCAATGAAAAGAAACATGAGTGATGAAAGTAATGAAATATAATTTAAATGAGAGTTAAGAATTATTTAGGAAATTTAATATTTTCTTTATTAATTCTTACAAATTAAAAATAAAAGAAAGACAGTGATTTGTGTAATGTTAAGGGAAACCTTAGTAGAATTATAATTGCGTGGGATATTCTGGTAATGGGATGTATTGAGCACCAACTACAATCATCAAGGTGCCAAATAATTCTTAAGCATACAAAAAAAAAAGAAATGGGTCGATTTGGCAGATTTCTTGCTGGCCACTGCATGTAAGTTGCCATGATATGGCGAATATTTTGCTGTAGATGACAATGTGGGAATGTTCCTAATTAAAAAGTTTATTTTAAATAATGATGATGACAGTGTGCAAATTTTCCTAATTAAGAAGTTTATTTTAAATTATGATGGATGACCCAGCAATAGCTGATTGATATGAGCTCTGCTCCTAGCTCACACTAACCTCAGTGCTGATGTATAATATCTTCCATAATAGACAGATCATCAGGGGTCTGTTTAGAAGAAATTTAGGTCCCTTAGCGGACCATTCACAAAAATTTATTTTTAATTGGACCTTTTCACAAATTGGTTTACTTCATTGTTGTTTTGTTAATCGAATTAACACTTCCCGGGGAGGGGGTGAAGAAAGACGGTTCAAGACTAACTAGTTTCCCTAAGTTTAAATTCGAGATGTAGTATCCTAAGAAAATATTTCTACTTTTACAAACTTTGTGTGCGCATTCTTATTAATATTAAATCATAATTTTTTTTTTAAATAAATAATTGACCAATTTATATTTATTTATAAAATTAATGAGTAGAATATAATGTAAATAAAAATTAATTTCTCGCAATTTTTTAAATAAAATATTATAAATTTAAGAATTGTTTAAATTTACGTAATGCATAACACATTAAAAGTGATTCATAACTAAGTTTTGTTATTTCAAATTTGTCAATTGAAATTATTAAAAATGTGAGCGATTTTGTTTCCATTATTCGTCAGAAATGAATATTCTGTGTTGAGCTAAGTACCAAATATTTGTATGTTGCATCTCTAATTTAGTAGCAGCGATTGTTGAGCATAATCTTGTGTAAAAGGTTTTTAGCAATTTTTGCAATAACAGGACCCTATTTGCACAAATTCACAATAGCAAGACCCTGGTTGAAATAATGTAACTTATTTTATATTCACAAATTATGAATAGTTTTTTCACAATTTTACAAAGGCAGGACCTTTCACAAAATGTCTGGAATTCGAATCTTCTTACCATCTAACTATGAAAGGTTTTTGTGGTTTTCCTGACCATGCAATGCAAGTGTAGTTTAGTCCCATTAAAGAAGTCCTCTACGAAGACTAGTTTGTTCTGGTGCTTGATCTACGAGCCCCCTAGTCTTCTAGGCTGGGTTCAAAATTACAAGCCTACTCGATTTGTAAATTTTTTATGTGACAACAACTTAAAAAATATATTAATATTTTGTAAAAGGATCTTCAAACAACAAAATACCAGGAATAGCGAAAATTATATTAGAATATATATTAGAATGTATGTTTTTATATGTTAATGAAAGAAATATATTTAAACAGTTTTATTTTATACATAGGAAGTTTTATTTTTGAACAATGCTCTTCTGGTATTATAAATTAGCCACACATATATTTTTATTATTGAAAATAATTCTCACTTAAAGATAAGAGATGCTAGGGAGGTTTGTCGCAAAAAGTCAGAGAAAATTCTGCCACAGGAGTAAATATTTTCAACATGCAGATTAAAATGCTAAGATTATATAAATAAATAAGAAAATATTGAAAGAACTAAAAAAAATTTTTTAAAAATTATCTAAAATTTATAAAATTTTAAATATAGTTAATTCTGGAAGAGCAAAAAACAATATTTCATTGATGAACGATTATACTGCCAGTGCATGAATGCAAAGCACAGGACAACATGTAAATTCGAAATAAAACATTTAAATTAAAAAAAATCATACCAGACACTATTAGGTTGAAAAAAGGAAACTAAAACTAACCTTTACATCAAACAATAAAATTAGTATAACAAATATTTTAAAATGCATGGAATTGGATGCAAAAAACTATTTTTAGTTTCTCTTTTTTATTTTATATCCGTAGTTGAACAGCAGCCCCATTTTCCGGTTTACGACTACTAATGTACAACCTCATAGCCTTGTAATATTAAACTAATCCAGAAGTCAAAGAGACTTCTGGATCTGTACACCCAGAGCCATGATTTGCTTTGGGATTATGGAGGGCTTTGTGACTCGACAGATTTAACGTGCATCAGTCACCATTTACTATACGGGGAGTTTTCGGCGGGCGTGAATGAACCCATGACCTCTTGGTCATAGGCCCAGTGTCTTACCGATCAGGCTATCCCAACCCTAATTATAGGTATATTCTTTTGTAACTTCCGAACATATTTCAAAGCGACACTTTTGTTGCTTATTTGTATGATTATAGCAATATTTGTAAAAACATTTTATGTGAACGCTAAATATATTGAAAGTTTTTGATTGTGTTAATAAGAAATTCACTTGTGTCGGCATGTCAAATCCAATGTGTTTTGTGACAATATAAATGTATGTGATTATACCGTTAAGAATTTCAGTAATTAGTGTTGATTATAATAAATGGACTTTGTAAATTAAATTCTAAATTCCACCTCTTTAATGCAATTATTATTCTGTTAATTTTCATTTTAATGTAAATTTGGAAATTTCTGAGATACAGTTGGCAAGTTTTTATTTTCATAAGTATTCAGTAAATTTATGTCTTTAATTTATTATAGCATTATTTGTTTTTTATTAAGCTGTTTCTTTTTTCCCCAAGTTTTTCCAACAACCAAAACTAGCATCTGTATCCTCATATAGTTAACAAGAACGCTGCGAATGTGTGTTTCCTATGAAGATATTGTGTATCTTATGAGCAGGGATTTTTTTACAGATAAGTGCAGCAACCCTGATAATGTAATAAATTGTGTGTTTTGTGAATTTCAGTGTAGCACTGCGTCATGAACAACACTAGTGTTTCTATCAGTATGGTGTCTTCTTCCTCTGACACAGCCAGGCATATATGCAGAATCAGTGTTTCCAGCTGCAAGGACGCTCTCGCGAGGCTGGATTGGCCTCAAATGAAGCCAGCGGACATACAGAGGCTGTTAGATCTCTTCAGCCCTGTTGTAGCCAGGCATTAGTCGACGAACATAAGAAGAAAAGAGTGAGTGTATTTTATCATTTGTTAAAATTTTAAAATATTACATAGCTTCCAATTCTACTGGATTTTGCCAGTTTCTACTGGTTTAAAATTCTCCTAGGTTTTGTACATTTTAGAAAATTCCCTAAAATTGAGTAACTTTCTTAAAAAAATCCCTGTTGAAATTGAATTTTGTACATATTATTGCTTGCTTGCTTGACTATTTAAATATAAGTATTACTGATATATAATGAAGCGAACCTCTTTTATAGAAATCAGTTCAAAGCGTTTTTTTGTTATAAAATGTTTTTTTTTTATTTTTATTCAGATCTCTCATTTTATATTAATTAAAAAAAATCTTTTAACTATCTTTTTGATGAATTAAATACCTATTATTAATATTCAAAATTCTGAATAAACATGATACTATTTAACATTTCAAGTATGTTTAATGTCAGTCATAACTGGAAAATATTGCAAATTTTTTATTTTATTTTGATGACTATAAAAATTCCCTATGTATAAAATATTTAGTATATTGTGCAACAATTATTGAAAATAAATTTATATTTTTTAAAATCTACTGTTTTTTTTTCTATCCATGTTGGCAGTTATTTGTATGTAATTGATAGCACATACTGAAATAAATTTTTTTTAAAATTATTGTAGACTAGTGGTCATAATCCTATGACTGTAGTCCATCTAATATTGGATTGGATAATTCAAATTATATTGAATTTGAATATAATTTGAAATATTAATTAGAACCAAAAAATTTGTATTTCTGTTCCATGCTAGTGGAAACCGCAAAATTTTATAGTTTCAATTTAGAGATTCTCTATTAATTCTATGCCTGGTCCAGGCATACAGCTTACCTGGGTCTGCTTCCTCTCATAGGCCGGAAGGTCAGGGTCCTTCCGTGTCTTGGGATAATTTATTTAACTGTTATGTTTTGATTTTTTTAAAGAATTTGTGTTCATTTTCTATGTCCGACACCATGCAAATTGCCCTTGTTTTTCATTTATTTTGCTTTTAAATGAGATTCAAAATATTTTTTTCTCAATCGAAAAATTAAATAATTATCTATGCTTTAGTAAGAGAGTTCTATTTTATTTTTTTTTTCCAACTTAGAAAAATTGTTTTGTGAAGCTTTCATTCGTTCTCTATAATTTTAAATAAATGGTTAAAACAAATATTAATGATTCAAAATTTGAAAGAAAAACATAAATACAAAAGTTTTTATTATTTTAAGATCAAATTAGTCATAACTTTGTAAACAAGCTAGGCTAGATGTTCAATTCCCTGTATATTTGTTGCATTATCAGGGGTTTGTTCAGGGCAAATTTACTGCCGTTAAGCGGTACTTTCACAAATTCAATTTTAGGAAAAATGGTAGTTTCTCAAAATACTAACATATTTTTGAAAAATATTTAAATATTTTCTTATTTTACCATTTTTTTGTGTTGATTTTTTAATATAATTTTTAAATTTCGCAAATTATGCCTGAATTTTCTCTAAACAGGTACCTATCAAAAAACCTAGACAAACCCCTATAAAATAAGATAACATTTTTGGAAATAGTATTAAAAAATTAATTATGTTCTAGTGGCCTAAAATTCAATGTACTGATACCGGGTGGCCACCCACCTGGAAAACCTGGAATTATCAGAGAATTTTTTTATACTGGAAAAATCAGGGAATTTTAAAGAAAAGCTGGAAATTTTTTCTTAGAAATTTTTTTAATTTCACTAATTTAAATTGACTAATTTTCTTAATTTAAATTATTCCATCCATAATACCCACATTTTTTAGATGGAAATGTATCTCCAAACAGTTAAAATGTCATCAACTTAGCTATACTTTGCTTGCATCAAAATTTGCTCCATTATATATAACCCTGTTAAGCTAGAATCAAAGCCTCCTAGATAGGGTGAGCACCCTATCTAGGAGGCTTTGCTAGAATGCCACATAAAATTCTCCCATGGTTGCTCAAGCAAATGTAGAAACCTTTGATCTCTATGGAGACTATGGGACTGTGCAATTTAGGAAAAGCAAAGATTGTGCTGGACCTGGAAGAAGGATATTTGCTTTTGTTTTAAAATTCTGTCCGTGGGCTGAATCCATTTATGGCTCAAGTTTTTTCCTATGCTTTAGTGGTAATTTTTTTCTATTTTGACAAAATGAGTCAAAATGTTTTTGTAATTTTATCTTAATAAAATTCTCCAAAAATTAGCTGGTTATAATTTAATAATAATAGATTTTATATTGCACTCTTTTTTTTTCTGAAAGCTTCTGCACTCCCATTCAAAAAATCTAAATTATTTTTTCTCAGCAGACAATTTTTTCCAACCAATCACACATTTTTTTACAATCGCTAACAGCAGTGTTTGTCGACAAATTGTTGCATTAATGCTAATTTTTTCTATTTCATTTTAACCTTTTATAACTTATTTTAATTTTTAAAAAAGCTGTTTTTTTAGAACTAACTATATATTAATATTTAATTTTACTGTTTTGTTGGTGAATATTTAATTTATGATTCAAATTGTATAGTTATCACAATATCGAAAGTTCGTAACTGTTGCTTGTATTCCAGAGATATTTCCAAAACTATCCCTCCTTTTGCCCTAAAAAGCTGACAAAGACTAAGGAATATATAAAAACCATTTTAAATGATGTTTTAGTTGTGTTGTGCACTGTACAAGATTTTTGTTGTTAAAACAAAAACAATTAACTATGCTAAACTATAAAACTGTGTGCTTAGATTGGAATTCTTTAAATGTTTTAATTTCAATTAAGGAAAAAAAATAAAGTATAAAATTAAGGAATTTTATCTTTTTTTGTATAGAAGACAATTTTACATTTGTGACATTTATTTTTGTATACTGATTCTCTTAAAATAATATCGCTAATTTAAAACAACATTATTTAAAAACTTGACTTGAAATATGAATCTAAAATAATCAAAAATCTAAATGAATCAAAAATCTAAAATATGATCAATGTATTTTATAATTTTATAAAAAGCATTGGTAAGATAAAATACAGTATAATGTAGTATACAGTTCAGCTTTATATTGAAATGTAATTACAGTGACTCACAAAAATGTTGGTACACTTATGACTTTTAATGAAATAAGGCTATCCATTAATTAAAATGAATATTTCAGAATTGATATTTAATAATACAAAATGTGTTTTAATCTTAATTAAACTATATGGAATATTTTAAAAACAAAGGAAAGTTTACTTTTAAGAAATCAATCATTAAAAAGTGACAAAAACTTTATCCCACTAAAAAAAAACCTTTGTCTATTATTAAATATTTTAATTTTTCATTAAATTAACATTTAGTACAGTTCCCTTTCTCATCTACAATAGCTAAGTTTGTAAATACATGTAACTGTTTTTTTGGGGGGTGGGGGTGGGGGAGTACACAGAATGTTTTTTTAAAAAATTGCTTCTGCAACACTCAATTGCGAATTTATGAATTTTTCCACAAATTTTACAATTTTAATCTCTGATATGAAGTCCTTCTTTTAAGCATTTTATCACATTATTGCACAGTGCAATAGGACACAATAAACTAATTTAACATATTCATTACTGATTTATCTTTTATGATGACAAACAATCAAAATTGGTCTATTGTTTTATTACGACCACGAGCCGTTTTTAAATGATAAAATTAAATATTACGGAGTTAGCAAGCAAAAATTAAAATATAATTTTACTATCATAAGTTTGATACTAAATTACAAATAAATAATTAAAAAGTTTAATGAAAAATAATTAAATAAAAAAATTATAGCAATTGACGATAATTTTAATTGTGAAAGCATTTAACTGTACGATGACTTTTGTGGGGTAAAATTTTTGTTACTTTGATATCTTAAAAATTAACTTTTGCTTTATTTTTAAAAATATTCCATGCAATTTTGCTAAAAATAGATTATACATCTTATTTTCAAATACCCATTGTGAAATAATCATTTTAATTGATGAATTTTTATTTCTTATTTCAATGAAAGTTATAAGTGAACGAACACTTTTGGGAGCCACTGTAATTATAAAAATTTATTAATATATAATGACCTGAAACAGTTTTCCTTTTCTCAATGAAAATATATTAAACAATATTTATCCAAGCTTTTATTGGTCATTCTGTTTTCGCCATTTTGTAGGCACACTTTGAGCAAATACTACTTAAAGTAACGCATTAAAAAAATTTTATTCAATAGAAACATTATAGTTTACAAGCTGAACATATTATTTTTTCCACATGTTTCAATTTTTTTTAAAATTAATGTTGTGCAAAAACATTAAAAAATAAAAAACGAAATCTTGTCTAAATTATTTTTTTCAAGATATGTTAAAAAAAATGACATTTTGAATAAAATATTTTATGATATAGACACTTTTCTTGTACACATCCTGCACTTCATAATAAAGGGGGGGGGGGAAGCACAGACCTGAAAATTTTAAGATTTTTACCTGGAAAAATCAGTGAAATTTGAAATCTGATTTGAGTGGCCACCCTGTGATATTATAACTTGCTTTTTGACATTTTAAATTCTTTTTTAAATTCAGTTTTTCCATTTTAGGCTTCACATGTGCATAAAATTAGGGGGTTATTTCTGGAGGATCACATATTTCGTTTATCACTTTTATTGGCACCCAAGATGGTCACCCAGGCTATTATGGAAGGTGGACTATCCAATACAGCAAATGCTGCTGGCGATAGCGAACAGTCAGAACTGCTCGCTCTCTCTGCATGCTGCCCAGAAGAGGAATCTCTCCGCAGTCCCGATTCGGCTGCTAACATCTTGCCAACGAGCAGTGTCAGTCAGAATCTGCTCGCTGGAACAGTGAATGAGACTTATGAAGGTAGCATTAAAGATGGCTCTGTAGATTTGAACGATGATAAAGACCATAGTGACATCATATTAACCATGGATGAGAATGGGGGTACTGGCAAAAAAGATGATCAACCTACTGAATCGCTTAGGGCGTTAATTTTCCAAGTGTTTATTCCGTTTCTGATTGCTGGCTGTGGAACAGTGGCTGCTGGAATTGTTCTCGACATAGTTCAGGTAATGTTCTGATTTTAATTCTGTTTACACGGTGCTTGAAAAATTTGAAAGTTCTTGAATTTTGTTAGAAAAAAATCAGGGTCCCGATAAGTCCTTGAATTCTGTGATAGGGTCTTGGAAACGTTTTTGATTTTCTCGGAATGATTTTCAAAATAATCTTTCCTTTGAAGAAAAAGCTTGGGGGGCGAAAATTCAAGCTAATATTTCAATAACTCTATCTCATTTCCCTGTTTTCTTTTTTATTATTTTTCATTTAATTCTAATATGCTACATTGAAATTTTCATGTGAAGTTTTACTGCTACCAATCTTTAAAAGTTTCTTAAAGTCTATATTCTTAAAATATATTTTTATTTATAAATTATTATATATTTTAATTATTTTATTTATTATTCTAAATGAACAACTACTCAGATGTAAAAAATTATTCAGCTTGGGAAAAGAACAATCTGAACCTATAATTGCAGAATTTGACATAATAAGTAAAAAGTGAGAAATAATTTTACTTGTTAAATATATATAACGGTAATTTATATTAACAGTTTGAACCAAAAACTGTTTTTATCTCGAGTCTTTTAAGAATTGTATCTGGCTGCATCTGTCTCTCATTTCTTTTATTAATATCAAGTCTAGCACAAGGTTGTAATATGAAGGTTTTGAGAGAGATATTTTATTAAACGATACATAAATGCATTGCTTAAATATAGGGGTGCACAACCTTCCATAAACAACCATAAAAAGGCAAAAGAAATATTAGTTTTTTTTATTGAATTAAAAAGAACTGTTTTCTCTCATGGAAATTGCCGCTTTGAGTTTTGAAAGGGCACACACTTAACACTGTAAAAATTTATCAAAATGTGTAAAATCATGTAATAACTGAATTTGGTCCTCAACAATTTTTAAGTTACCATTTTGTACTATTTTATGTAGTATTTTAAGAAGTAATTTTTAGTCATCAATCTAAATATTATTTTTTGATAATAATAAATGAAGGCGTAAATTATTATTTATTAATAAAAGTAAATGAAGGCGCGCTAAGAGACATTCTCTGAGGATAAATTTTTTTCTTCAAAAAAAAAGTTTTTTAAAATTTTTAGAAAATAAACATTTAAATTTGCATTTTTTTTAAAGAAAGGTATATATTTGATATATCTAGAAATCAGTTTAAAACTTTTTTTGTTCTAAACTGGTGTTTTTTTTTTTTTTTCTTTCAGAACTGTCTTTTTAAATCAATTGAAAAATCTTAACTATCTTTTTGATGAATTAAATGCCTATTATTTTTCAAAGTTCTGAGTAAACATAATACATAATATTTCAAGTTCATTTAATATTGATCATAATGGAAAAATATTGCAGTTTTTTCTATTTTGATGACTATAAAAAAAAATCCATAAAACTCTCTAATGTGTAAATTTATATTTTGTAAAACCTACTTTATTTTTTCCTATCCATGTTGGCAGTTAAGATGATATTGTGCTTGCTGATAAATTTTATTTGGGTGAAGAAAGCATTGACTAAAGCACCTGATGTATTTTATCAATATTTTTGGACAATGTATTGCAATATTAAAATTGGTACATGTCTGTTATTGAGTGAAAGTTGTCGACAGTACGTCTTCATGTGCATACCTGCCAAGTCTCCTGTTTTTTTATTGAAGACTCTTGTATTTTATGACTATCTCCTGTTTACCCGTATATTCCCAAATTTCTCTGTATTTGTTGAAGAAATTTTAAAAAAATATTTTTTTTTTGGTGATAAAATATCTGATGAAAAAAATACTTCTCTTATCCCTCAACAGATGGTGCTTTAGCCAACACTGCAGTATGTGTGAGTTATACTAGTTTAAGTATTTATAAATAATGGTGTGACACCAATAATTTTTAGATTACGATTTATATACATATTTTTTACTTAGTTAAATCTAAGTGCTTATATTTCCAATTTTGAATTTCTCTTTTTGACTTCCATGATTTTGTCTGATGTATCAAAACTTTACTTGTAGTCTAAAAAATGTTGCTAGTAAGTTCGCCAATGTTGGCTGGTATGCAAATTACTTACTTATTTAATTTTACTCAACATCTGAATAATCTGCGTTATATTTATTTGTTTAGACGTGGCCAGTGTTTGAAAATGTAACACAGCTGTTCATCCTTGTGCCTGCTCTGTTGGGATTAAAAGGAAATCTTGAGATGACTCTCGCTGCTAGAATCTCCACTCAGGCAAGTGTACTACACGCATCTTTAAATAAATATTTTTTACATGCTTTGATTTCTTTTTTCAATATTTACAGTTAAAGTTTACTTCATATCCCTGTGGCAGAATCGCGGCCACATTGTCGCAGAATGTTACAGAGCTCTTGCCGAAAGATTTTTCTTCTGAAAAGCTAACAAAAAATTCTTTTCTACAGAAATTTACACGTAATATTTGAATAATGCACAGGGTATCTGCTCACCTGGAAGGTCATGAAAAATCATGGAAAGTCATTAATTTCAGTATTGAAAAAAATTTGTCCTGAAATGTCATGATTTTTACTATTTTTTTTTAAAAAAATCATGGAAAGTCATGGGTTTAGATCTATGAAAAATATAATTTTTAAAAGGAAATCCCCTCCGCCCAATTTCTTCCTGTTCCAAATATCTGAATTCCTAACAAAATCACCACTCAGTCATATTTTATTAGAATATAAAATTATTTTATCATGTTCTTTAAAAATTATCGTGTTTTTTCAAAAACTGAAGGAAGAAACATCATTTATAGAGCAAATTATCTTTTAAACTTTTGTGATTTAAGAATTTTTATTATTTTTTTAAATTTTATAAATGTAAAATTCGAGTTGAAGCAAACTAGTCATTGGCGATTTTTTTTAATTCCGAAATCAGATGTATTTCTTTCCTTTCTAATGAACAAGAAAAGTATCTTTAGAATATGATTCTGCAGAAAAAAAGGGGGGGGGAAATTATTTGCTTTTGTATTTTTTTCAGCTATTTTATTATTTCATCTCTTTCTTTGCTCTGTTTTTTAAATTTGAAATCTATAAGTATGAAGATGCAATGTATAACAGTTTTGGTTATACCTGTCATTTCAATTAATGTTATTATAATGCTTTTTTAAATTTATTGTTGCGTTTTTGTCGGAGAAAATAGTAACTTCGTAAAGTCATGAAAAATTCTTGGAATTTGTCATGGTAAATCATGAAAAGTCATGAATTTGAAAGTCTAAAATGTAGCAGATACCCTTCCTTTCATTTAGATAATCAATTTGGCTCTCTCAAATTACGCCGATTGTATCGTAAATCAATGTAATGTTTTAATTGCATTTTCGGCAATTATTGATATTGATTTTCACATGGATTTTGAATATCCCAATACATTCCAAGCAATGTGGAAAATTCAAATCATGCATTCGAGTATTTACTTTTTAAGGCAGTAATTCCATCGAATTGTTGCAAGTTATTGCTATTGATTTCTCCATAGATTTTTAATCCGATATTTTTCATACAATATTATTTGTTACAGCAATCTAATCTCCAAACGAAACATGCATTTGACAAATCCTTTTCATGCGATTTCGTAGTCAATCTTTTTCTCGGCAATTACTACTACTGATTTCATGATTTTTAATTATATTTTTTATTGTGATTATTTACAAAATGCAAATATGGAAATACTTTTTGTATTCCCTCTCTCTCTCTTTCTCTCCACCCCCCAACAAAATGTGAGAATATCACCCATAATATTAGAATAAAAAATTACCAACACTGTGCTTTTGATATTTTTGAATAGTAGCATATATGTTCGTTATTATTAAAAGTGTCCTCGCAGAACGATAATAGTGCTCGAGAGTTTTGTCGCAGTTAGCTTGAAACAATTCTGCCCCAGGGTTTCATATATGCAAGAATTATTTTCATAGAACCTGTAAATATTTTAAATATATTTATGCTATGATAAATCTTATTATTCGGGAATAGTAGATTAAAAAAGATATGGGGAAGTAAGGTTTTAAATCAAAGAAAAAAACCCTGTGGCAGAATTGCAGCCATACGGCAACATTGTCACAGAACGTTACAAAATTCTTGCAGAAAGATTTTTCTTTTGAAAAGTAAAAAAAAGAATTTACCTGTTATATTTTAATCATGCATTTAGATAATCACTTTTTGATGCGCTCAATATACGCCGATAGTATACTAGATTAATGTATTTTTACAATTGTATTTTCAGTTATTGATATTTATTTTCACGTGGATTTTAAATATCCCGATAAAGAACATGGAAAATTCGAATAATGTATTTGCAGGGTGCGTACAAACTCCTTATACTCCTTAGAAACTCCATGTAAAAAAAAAAAGTCTCCAAGGAGTACTTGGAACTACTTAGATTTCAAATTAGTCCTTAGAAACTCCTTAGATTATTGCGTCGCATCGATGAACTTTCTAAGTTCGCTGATGAATCTGCTGTCCAAGCAGGGAAACTAAATGATATGACTTAGCTGTCAAAATATAATAGCTTAAGAAAAACTTTTTTAAAAAAAATTGAATTGCAAGAGTTAGAAGAAAAAAAATAGCAGCAAATAATTTTAATTTTACATGTAACAAGCAAACTTAAAAAATTATTTTTGTTGTTGTTGTTGTCTTTAGATTTTCTTATGTATTCAAATTTAAAAATATAAGATTGGAAGGTTTTTATGTTAATCTTATGTACCTAACATATGTACTTATGCACTCCAACAAGATTTATTAAAATATTTGAAGCTGAAAAATGTATTTATGTGTGAAATTATAACTTTATTTTTCTTGATGAAGTTTGACAAAGTCAAAATTTATTTCAAAAGGGCTAAAAATAAATATCTTGTGCAAAATATAAAATTTTGACAAAATATAAAATTTTGAAAGTTCTTTATAATAACTGCTTTTTAATTTAAAAAAAAAAAAAAAAAACTGCCTAGTTATCTTTCACACAAATTTTTTAAGTCCTTAAAATTTTGGACTCCTTGGATCTCTTTTTCTGATCTCTGTATGAACCCTGATTTGAGTATTTATTTTAAAGGCATTAATTCGGTCGAATTTTTTCAGTTATTGCTATTGATTTCTCCCTAGTTTTTATATCCAATATTTTTTATAGGATATTATTTTTATACAACAGCCTAATCAAGAAACGAAACACACATTTGAGGTGTCCAATTCGCATGATTTTGTCGTCTATCTTTTTTTTCGACATGCACTACTACGGATTTAATTTTTGAAAATTTTTTTTTTATTGTGATGATTATTTACAAAAGGCGAAGGAAATAATTTCTACGTCCCCCCTCTCCCAACAAAATGCGAGAATGTCACCTATAGCAGTGTTTTCATCGCAGAGAAAAAATGGGTGAGAATTTCTCACCCTTTCTCAAAAACAGGGTGAGATTTCAGAAAGTTAAGTGAGATTTCTAAAAATTAAAAAACAAAAACGTAAAGAGACATGAAAAAAATCATTTCTTTAATTATAATACATTTTTAATGTCTTCTAATTTTTAAAGCATTGAATATTTTTGCTGCATCATCATATGGAAAATGTTCTATATCTACTTTTTCATCAGCTATTCTAATTAGGTAACTCAAATGCGTATTTGTTTCGTTTTGATCGTTTCTACCCACATTTGTTTCATTTTAATTTGTCCGTTTCGGAGTAGAAGATATTGCCTTTACAAGGTATTTGTCCATCTTGCATTAATGCGCAAAAAATTTGAACGTCTTACATGAAGAAACCTTACCTACAGTAAACACGTGGTTGCAGAGAAATGCGTTCTGAAAGAGGTTCGGAGGGATGGTGTTCTGTAGTTCTTAAAGATTCTGAACAATACTGGTAAACAGGGAAGCTAGATAATGGGGCAGATGTTGAAAATAATGAAAGATCCAGGAAGAAAAGTGAAACGGATTTCATTATAATTGGCGCAATGAGAAATTTTTTTCAAAATGCGAGAAATTCGCGAATTTTGAAATTGGTTTATAGAATGCGCGAATTTCTCACGGTAATAATTTTTTAATGCGCGAAAAGAAAAAAATATGCGAGATTCTCGCGTTCTCGCGCTGTAGTGAAAACACTGCTATAGGTAATATTAGAATAAAAATTATATGTTGAATAGAGAAAAATTATCTATGGTTTTTTTGTAAACAAAGTGTTTTTGTTAATTTAAATTAGTAACATACATTTTTATTATTAAAAGTATCTTGCAGAATGATAGTTTTGGTAGAGAGTTTTGTCGCAGATAGCTCTAAAAAATTCTGCCACAGGGGAAAAAAAGTTTGTTCTTTTTAAAAAATCTTTAAAATATATTTGGTATAAAACTCCAGTGTGCATGCTTTTTTTCAAAAATATCTTTCAAATGAACTTGTACTAGCTTTTTTTTGTTATATATATGTGTAACATAAAAAGCTTTAATTAATCTTTCTATGTTATTCCTTTTCTGTAAATCCTTTTCTTAATTTATTATTCAAAATGAAACGCTTTCTCACACTTTTAAATTCTAATCCTGTCTTTTAATCTATTTTTGGTTCAAGTATGCATTAATTAAAAGTAAGAAATTTTCTCTTTGTGGAAATCGCGCGACCTATTCATTAAACCAATTACAATTACTAAGTTTTATCTAAAACGAGACATTTTATGGATTTTTTTTGCAAGATTTTCCCTAACTTTTATTGAGGAGCACAACTATTTTGTGTCACTCTCTCTCTCGTTTCTATTATCATATAATGATTAAATAAAATTAATTTGCTCTTTTTAAAATCCTGTGTCTGTTTGTTCTCCTCACACGACTGCCACCATTAGATATATATAAGCTATAATTTTTTCATTGAAATAGTTATTTTTTTTTTCTAACACTTTTCTTTTAGTAGGAAATTTTTATTGTTGTTTGAATTGTATTTTTTAACATTACTAGTCTCTAAAAATTATCTGAAATTTTTTTTTTTTTTTTTTTTTTTTTAAATCTTAGGCAAGCTATATTTAAAATTTAAGCTGACTTTAAAAAAAAGTATAACTTAAATAGTTGTTTGACTAATGTAATAATTTTCTGTTGAAATGTTTTCCAGAAAATAAAAGGATCAGAGATTGTTGATCACTGCCAGTTCGTATAGTTCTAATACGGCATTAACAACTAAACCATGCAAACCAAAAAATAATTTTTGTAGTATTTAAAATGTTATGCTAATAATTCATGTCATATTAAAACAAATTTTATCTTCATTTTTTTAAAAGTTAGTTTGTAAATGATAAATACAGTTATTAAATAGTATTTCCTTATTATATCTGTAAAATTCTCTTACATTATTTGAGGATATTTCAAATTCTAGCTCTAGTTTAGAGAAGAAAAAATTAAAGTTGTTATAAAATATATTTGTTTTTACTTTTGTATTTCATTTACAAAATACATATAATTAGATTGCATCTTTTTTATTTATAGGCAAATTTAGGGCAGCTAGACAGTCTTAGAGAACAATGGAAGATGACGTACGGCAACATGGCCCTTGTCCAGGTAAGCTGATGTAGATATTAAAATTTATAGTGGTGTTGTAGTGCTAATACATGAAGTTTTTAGTAAATTAAGAATTTAAGTTAGTAGTAATTCAACTAAATACTAATAGTATCTGCACACCTGGAAAGTCATGGATTTCGATATTGAACAAAATTTGTCACGGAAAGTCATGGATTTAGGTCGCCGAAAAATCTAATTTTTAAAATGGAAATTACCCCCCTAATTTTATGGTGTTCCGATTATCTGAATTTGTAAGAAAATCTCCACTCACAGTCATATTTTATTAAAGTATGAAGTGTTTTTATAGTGTTCTATAAAAATTAAGGTGTTCTTTCAAAAAATGAAAGAAAAAAAATCATTTCTAGAGGAAATATATCTTTTAAACTTCTTTGATTTCAAAATTTTATTTATTTATTTTATCTGGCTGAAGCAAGCCAGTCATTGGTGAATATTTTTAATTCTGATATGAGAACAGAAAAATCAGGAGTATTTCTTTCATTTCCGATGAACAAGAAAAGTATCTTTAGAATATAATTCTGCTTAGAAAAAGAGAAAAATTTATTTGCTTTTGAATTTTCCCAGCTATTTTATTGCTTCAACTGTTTCTTTACTCTATTTTTTAAATTTAAAATCTATAAATATGAAGATGCAGTTTTGATTAAACATATCATTTCAATTAAAGTTATTATAATGCTTTTTTAAATAAATTGTTGTGTTTTTGTCGGATGCAAATAGTAACTTCGTTAAGTCATGAAAAATTCTTGGGATTAGCCATGGATTGGAAAATCTAAAATGTAGCGGATACCTTGTAGTACATGTCGACTCTCAGATTTGACAATAACTTCCTTAATTTAAAATTTCCTGAAATTAAATAGGTACACGAAGAAAAAAAATCAAAACCTATTAAAATTGTTTTTGGACTTGGATTATTGGCTGTGTTTCTATTAGTAGTTTTTGAATTGTTATCGAAATGGACATAACTGTGGTTAATTTCCTGCCGCTAAGTAAAGAATGATTTAGAAAATATCATTAATTCCAAATATCAAGATATAGGATTCAATTCACATTTTTATTCGCACTTAAATATAACGTTTTGCATTAGATTCCATCTCCGTGGCAGAAACACGGCAACACAGCGACATTGTCGCAGAAAGCGACTGAGTTCTTGCAAAAAGATTTTTTTTATTTGGGAAATAAAAATTTTAGGTTTGCCACAAACAAAAGTTCTCAAAAAAGATTCTGCAGAAACAGAAGCTGTTTTACCAAAAAAAAAAAAAAAAAAAAAAAACATTTTCTACAGAAACAAAAAATTTCTGCAGAAGAAATAATGGTTCTGCAAAATTTTTTTCTTACAGAATTGTTTTAATTTTTTTTTTTTCTAGCGTACCGCGGAAGGAGAATGCGCTCGTAATTCTCCGTTAATCTCCAACACAAACAGTTACTGGATAAAAAGGGGAGAATGTTTTTCCCCTTTATTAAGCTATTTTTGGAAATTTGCCAACTTTGGCCTCTATTGCTGGCGCAGTAATTTGCTTTGTGTTTTCTTATGAGAACAGAGCATTTTATATTTTTTGCACTTATGTGGAAAATTTCATGCGTAAAAAGATTTTTTTAAAAAAAAATCATGTCTGGCGAAAAGGGTATTTGTTGCAATTGTGAAGCCACAATAATTAAAACAAATTTGAAAACCGATTTTTCAAGGCGGCATTCCGAAGAAGAAATAAGATGGAAGTCGACAACATCTAGCGATGTCAGAGATTTTTTTTCTGGAAGGCGACAGGAAAAGAAGCTCCCCACGCTACTAATATTGAAAGGAAGAAAAAAAAGGAAAACGTTCTAGATTCGAATAAAATATTCTTACTAGTAACGATATCGATAGTAAGGATGAGACAGCATTTCCAACAAATCAAGAAATGTTAGAAGCAGTCAAAGGTAAAAAATAACTATATGCATATTTTTAAAGATAAAATGCCTATATCCTTTGAATTAAGTCGTCGATAAAGAAAAAAAAAAGAAGAAAAAACACTCGCAATCTAACGATAAATGAAATAAAGCCTGAAAGATATCTCACTATCTGCGATTTTTTGGCATGCGAATGAAAACCAGATTGGTGGAAAGTATTTACTGGTGAAACACTTTCAAACAGGTTTCCATACGCATATGAAAAAAAATCGCATCCAATGAGTATGGCTCTAATACCAATGTTTCAGTAATGATAAAGACTATTTCGTTTCGAGATGTGGAATAGACTTGAGCATATTGAGTCGGAAACCGCTTCTGCATACTTCGTGTGGAATCAATGCTATATATTTACACAATACAGTGCGAAATCACAAGCGCTGTGAATTTTTTTTCGTTTTGAACTTAATCTGATCACGACAAAAGTTTTATTTACCTCCTATTTTAAAAAAAAAATCTTTCTATAAGTTAGTACAATATTAATCGAATCTAATTAATCTATAATTAATTAGATACAATTAGATGTAGAAAAAATTGAAACAAACATTGCTTGAATTTTTTTGCTTTTAGAATTCGGTTATAGTCAATTCTATTTTATTATTTTGATTACTCAACTTCAATATTAATTTTTTCACCTGATTTGTTTCTATACCTGATATAACTACTATAATGAAACATTAAATCATACTGTTTTAAACTGCTTTAATAATTTAATTTTGATACTGTTTTAAACTGATACTTCAAATTCAGTTATCTTGTTTTATAAATTTAATCTTTTTGTCCATTCTTAGCTATTTCTATAAGTTCTATCTTATTACAGGTTCTGGGTAATCTTTATTTATGCTCTAGTGAGCATTTTTGTCTGCAGATCTATACATTTATAACTTTTCGTTATTATCGAAGATTATGCAAATTTATACTTAAACACTTTAAACTTATTAAGAAATGTATATTTATATTATGAAATTAAGAAAAAAATCTACACAGTTTTATTCTATGCATGTAGACTTATTTTATAAACACGAATTTCATCTATTATTATAAATTCATTACACATACATTTATAACGATAAAAATATCTTGCAGAAAGATATTGGTTCTAGTTAGGTTTGTCGCAGAAAGTCAGAAAAAATTCTGACACAGGCGATTCCATTAGCAATGAATTTCAAACAAACTTTTTTAATGTCTTTAAAATGAAAGCTTTTCATAAAACTGAACATCACACGATCTGTTAGAGAAAAGTTCTATAAACTAAACAGGCTGTTAGTAAAGTATAACAAGATGGCCACCCTTTTTTGAAACTAGGAAAACTGTTAATATTTAAGGTGTTGCATAATACTTCTGGAAGACGTAGAATACTCATAGAAATGAACAATTAAATGTAGAAATTCATTATAAGCAATAAGCAGTGTTGAAAATTCACATAAATCAGTTAATGACTGGGTAAATCCCAGGTAAATTTACTACCTTTTAGCGGTACCTTCACAAATTCAACTTTAGAAAAAGCAGTAGTTTCACGAAATACTTATTGTAAGTTTATTCTAACAGACCTTTATTTTTTATGAAATCTTTTTTTCTCTTGAGATTTTTTTCTGTATGACCTAGTCAAAAATTTTCTCATAATGAAAATAACTTCTAGTGCTAGTACAGTTAAATGCATGTTTTTATTAAATTCAAGTTGAAATTTAACTATGGACAATGATTTTTTTGGATTTTTAAATTTGGATATAATTTTAAAGCCTTTATAATAGCAGAATTATTTTTGAATATATGAGGAAAAATATATAGAAATTTACCAGACATAAATGATTTTTATATGTAGTGAAAATTTTTGAAAATATTTTCTTACTTTACCATATTTTTGTGTTGATTTTTTAATATAATTTTTAATTTTCACGAATTATGTCTAAATTTTAATAAAATAGGTACCTCTAAAAAAAAAAAAATACCCTAGACAGACCCCTGATGACCCAAAAATAACCACTAATATGTTTCAGTATTTCATTGTGCATCAGAACTTTTTGCTGGTAATATATTTTCATGTCATCTTTGCTATTTGGCTTTCTACTGAAAGTATTTTTCTTTGTTTTAAAATCTGTCAAATTGTTTAAAAATTTTACTCTGAAAATATTAGGGTTTTATGTTAAGATTATCCACCTTGTTTACCATTTTGACCGCTGTTCTGTTTATAGTAGCAGTCTTGTTTATGGCTGGTATACAGTTAACAATTATTTCTGTCGTGCATGAAGCAGAATTTTATAGAAAGGTAAAGAAAGAGAACAAGAAATAAGCGTGGATTTTGAATAAAAGTTTGATGTTTGTGTTACCTAAAATATCTGAATGTTTTTTTTTTTTAAATTTTCTTTCAGTGCCAGGCAACAATAGTTGCTTTCTTAGCTGCAATCTTTGCCATTGTCGTAGATGTGGTACAAGAAAACACTTTCAATGTGCATCATGCTACTCTGCTTTGTGCCAGCAGTTTACTCACAGCTGCGATTGCAAGTTTGGTTTTAGGTAATATAGTGTTTTTTTTTAAATAGAAAACTCCTTTTTTGTTGTTTTTGTTTTATATTTTCCTTGTACCATCCTTTTTCAAATTACATTAGAGTAATTTCTCTCTTTTTTAATTTTGCTTTAAATAATAAATATTTTTCTCTTTGCAAACAAAATTTTCTTGTTTCAAATGCTTGTAATCACGAAATTTTAAATTGTGAATGAAATGTATCTAGGAAAACAGGGTTAGAGTCAGGTTAATTCCTAAACATGGTTTCAGTAGTTATTTCTCATAACCTGATTATTGAAGATTTGTTTAATTCTTTATTCCACTGCGCCGGGAAAGTCATATTGACAATGTCAACTTTCATCTATGAAAAGGAAAACCAACATAGAATCGAATTAGTGTGTCTTATATACTAGTGAATTGGAATTGTATTTTTGTAGTGGCAGACACACTACAGTACTTCCTCACTAGAATTATATCTGTCATAGAATTCAATGAATGAATGCCACTAGTTGATTCATTGCTGTTTTGTGCGAAGCCGGGAGAGCTGTATTAAGAGATCACTGTGCTTTTAAGTGTTAATCGTGTATTTAGTTCATGGTCAGTCGAGGGTTGCTCCTGTGTTGCCGTTAGCAGTCAAGTGTGTGCAGGCCGACGTTGTGTGTTATCGAGACTGAAGAGCAACAGCGCAAGGAGGTGGATCATGTCGCAGTCACAAATAGCGCGTCAATTGTTCAATGTGGACAATCCATCGAAGTAGGCATGTTCAAATCTAAGTGGGAGTTTCTGACAAGGTAGGCGTGTTCACATCACGTCCGGGCCAGCAATGTAGGAAGAGTCATATCAACAATGTCTACCTAATAAAAAATCTTTTTTATTACTCACTGTGGAGAAAGTAGTTATCGACAATGTCAACCGTCATCTATATAAAGGTATCCCTTGTGTAGAATCAAGTTTACATGTCTTATATACTATTGAATTGGAATTGTATTTTTGTAGTGGTAGACGCACTACACACTGCCTTTTATTTTGTTGTAAATACTTAAGAAACTATATTTTCCTTACCTGAAATATTTTTAGAAAAGGAATTTTTGAACAAGCTATAGAATTACCAAAATTAATGGGATGAAAATGTTTAATTCTATATCTGAATAAATTAAAGATTTATATTATGTTTTGGTTTATAGGGTTCATAACTGTTGGTGTTGTTCTCTCATCGAGAAAATTGCACATCAATCCTGATAATGTTGCCACTCCCATTGCTGCCTCTTTAGGTGATGTCACTACATTAGGCCTCTTAGCTTCTATTAGCAGTATTCTCTATGGGATTGTCAGTAAGTCTTTTTTCTATTAAATGATGATACAATATCCACTTTGAAAAATTAATTCACAAATTTTTCTTTCTGTAATCTATATTCTTATACAGATAAATAGTATACCTTATAATGTTATGCTTTTTCCAACTGAGTTGTAGCCAAAGTCAGGTAAGAAAAGATAAGCTGCAGTCAAACCTCGATAATGTGAACACTCTTAACGCAAATTTCTTTTATTGTGAGCTAGTTTTTCATTCCCTGTTAAATTGTATATAGATATCATACCTGCCAAGTCTCCTGTTTACCTGTATATTCTCAAATTTTTCCATATTTGTTAAAGAGAAAAAATTTGGTGATAAAATATCCACTGGTGGCAAAAATACTTCTCTTATTCCTCAACAGGTGGTGCTTCAGCCAGTACTGCAGTATGTTGAGTGTTAATACTTTAAATCAAGCCATAATGGCTCAATAGATAGAGCATTTGTCTTCCAATAATGAGAAACGAGTTTGAATCCTACTGATGACAGGTTGATATGAACTCCGAATCCAACTTGCACTGACCGCAGTGCTGATGTAAAATATCCTCAGTGGTAGACAAAATCACGTGTTAGAGACCCTTGTCATCAGGCTAACGGTGGGAGGTTTTCCTGATTTTTCCTCCGTGTAACTCAAATGTGTGTTAGTTTCATCAAAAAGTCCTCCACGAATGTTAACTTCTCCCAATATTTAATCCAGGAATTTTCTTGTTTTCTGAATCTGGTTCAAAATTACAAGGCTGCAGAGTTGAACATTAGTAGTTGTAAACCCAAAATTGGGTCAGCTGTTCAACCGCGGTTATAGAATAAAATAGTTAATGTAATTATAAATAATGGATTAAAAAATCTCCTTTAGATTAATTTACATATTTTTTACTTCGCTAAATGTAAGTGTTTTGAAATTCTCTTTGACTTTCATGATTATGCACGACTATCAAAACTTTACTTGTAGCCTAAAAAAATGTCGCTAGTAAAATCTGTTATTTTATTTCTTTAATGTTGGCAGGTATGCTAATGTCAGGGTTACCCCTCTTATTTCATTCTTACCTTTACCCCTGTGGGTCCCTAGAAAAGCCGCATTCTATCTACTGGAAGCTACTGTATATATGCATGTATTTTAAATAACAGTGCTATCTTTATTAGTATATGGTTCATGTAATTCAATAAAAAATGTGCTAAATTTTTTATTTTATGTGTCCTAATTTCTTATTTATTTTGTAGCTACTAATGTCTGGGTTGCCCCTCTTATGATTATTTTATTCTTACTTATGATACCCCTGTGGGTAGTCATTTCGAAAAGAAACAAATTCACAAAGCAAGTGCTAAGAACTGGTTGGGTACCTGTCATCAGTGCTGTTTTCATTTCAAGGTAAGTCGATACATTCTGACAAGTTTATTTAGTATAATGTGATATAGTGTGACTGTTTAAAAATGTTTAATATTGCTTAAAGCAGTAGTTCTCAAATTTTCAAGTTGACACAGCCCTAGCAGCCGACGCCATATTTATATTCATTATTCAGCCGATATTGGCACCATGAAAGTCGATATTAGTTCTATATAAGACCAATATTAGAAATCTAAACATCTCAATATTGGTTCCTCGATGCTTGTTTATACAGGACCCATATTTAGCCAGGGTTAAATTGTTGCTATGGTAGTTTTTAGTTTTAGTAATATTTTGTTAAAAAATATGCAATAAGCATTAAAATCATCAAAAATGTGTGATAATAAAATCATAATGCAGAGCCACGGTGGCTCAGGGGATAGAGCGTTCGCCTTCCAATGAGGCGAACCGGGTTCGAATCCCAGTCAATATGAATTCCGCATCTGGCTTGCATCAACCACAATGCTGACATGAAATATCCTCAGAGTTAGACGAATTATGAGTTAGTCCCCTTGCCGTCAAGCTAACTGTAGGAAGTTTCCATGGTCTTCCTCTCCATGTAACGCAAATGCGGCTGAGCTCTGTCGAAAAGGCCTTCACAGGCAAATTTCTCCCAATATTTGATCCAGGAGCTCCTTTGTCTTCTGGATTGGGTTCAAAATTACATGGCAACGGAGTTGAACTTTTAGTTGTCGCAAACCCATAAAATTGGGTCCGCTGTTCATCGACGGTTATAAAAAAAATGAATCATAATGCATGTGAATTTATATTTTAAAATGTTTAAATTGTTCAATGAATGTGCATTTGAACATTTTAAATTTCATTATAAACGTTTTAAAGTTACAAAAAGTAAACATTTATTTACCTATATGCATTTTAATGTTTTTCTTTACAAAGCTCGTACAAACTTTTTCTGAGTTTTTTTAAATTTTTTTTTTAAATAGACTTGTTTATTTGCTATTTAAAGCAAATCTGACATTCTTTCCATTCTATCTTGTTGTCCTTTTGCCTGTGAGAGGAGGTTTCCCCTTTGTGTCAAAGTCATAAGGGTAGCGTAGTTTATGGAAACATGGGAGCTTAAATTGTAAAATTCCCGAATTGAATTTTTCTTTTCAAACTTTACTTTAAACCATGGAATAATCTAATCATTTAAAGAACATTACACTAAACAACTGATTAGCTAGGTAGGCTGATCTATCATGCGTATTTCTACTGCAACACAAGTCCCATTACTTTTCAATTACCCCATTACTAAAGCAAAAATGAAATGCTATTTCAATTACTACTGCATTAAGATATGTACTGCAATCAGGTATTTAGAATCTTAGCGTAATTCCCAATTTTGAGTAAACTTTTTATGTAACATTTATAAAAGTAAAAATAGTGGATCTTAAATTTGTTTTTGCTTTTTAGTGCTGGTGGTTGCGTCCTTGATTTGGCCATAACAAAATTTAAAGGAATAGCAGTTTATCAGCCTGTTATCAATGGTGAGTTTTGAAAAGATAGAAATATGTTTATTGAAATGTTTCATGCTAAAAAAGTGTTTATTTTTAAAATTTTTTTTTTTTTAATGAAAGTATTTTTTGAATGAATTCTAGTAATAAGTATTTAAATTTCTGCAAGTATACTAATTTTTTTGAAATAAAAATTGAGCGCTGGAACACTAACATTTATGTAAAAAATTATATTTGCCACCACCTTGACTAAATGGATTGTGGTATATGATAATTAAGTCATTTAATAAACTTTTAGTCATATTTTTTATGAATTCTAGTTTTCATTTGGACTATTTTTATAGCTTTTGGCCACTATTTTCATGTTTTAGGCTACTAAAAGCAACTATTTTGTTCATTTTTTTCTGTGGCAACCCTGTTATATAAAACTTTTATAATTAATATTGAATTATTAAACTGAAATTAGAATTTTAATTTTTTATTCCATGAATATTTCATATAGGAAAGACTGAAAAATTTGGATTGCAGTTTTGAATAATTTACCGTTATTTTTTAATGAATATATGTAAAAAATTTCAAACTAAATCATTCTGATTTACATTACAATTTATGTTACAAAATGTTCAGAAATTTTACTTAGAAATTCTTCAGAAATTTGCTTAGAAAAAAAAAATTTGGCTATCCTGAACTAGGTATACAGTTAAGAGATTTAATAAATAACTTTTTTCTTTTTAAGGGTTGCCACTCCACAGGGAGTATAGGGAAAACCTGGAAAATACAGGGAATTTAAAAATCATTTAAAATAACAGGAAAAATGCAGGGAGTTTTTTTCTTACAAATTGGGAGTTTTATTTCTTATTTTTGTCTTTTAAAAATGCAGACCTCTCAAACAAAACTCTATTGGATAGTATATTATATTATTTAATTTATTGTAGCATTAATTGTTTTATGTTGCTGTTCTTTTATGTCGCAAAATTTTTTCGGCAACTAAAGTAAACATAGTTTTCCTAATATAGTTCACAAGTGCGCAGTGAGTGTGTGTTTCCTCTTTGTACAGCGTTGCCACTCCACGTGGAAAACTTGGAAAATACAGGGAATTTTGATTTTTTCCTTTACAAATTGGGAAAATACAGCGAATTTCGTTTCTTATTTTTGTCTTTTAAAAAATGGTGACCACTTAACGCATCATTTATGGGATATTTAACCATGATATTTCAGCTATGCTAAACTATTTCATTAACTATAGCATTATTTAAGTATGTTCAGCTGTTGTTCCAGCAGTTAAAACTTATAAATATAGTTAGCCCAATATAACTCACGGAATATTTGTTGTTTCCTCTTAATATAATGTGTATAATATGTACAGGGGAAACACGAGCAATTTTTTTTCCAGGTTTGAGTGGCAACCCTGTTGTATAATTTGTGCAGGGAAAACACAGGGAATTTTTTCTTTCCAGATATAAGTGGCAACCTTGTTTTTATATGAAGATTTTTATAGATTTTATAAATATTTTAGTTTTAATGTTTTTTTCCCCCTCTAGGTGTGGGAGGAAATCTGGTGGCTGTTCAATCTAGCAGAATATCAACATATCTCCACCAGAGGTCAGAAATGGGTACTCTCCCACTCTCGGATCCAAAAGTATGCGTACACCCCTTCAGTGCTTTCTTTGGAAAAGGTGAGAGCTTCCATTTTGATAATCAACGCATTTCCTTATAATACTAATTTTGAACTAAGACATACATCCTTCAAAACAATTTGAATAATTCCTGCAAAGTATATGTGTTAAAATGCCTTATTTGAAACAATTCTTATTAAGTTAATAACTATTAAGTTAACAATTCTTTGCACAAAATATGGAGAATGGAAGTTTGCATACTGTTTAAGAATATGGTAGATATTTTGGTATTAATATTGTATTATTAAAAATTTAATAATCGAAAGAAATTAAATTTTAAAGGTTGGTAATTAATCTAAGAAATATTTATTTGAAGTTATGGGTGATATATAAATGCAGAGGAAATTTTAGAAATACAAATTTTGTACATTTTTGAACTTAGCATTCATTTTTAAATTTAGTGTTAATATTCATCAAATTAACACAACACTTTTCCTAATGGCGATCCGTACCATCACATTGAAATCATAGTCAAAGGTTCATAGCTGTAATGTTTAAAACTTCCGTATTTTCCTTTTTTTTTCCCCCTGAAGTAAATATTATGAAACCGAGTCTTATAAATAATGTGTAAAGATACATATTATTTAACTTTATACTTCAGTTACAAACTAAAAGCATGTTATATATGTTTTTGAATTACTATGTATTTTACATAGTCTTCTATTCTCAGTAATATACATAGTTTTATGCTCTTTTTATTTATTTTCAAATGCGTTTTATGGTGTTATATTTCTTAACTTTGATTTTTTACGTTGTGAATGGATATACTCTTTTATCCTTTATCTGTAAATTTAATGGTTAAACCTTAGCATCGATTTAAGTTTAGTAGTCTAGAGTTAAGGAGCAGAACTTTGTTTTAAATTGCAATAAGCTTTAAAAGTTATTCAGTTTTTTAATTATGTAAATCTTGTTTATTGTAATTTTTTTCTGCTTCCAACTAATCTTATTTAATTTATAGAATTGTATCTGTAGATATTAAAATTTTAAAAAATAAAATCCTTTTCTTAATTTTATTTTCAATTTTAGAATTATACCTATCACTAATTAATTATTTTTCTTAACACTTTATCTTCTTATTTCATAACTTAAATTTTTGGACTTTCTGTTTTGGAAGTAAGAGAACATTCTTGGAGAGCTTGTTCAGTGTGCGTAGAATTTTTAAAAAGTGCTTAAAGGGGCTTATTTTTGATTTATGTTTTTTAAAAGCCTTTATAGAGGTTTTTTTTATTCAGGGTTTGTCAAAAGTGATTAATTTCCTATCTTTAAAAAAGAGGGTTTTTTTTCCTTTGCAGTGTCGATTTCCATTACAAAAAATGCATGATTATCAAAATTTTCTGCACAATTTTCTTTTTTTCTACCAGAAACTAGTTATTTTATCATGATTATGTAAAGTTTTTGAATTTTATTGATTTTATATTGATAAATTAAAAACTTTTAATGATAGAAAAACTAAATCTCATTACTGCACAGATTCTGTTTGTGATTTTTTATTTATTTTTTTGGAAAGTGATTAAAAATATTTTTTGAGTACTTGAAATGTACTATTATCTGGTGAAAAATCTGGCTATGCACTCTTGTTGTTGATTTCTTATTAACTTATAAAATTGTGTCTGTAAATATTCAAATTTAAAAAAGTCCTTTTTTTTAAATTCTATTTCCAATTTTAGAATTATACCTATCACTAATCTATTTTTCTTAACACTTTATATTCATATTTTTTATAACTTAAATTTTTGGACTTTCTGTTTTGGACGTAAGGGTAAGCAATGTATTCTTCTTGGAGAGCTTGTTGTTTATTTCTTATTTGCTAAATATTATTGCAATTAATGATTACTAATATTTCTGCTTAAAATTTCATGCCTCTTTGCTGCTTTAATAGTTGGTAAATCTCTTCTCCTGTCATAAGTTAGTTCTAGAATTCTAAACAGTTTATGTTGGTTTCTATAATCAAACATGATTTGAAATACGTGAATGTATTATTTTCAAATATGTTGAGCCAAAATTTCAATGCACGGCAAGTAATTTTTCAATTACGGTAGAGTCCCGATTATCAGAGTTAACCCATTGCCAGTGTCGTCTGAATCCTGTTCGGGCAACTACTATGTACAGTATTTGTGTTGCCTGAACTGACTTCGGGCAAGAGAACATTTATATTTTGTGAAGCCCGAGCTGAGTTTGTTTCTACTTTAGGATACTTATTTCACTATTTTTCTAATAGATTGCATGAGTGGTCCTAGTTTTTCACAGATTACGACTTCAGTTGAGGGAGGGAAAATGTGGGTGGGGGTTTGGGGATATACTATACTGTGAAAGATTTGTAAAATTTATGTATTGAAAATCATATTGTTGTGTTTTTATATTATACAATTAATATATTTAGCTTCAAAATTTTGTTTAATTTGCTCTAATTGAATAAGATATGTGTTTAATCCATCACTTTTTTATGGGTATGTAAAAATTATAAATACAGTTGTTGTTGCATTTAAAATTTTACTTTTGCTATAAAAAACCATTTTCTAACCTTTATCATATAAAGAACAAAATTATACAGTCGAAAAAAAAATTTCCATTTTTGGTCTATTTCTCTGAAATATGTCACTGTTGGGGATTAATGAGGGATCATAACTAACTCGGATAACCGAAAAACTCTGTTAAAGCGAAGAGTATAAAAAAGGAATGAAAAGGGGTAGGTATATATTTAACAAATACAAAATTTATAAGAGAACAATTTATTACGATACAGTTTGTATTGTTATTAAAAAGCTTACTTAAAAACACTTATAGAGCATACTTTACTGGAATCAAAGTTTTTATTTAAAAGAGTTGTTAATCGTTTTTTGTTTTACATTACTTTGACGCTTTTCTGCAGCAATGTTTTGCTTTTTTTTTATTTATTTTTTTAGGTATGACAGGAAGGTTAGTATCTCCTCTACTTGTTGCACTATATATTTAATAGCACTTTAGATAGCTTTTAGTCATCTGTAGGAGGGACTTTTATATGTTGATTTTCATCGTCACTACATACCTGCCAACTTTTAATCCTTTCGAGGATGATTTTCCCCTGTGATAGTAAAATAAAATTTGAATTACAATTTTAGGCAGAAACATATGCTGTATTTTTAAAAAGCTTATGTGGACTACTAAGACACTATTACATATTAATATACATGCTTAATTTTTTTAAAAATAGTGATAGTCAAAAAGATAATAAATTAAGATTATAAATGCAAAGAATATATAGAAAGCATACATTTTACTACCACTTTAAAAATAAAATTGTATGTCAAATGCATAAAGTTGGCAGGTATGTCACTGTCTTTATCGTCCTAGCGAGATTCATTATCATTATTTACGATATTCATTATCTTTTCATCGGTAATCTTGAAAAAAAAAATCCTTGAAATATTTTATAGCTTTGTAAAAGCGGGAACTCTAATAATTGGGGCTCGGATAATCGGGACTTTACTGTATGCAGTTTGATTGCTTAAAAGCTTGAAGTGACTAAGTGTGTAACATATTAGTACTTCTAGGTTTTTGTCTATTGTGCTTGGTTTAAAAACTAACATAAACTATTCATTTATGGTATTCTATTTGATGTAGAGATAACATAAATTTTTAGTTTAATTCAATTGTATTTTAGTTTTTATGTTTTATTATTTACCAACACTATACCAAATTATTTAGCTAACCTGTTATAAATATAACTTTCATGGTGTGTACTTAATGTTTTGCATTTGTAATTATCAAAAGTAGTTTGTGAGATAGTATTTTCTTATTTTGTTGCTTTGAGAAAGAAAGCTGTATCCCCATTTTTTATTTTCAATTCTATTTATTATATTATTATGTTCCACTATTTATGAATGATGTATTTTGTGAAAATAAGTCTTGATGTTATTTTTAATGAAGTAAACTGAACTGACTGTCACAGATATAATGTGCGGTGCTATGCCCAAAACATAGTTGATGGCTGCCAACTTTACTGGACCAGTTGCTCTTAGTCTACTGGTTAAGTTAAAATTTGGTTTCTGTACATTTTAGAAAATTCCCTATAATTTAGTAAGTTTACCAAAGAGAAAAAAATCCTATTGAAATAGAATTTTTACACAATTTATTGCTTCCTTGTATATTTAAATAAATATTACTAATACATAATGAAGCTAGTCAGTTTAATTCATGTTCTAAAATTTCCAGTTTACTTTCATTCAAAACTCTTCTTTTTAAACTAATTTTTAAAAAAATCTTTAAACTATCACAAATAAATTACTTGTTTATCAATATTAAATGTGAGTTAAAATAAAAAAAAACATTTCAAATTTGAGTTTATTTTAATGTCAATCATAAATGGAAAATATTGCAGACCATATATAGTGTTAAGTGTAATAAAATTTGTGTATTTCCCTATTTGTGTATTTGTAAAATATATAGTGTATTATGCAACAGTTATTGGGAAACTTATTTTGTAAAATCTATTCGATTTTTTTCTTTTCCATGTTGGCAGCTGTGATAATTTTTAAATTTATGAAAATTAGAAATAAAGTGGCACCTAGACTTATTTTCACAAAATTATTAGAACTGTTAGAATTTTTTTAAATAATTAATGTGTGCAATTACAGCATTCATAAATGGTGGGAATGCACTTTCATTATGTTCATATTAACTTATTTGAATATTGTCTTATTACAATGTTACAAAGTATTATGAACCTAATGAAGGAGAATAGTGTAAGTTAATAATTATTGCCCATTATATTTTTAAATTTGTTTCAAAGGGGGTGGGAAAACTGCACTTAAAATTTTTAAAAAAAATATCAGTTTTTTAGGAGCTTTTTTTTCCCTATCCACTGTTTTTCAGTGCTAAATATTTCCAAAAGTCATAAGAATTTTATTACATTAGAATGCCATTTCTTAATTGCCCTAAAAACCCATTGAACAGGTTTGTTCTTCCTCATCTGCTTCCACCTCTGGGGAATCAATAAAACTTAGTGGTTCCAATTTAAAAAAATCCTGTTTTTTGAGACTGTGAAATATATTTTAGTTACAAATTTGACTTCAATGTAAATTAGAATTGTGAAAATTTTATGATCAATTATAATTTTTTAAGAATAAAAAAAGTATTTTAAGGAATTTGAAGAGTGATCCAAGGAAACCATAAGTAAGTGACCTCAAATTAAGATTGAAGCTATGAAAGATTTTAGCGTCTAAAACATGTTAAGTGATATTATGAATGAATCATATTAACAATTTAACTGCAAATTTTAAACATTCCTTTCCGTTAGTATGAGAAAGGAAAAAGTGCTTCCAGGTGCTTATTTTTTATTTTCGTTTTTTAAAATCCCTTAAAGGTGCTTTTTTTATTGGGTGTTTTTAAAAGTGCTTACGTTTTCCTTTTCTAAAATGAGATTTTTTTCTTTTATCGTGTTGATTTTCACTGCATATTATGCAAAAGTGTGGTTTTTCACATTTTTCTATTCAACGTTTTCACATTTCATTGAACCACAATCCATTTCGGTGTACCGTCAATCCATAATGTATGAAAGCACCAATCATGTTGCATATATGGTGAAATACTTGCGAGTCTGCATGTGAGTCTACTGAGCTTAGTTCAGTGAGATTCTAGCACTCTCATGTGCAACTCTGCTACATTTTGAAAGATATTCTTCATTTCAGGCCTCCATTCTCTGAGATCAAACCGAAAAATCTCTTGATCATTATATAATAGCTAATATAATCAAGAAAAGAGTTCTTTGTCAAGAAGTAGCTATTTTGTTAATGTATATAGTGCTTTAAAATATTTTTGAGTGCTTAATAAGTACTTAAAGGGTGCTTATTTTTTGTTGAAAGATTTGACTCCGCACCCTCTAGTTGAAAAATCTTAATATATAAGTATAATAACGAGAAATGTATATTTTAGGAACTTGATAATTTTCTTTTAGGGAATATGGAATTCCCTTTATGTTTACGTCTAATGACCAATTATTCTTATTTTATTTAAATATAGCAATAACATCATAATCTTCATATTGATGTTTATAAAATCATTTTAATTCGAAAAAACTATACGAAAGTTATTTTAAATTATGACAAACTTGCTGCCAACCAAGCATCTGAAAAAGTGACAACTCAAATTGAAAGTTTGCCAGTAATAATAACATTGTGCATCAAAATTTGGAAAACTGGAAATGGCCAGAAAAAGGATAAATAACTGCAACAGAAATTACTGGAAAATGACATGGCTGTATGAATGTATTGTTGTGAGTATGTCAAAAAGTGATTACTCAAAATCACTTGTCATTATATGCAGATAAAGAATGATGTCATGAGTCACACTTGAACAACTAAGAACAATAGAAAAAAAGATTATACGAACACTCTTGTAGTTAATGCAGTCACCAAAGCCAGTTGAATGCATGAGAATGTTACGATGCCAAAAACTACTGTTATAGGATAGAAGATAGAAGAACTGAAATTTATTACAGTCGTTCAACCAAGATGAAACATCGAATCTTCATAAACCAATCAAATTTAAAACTGAATACTCAAATCCAAAATTCATGTGTCGTAGTAATATTGAAATTTGAAAAACCATACGGAAAAAGTTATTATTTTTTTAAAAGTCTTCTGGTGACATCTTTTAGTTATGAGAAAATTTAAAAAGAAAAACTGTTAGATAATATTGCAAAAGTTTCTAGATTTAGTTGAATTTTTACAGCTGAATTGCCCTTGCAGTAAGTGTATCATAGTGCATGTAAAAAAATCAATAATTTGTTTTTTAAACTTTTTTGGATGTTATTATTCTTAAATCAATTGAATAATGTATCATGCCTTGGAGATTCATGTCATTAACATTTCACTCAATAAAATAGCAGTATATCTAGTTCTTAATCTATCAAAAAATTTAAGTTCTTTTTATATATTTGATTAATTTAAAATGCTTCAATAACATTAACATGAATTGAATAATTTAAATAAAGAAGTATTAGTAAAAAAAAAATGAAGAGTAAAATGTTGCATAAAAAGATCATAAAAATTAGTTGAGATGTGAATTTTTTTTTTTTCCTGGAATCTGGTAGGTTTAAGAACTATACAATTTTTTGTGAAATAAATTACCTTCTTTCCTGATTTGGGTATGCATGAATGCAAACTCTACTGGATTTGGAAAAAAATTCCCTATTGAAATAGAATTTTTGTACTGATTATTGCTTGCTTGGATATTTAAATAAGTATTACTCATACATAATGAAGCGAACCTCTTTTATAGAAATCAGTATGAAGCTTTTTTGTTATAAAATGTTTTTTTTATTTATTCAGAACTCTTTTTAAATTAATTTAAAAAAAAATCTTTTAACTGTCTTTTTGATGAATTAAATGCCTAATAATATTCAAAGTTATGACTAAATATAATACATAACATTTCAAGTATGTTTAATGTCAATCATAACTGGAAAATATTGCAGTTTTTTCTATTTTGATAACTATAAAAATTCCTAAAATTCCCTATGTGTAAAATATTTAGTACATTATGCAACAATTATCAATATAAATTAACCTCATTCATAAAAATCAGTTCATAACTTTTTTTGCTCTGAAATGTTCAGTTTATTTTTATTCAGAACTCTCCTTTTAAATTAATTTTAAAAAATCTTTCAACTATCTTTGATGAATTAAAGGCCTATTAATATTCGATATAATGAGTTATACATAACATATCAAGTACGTTTAATGTCAATTATAAATGGAAACTATTGCAGTTTTTCTATTTTGACGACTATAAAATTCCCTATGTCTGCAATATTTTGTACATTATGCAATAATTATCCTGGATTTTTTTTCCTATCCATGTTGGCAGCTATGGGGTATGGTGTTAATTTTTAAATCATAAAATGGGTACAAAAACCCTGATTTCATAATAACATTTGAGAAAATGAACATATTTTACTTGTGTTCGGTAGATTACTTTCTAACAGATTATGTGTCTCCCCCCCTACAGGTGCTCACGCTCGTTCTGGAAGAGTGCTTCTTGGGATGGCCCTTCCAGGTCATATTTTGTTTGCTTACTTGATTTGTTTGCTGAAAGGTGGAAATGCTACTGTCTCACCACTCTTTCTTCTGGTATATCTGACTTCTGCCTTAATTCAGGTAAGTCTGCTCACTTCATTACATTTTTACACCCCAAAATTCATAATTCTCAGCTAAAAATCAATTTGTTATCTCTTACCATCCTAAAGATGCCATTTTTGTCTTTTTTTTTTTCCTTCCTTCCTTCCTCTCCTCATTAAGTCTTTATAACTCCTAATAGCTAAGTTTCCTATTTTTCAACGAAGATTCCTGTATTTTACGACTATTGTCTGTTTCTCCGTTTGTTCTCAAACTTCTCCGTATTTGTTGATGAGAATTTTTTTTTTTAGAAAAAAAACTAATTTTTGCAAGAAAATATCTGCAAATGGCAAAAATACTTCTTATTTCGTGCTATTGCTAATAATGCAGTTTGTTGAGTGTTAATAGTTTAAGTAGTTATAAATAATGATTAAAAAAAATCTTCTTTAGATTAAGATTTATATACTTTTTTTTTTACTTTGCTAAATTTTTAAGTGCTTATATTATTTCCAATTTTGACTTACACGACTGTGCATGATGTATCAAAACTTTATGTGTGGCATAAAAAATGTTGCTAGTAAAATCTCCATTATTTTATTTCTCCAATGTTGTCAGGTATGATAACCTTTATAAATTTGAAACTTACAGCCAACAAGATAAAATTCAGTTATTGTTTAACATAGGTAATGTAGACTTGCNAATTAAAAAAAACTGGTTTAAATTTTTTTCAAATGTTTGAATTTAAAAAAATTTTTTTAACTCAAGAAATTTTCCGGAATTTTGACTTGGGCTCACAATCACCCCTGCATTTTTAAATGTCCATGCAAAGAAATGTTAGCATTGTTATTATGACACAATTGTAATTTATGCAAACTAGTAATAATCTATGTTTAGTTGTATGCATGCTGCTTCCGAAAAGAAAGGATAAGACTACAACGTTAGCCCACAGATTAGTAATCTCATTGTTTGCGGATGAGCAAAAATCAGCTAATCTTTTTTACAACCCAATTCTGTTAGACTATTGCTTTACAACAAAGATAAATGATTGTGGTGACAGTGGAAAATATTTTAATGTGATTTCATTTATTAACTAAAAATGAAACGCAGTTGCCTAAGTTTGACGTGAAAAGTTATCTCTTTTCATTCCAATGTCGCTTCTCTGGTGCTGTAATCAGTGACCACTTTAAAATTAAAATTTTTTATACCTTAATAATTAGTAATTGCATTATTTAAGGATTTTGAAAATTATATGAAAAATACTTTATGTATTTTACATGATTTAGTGCTTCTATTAGTTCAAACAACATTTTGTAGAACATGGAGCATAAGGAGTTAAATGTGCATTTCACGGTGAAGATTAAAGGCTGCTAAATTATTAATTTTACTTGATATGATAATTACTCTGTTTGAATATAGTTTTTTAATTTCATTTTTATGTCTTAACTATCACTCGCACCAATCACTGTGCTGACGTAAAAAATATCCTGAGTGGTAGACGGATCATGGGTTAGTCCCCTTGCTGTCAGGCTAACCGTCAGAGGTTTTCTTCTCTATGTAACGCTAATGCGGGTTAGTTCCAATACTTGATTCAATACTTGAGTTCCGTTGTGTTTTGAATCTGGTTCAAAATTACAAGGCTACGGAGTTGAATATTAGAAGTCATAAATGCAAAAAATTGTGTCTGCTGTTCAACGACGATTATAAAATCTTCCTCTAATGTTCTTAATGTTAACTGCAAGTATATCATGGTCTTTTTTTGGTTTTTTTTTTGTCTGGAATAAATGAAAATGTTAAATAGTTAACTTTTTTGTCGTTTTGGTTTAATGTAATAAAATTATTATCAAAAATTATGAGCTTGGATACTTTTTGAAATTCGGGTACTTTTGAATTGGGTGCACATATATTTTATTTTAACTGTAATTTAAAATAAAACTTGAAACAGGAAAATTCACATTAAATCTGGTTATTCACTTAATTTTAATTAGATTCTTATTAAAAAAAATCAGACATTTCTCTTTTATCCAAGAATTTTAATTGTAACTTTTTTTTATAGGCATAAAACTTTTTGTTTTGACATTTTAATTCGCTCAACCCCTTCGCGACTGTTTTTTTTTTTTTTTTTTTTTTTTTTTTTTTTTTTTTTTTTTTTTTTTTACAGAACAATTTTGATAGCATAAACTATGAGTAGGGCACACTATAACTCTAAAACTAAGATGTTATATTTTTAGGGAGATTTTAAACACTGATTTAGGACCAGGACATATATGTCCCATCAGTCCTGACAACTGGGACATATGTCCCGATAATTAAAAACGGAAGTAAAACTATGCCACTTATCAGTTTATTAGAGGTAATCTACTTTGTGAGTAACTTCTCTGGCCTTAGATTTAAAGATCAATTAAAATTTAATCGAAAATAAGCAGTATTTTCCAAAACTAAACTACTTACGTTCGTACAGTATGGAATGAGCTGCTACAACACTTCAAAAACGCAGGAATTTCATTATGTGCGGTAGTGCCGTCCATGTTCTGTGAATGAAAATACCTTCAAAAATATTGGTTGGAGCGTTTCTGTCCCATGAGATTTTTTTGAAATATCCTTGGGAGGTATGTGTCCCGTTAGGCGCAAAAGGGTTAATTAAAAAAAAGCACTTTCAGGAGAAAGTAAAAGCACCGGAAATGAGCTTTTTTTTTTAACTCTAAAACTTAAAGATTCTGAAATCTTCATGTACAGATCATGCAATAGTTAATTTTCTTCTTTGTTTAGGCATAGTAGGATAAAAATAAAATCTAAAGACACATATCAAAAGTATCTGCAAACTCATATCTTTTGATAATAGAATACTTTAATCAAATATACAAAAACAGTTAACTATTTAATATTCTTATTTATTCTTGACAAAAAAAAATATATTTATGCATGTACTTAAACATTTGAAACATTAGAGAAGGATTAATATTAATAGTTTTACATAGAACTACATTCATATAATGTAATTGTCATATTAATTAATATTAATAATTTCGCTCCAAACAAGATTACGTTAAAAGCTTTACTTCTGCCACCGCAGTCAACTATTTTGACTGTAAAGCGATAGTCATATTGAGTTGAATTGTAAAAAACTAGCTGATTGTAGGCTCAATCGCTAATGATGAGATTGCTTATCTTTGGGCTAAACAACAGTTATATCTTTTCTATTTGGGAGAAGCATGCATATAACTAAACACCGACTTCTTCTACCTTGCATAAATCATGAATGCTCCATATTTTCTTTTTTTCACCATTGCAAACTTTCTTTTGCAAACGCGGATACTTTTTTTTTTATATTCCAAAAAAAGTATATACAAAATTGGAGAATCACCACCAATGTATCCGTGCGCATGTGCATCTGCAGGGTTCTGTCCAGACATTTTGTGAAAGGTCCGTTTTTGTAAATTTGTGAGAAAATTACTCGTAATTTGTGAGTATAAAGTAAATGTTAAGTCGCATTCTTTCAACCAGGGTCTTGTTATTGCAAAAAACTTTTTCAAGGAGTTTTTAAATTGTTAAGACATACAAGATTATGCTCAACACTGTAAAATTATAATTAAGGAAAATTTAATTTTCAAAAATAAACAGCAATTGCTGCTACTAAATTAGAAATGCAACATACAAATATTTGGTATTTAGTCTATGCTGCTGACCGCAGAATATTCACTTTGGACGAATAAAGGAAGAAGCGTCTGTCGAAGACAAAACTTAGTTCGTTTACATCTGTCTTTCTCCCTCCCCCCTTGGAAGGGTTTATTCAATTAACAAAACAATAATGAAGATAACAAATTTGTGAAGGATCTGTTTACGGACCCAAATTTCTTCTAAACAGACCCCTGATCTGTATTATCTAACTATGGTTTAGGATTCAGTTGTGACTCTTTCCTAAATTTGAATCTTTTTCAGGTGTTTTTGTTGATATATATCGCATATTGCATGATCCAATGGATGTGGAGACGAAAAATTGATCCAGACAACTCAGCCATTCCATACTTGACTGCTCTTGGGGACCTTCTTGGCACGTCTTTGCTCGCCCTGGCATTCCTCTTTCTTTTCTACGTCGGTAACCACGATCCAAACGTTGCTGGGGGGGAATGATTTGATCCTTTCTTCAATGCAATAATATGCGTCCATTTAAAAGAATCTCTTTACGTCATCTGTAATATTTACATTAATATTTATATCCATGTTACCAATTTGAAGAAAAGAAAAAAACTACGAGGGGTACATTTTTCTTTAATTTTTTTTCTTTTCATCAAAATTTCCTTTATCGTAATTGCTTGTGGTTAAAGCCACATTTTCCCTAATTAAATGTACATAAACTGAAATTTTAACATTGCTGAAATTTATTATGTGTAAAAAAGGTGTTGACTATCTTCTAAGTCCTGGAAAATTCTTATATGGATTCATATCACGATAAAGTATTATTTGTAGCCAATTTCGCCATTAACCATTTTAAAAAAAACATTGATTATATCATTTCTAAAGTTTAAAAATTTGCGCACAACAGTAACAGTAATATTTATTTTAATAGCACAAATATTGTTTGATAGTTGATTTAAAAAACAGTATTGTTTTTCTTATTATTAGCTATCTGTCCATTTCGATGTCACCAATATTAGCAACAACAAAAAAAATAGTAAATAAAATTTATTTATTTTATTTGAATAAATAAAATAGCTAAATTTACTTGGATAGCTTTTATTATTAATTTATTTTATTTATTTGTGGTTTATTGTAGATGCATTTTAAAGTTATTTTGGTTTTTGTCAATATTTTTTTTAAGTTTTCTTTTTCAGAATGGATTGGGTTTTTTTGACTTGGATATCTGTGTTGGCCTTTTGCCTCTAAATAGGTCCAATTCAATAACTTATTATTTTTTTTTAGCAAATATCATTAAAACTTTTAAGATTATTGTATTAAAATTTTCATCACCTTACATACAGTTGAAGAAGTTAAGCAAATACCAATCAAGAAGTTAAGCAATAGGAGTAAATTTTAAATGGACTTATTTTTAGGTCTTCCATGGTAGTGGAAACAACTTCCCACCATTTCCTGAAATTATTCCACTGTGCAATGTATTTCCTTTCTTTTTTGTTTACTGATACATTGTGGGCCAAGTCCTATACCCTTGATTTATTAATCTGTAATAATTTTTGAGATAGGAATTTAAAATGATTCTCAAGCATGCCATAAATAATTATGTGCCTGGGATTACAATTTATTGCATGGTGCCTTATATATATAAATATTATAATCTCTAATGAAAATAATTCAAAGTTATTTAAAACATAAAATAATCTTTTTTGTAATAAAATCTAGAAGAAAAAAAACTTAATTTATTGACATTTTTAAGTTTTCCTGGATTGATATCACAAATATTTTTGACATATTTCCTTGCTTATATTGGTTTTGAAAATTTAGCGTTTTAGCCTAGCTTTAAGAACATTGCTAGTAAAAGATTTGTAAATCTTAATGTTGAAAATCAAAATTTGTGCGACAAAACCGGTAATAAAATGATAGGCAAAAATATAGGCTTTTAACAAATTTGTTTTGATTAAGTTTATCTAAAATGATAACGAATACTTGCATTGTTGAATAATTGTCGAATATATTTTGTGTATTTGTTATTCTTTTCAAGGAAAAAAACATGACTTGTTTAAAAACTGACATTTCTTGTAGTTCTTATTGTTGTGTAATTGGGCAGTCAAATGTTGTGTAAAGCAGATTTGAATAAGCAAACATTTCCTTCAAAACTAAAAAATAAGCAGGGCTGATTGTGCTCCGGAAAAAATCCGGATTTCCGGAATTTTCGCTAACAGTGATCCGGAAGTTTCCGGAGATCGAAGGTCCAGATGTTTCAAAAAATCATGGGTCACAGAAGTTTCCGGAAATCAAATTTTCAAAGGTGGAACTTAAAAACACAGTTTATTTTATTTGTTTGTAAGGGAGAGCCAGAGAGATACTTTATAAGCTTATATTCATGATTAATATTCATTTTTTATCAGTAAATAGTTGTTATAATCATAAACTCAAGAAAGAAAGACATATTTGTAAATTTTAATTACTTCTCCAGGTCATCATAGGTATGTGTAAATGGTATAGGTATGTGTAAAATTTTAAATATATTTTAAGTAAACTAAGAAATATTAAGAAAAAGGAAAAAAAAAACCTTGTTTAAATTTTTTTTCAATTTAAACTGTCTTTTTTTATAATTTTTTAAACTCAATTTTCCGGAATTTCGACTTGGGCTCACAATCACCCCTGAATAAGTGATTGTTAAAAAATCACACAAGTTTTTATTGATTAGATATTAAGCAGTTCGACAATTAATCCTCTGTTTAGGATTTCTATAATCTAGAATTAAATTCTGGTGTAGCAAAATAAGTTTCAGGGAAACTTTTAAGTTAAATCCCCATTTAACCAAAGATCCTTATTAATAGAATATCTCCTCTTATTAATGGACCATCATTTCATTATAGAAAAAAAGTACATAAATTTAAAATGACATCCTATTGTAGAAATCTAAAATAAGGATTGTCTCATTAGTTTCAGTTTACTGGTGTTCATGTTAGCATAGTTATAGCAGTTTTTGTGTTGCTAATCGTAAATGCACATTTATTCCTTCTTAACAAATCTGTAGCACACATAACTGCCAGTAAAATTCAATTTTCAAATCAATAGGGGGGAAATAACTGATTTTAATAAGCAATATTGTTATAACTCTTTTTGTGCATTTTTAAAATGTAAAATTGTGTAAATTATGATGTAAGAATTTGTAAATTGTCTGTATTATGCTTGCTAATTGTTAGTTTTAACTTGCATAGAAATGTTCATAGAAAAAAAATGTTTTTATTTATGTTTATTAACTATAATAAGTATTGAATCAAAGCATATTAACATGTTCAAAGAAAATGTTTTTATTTATGTTTATTAACTATAATAAGTATTGAATCAAAGCATATTAACATGTTCAAAGAAAATGTTTTTGTTTATGTACTGATATAAATTAATATTGAATTTAATAGGATCAAAATGTTTGTTTCATTTATTTTTGATAAGGAGTGGATTCTAGGACAATATTATTTTTCTTTCAAAAAGTAACAAAATTAGAATCATCAGAAAATAAGATTTTTTAATGACATTTATCATTATAGAGAGTTGTACTTGAAAATTCAGTATTGTTGTTTAGATTTGAAAAGTGCAAAATTCTGTATTTATTTCGGAAGTATTATTTTTAATTTGCATGTCTTTTACATTTTAGTATAAAACATCAAAATTAAACATTTTGATAATTACAAGATCTGAAATACTTAAATATATATTGATTTTTTTTATGTTTTTAAAATTTTTATCTCTTAAATTATTTATTTTACTTGTTTATATTTTGTGCATTTATAGTATTTTTTTTAAAAAATTATTTTATTCTAAGTCAATCAAAAAATTTTTTTAATAGATTTTTATTTTGTTTTGTGTGAACATAGATCATTTTTAGGTATTTTATAGTATGACAACACATTGTTTTTTTGTTCAATTTACAGGGCTCCCGTGGAACTAGGAATACCTGGAATTGTCAGGGAATTTTAGTTTAACTTTAAAAAAGCAGGAGGGAATAGTCAGAGAAAGTTGTAATTTTTTACAAAAAACCTGGAAAATTCCTATATCATACTTTAAAAATAATCAGTCTTAGAATAGTTAATAACAGTGTCCCGAGATTCGATTTAAATAATTCTAACATCTATTACAATTATTTTATAAAAATCCCGCCATTTAGTGAAACTTTTCAATGTTTCCATTCTATTATATGTTATTGCTCACAAAATTGAATATTTGATATTACAAATACAAAAAAAAATCAAAGTTTCCTGATGAAAAATATCATGGTATTGTTAAAATATGGCTGGGGTTTAAATTTACCTGATTAAACTTTACCTGATATACCAGGAAAAGTCAGGCATTTTTTTCTTCTAGCCAAAATTTGTATTTTCTGTGAAACCTTTTGGAAAAAGGTGATTAATTATTTAAATGTAAAATAAATTCCTGTTTTACATTATATTTAATAACCCTAAACAATTTGAAAGTATTTCCAAGTTAACTTAGTACTTAATCATAATTGTCGTACTTAATCATAATATTAAAAATTATAAGTATACGATTAATTATAGCTGCATAAGTTATAACTAATAAGTGTGATAATAATAAAATGATAATTGCTGCCGTGCTGTTTATATGGTAGCATTGGTCTGTTAAGGGTAAATCTACATTTGTTTTGAATGAAAAAATCTTAACTTTTATGAAATTATTTTTGTTTTATGTATTGTAAGACACTATTTATAAAAAGTGATTCTGCTTTATTTATTAATATATGATCTCACTATTAAGAGTTTTATCTATATTGTGTTTACTTATGATAAGTATGACATCACTAAACTAAATTTGTTCGAATTTTGATACTTAATGGAGCAATTAATACTAGACTTAAAATTGGTAGATGCGAGTATTTATATATAATCAGTTTTTGCTGAATGTTTAAGTATAACTTCAGCAAGGTATATATGCATTTAATATTTATCTGTATGAATTTTAAAAGTATTAATGCGAGGAATAAACACTATTTGTTGGATTTCTAAACAAATAACTTTTTATAGAGATGACTTTTTGATGCTTGTGATAATTATATTAAAGTTTCAATTTGCATCATTTAAAAACTACTGAAATCGTTGCTCTCACTCTCCAGAAAATATTAATCATATACTGAATTAATAATCGTCCTGAATTAATAATCATATTTCTTTTGCCTCTTGTTTTTGTCGTTTTAAACTCAAAATTTTTTTTCCCTTATGTACTTTTAGTTTTTTTTTATTTTTATAATTTTAACCAGTTTTTAATCAGGGTTGCCACTCCACAGGTAAAACCTGGAAAATACTTCTTCTTTGTCAGCACTACAGCCTAGTGCAGACCAAGGCTTTCTCAATTAGCTGCCTCCAGACAGGGCAGCTTTGAGCTAGATGTTTCCACCTGTTTATTCCCAACAATTTTAAGTCCTTCTCAACACTGTCCAACCATCTTGTAACTGGTCTCCCTCTTCTTCTAATTCCTTCAATTTTCAAAAAAGTAAGTTTTTTAACTAGGTCCAAATCTTCACGCCAAAAAACGTGCCCCAGCCATCTGATCCTGTAGACCCTAATAACCCTCAAAATATTCCTGGAAAATACAGGGAATTTAAAAATCACCTAAAATAATAGGAAAAATGTAGGGAATTGTGAATTTTTTTTTACAAACTGAGAAAATACAGGGAATTTTCTTTCTTATTTTCGTTGTTTTAAAAAAAATGGTGGCCACTCAAAGCGTCATCTATGAGGTATTTAAGGATATTTCAGTTATACTAAATCATTTCAAAGAATGAAACTGATTTACAAATTCAAAATAAGCAAATAACATTTAAAATAATAAATCAAAATGGGAAAGCTCTTAAAGCAGCTAAAACCCAAATTTGTTTTATTTTAATATAGAAAGTCAGAAACACAATTTTAGCAGAAAACTAAAAAAAAATTTAGGAAATGTGTGTTAGCAGGGCAGCATTTCATCAGAGAACTTTCTGTTGTCAATGGTAATACCAAAAACTGACGTAGCCTTTTGAATAACCAAATTAAAATAAAATATAAATTGCCAAATCATTAAGAAAACTTTAGAAATAAATCAAGTGAAGACCCCTTTTGAAAAATAAAACATTCAATGAGTAAAATTTCTAAAAAAGTGCTGCCATCTATACTAAATTATTTAATTTACATTATTTAAGTATGTTTCAGATGTTCCTTTTCCCCTATAAGTATAGTTAGCCCAATATAGCTACATAAGAGCACTATAATTGTTGTTTCCTCTTAATATATTGTGTATAATATGTACAGGAAAAACATGGGGATTTTTTCCCCCTCTAGATTTGAGTGGCAGCCCTGTTACTTTACAATTGTTTTTGCAACATTTAATGTGCTTCTTTTTTCAACTAAGCTGTAGATTTTGCTGTCTGTAACAAATCTTTCTGATAGTTATGTAATAGATTTGAAATTTGCTGTATGCCACTAATCATTGTAATTTCTTTGTTAGTTTCTAGAATGAACTCTCTCTTTATGTCCATCATCGTGGTAGAATTGTTTTTTTGTTTTTTTTAAAAAAATGGGTTTTTTTTCAAGCTCTTAATTTTCTTAACAAAAAAAAAAGCATTCCTTTCTAATTTGATTTGAATCGCAGATGAAACAAATAGTGAGTGTTTATTTGTCAAACGGGGGATTAAAAAAAAAAAACACAATTAAGAATTTGTTGACCTGTGATAACTAGTAAATGTATTCTGCATAAAAACTTTTTATGTTTTAATGCTAGTCAGCTGGTTTTTTTCTTGCATTAATTGTGTCAGATGAGTAAATTGTGATAGCTGCACAATCATGCAAAAGTTAGATTTTTTGTCAAATGAAGTGTGAGAGGAATTGAAGAAAAAAAATTAATAGAAATTGATGTATGTATTGTGATAATAAAATTAGTTCACATGATTTATTCTGTACTTTCTTTTACTTCTGGTTTTCTATTTTAATATGTACAAGGCAGGGATACCTGGTATTATATTTTTTAATGGCACCCACATGAGCCACGATGGTTCAGGGGATAGATTGTTCACCTTATAATTGAGGTAAACCGGGTTCGAATCCCAGCAATGGCCAGTTGATACGAATCCGCATTTGGCTAGACCCGACCACTGTGCTGACGTGAAATATCGCCAGTGGGAGATGGATCA